TGTCAAATCTAGAGCCATATGTCATTCATATGAAATAATAATAAATAAATAATAAATGTGTTGAATTTGAACAATACAATCAAACACTCATACAGACACACACACACACACACACACACACACACACAAAGAAATAGAGAGAAAGACAAAAAGAGATAGAGATGAAGAATTGAATGAATTTCTAAAGAATCGAATCGATAAAAAAAAAAGTTTTATTCAAATCTGATTCTTTTTTCACATTTTTTTTTATTGGTGACAAAATCAAATTGTTGAATTCTGAGTGTGAGGGTGATAGAGAGAGAGAGGGAAGTAGAGACAATCAAACAACCATCAAACACGACTATGACAATCTTTTTCTGATTAAAGAAAAAATTGATTCATTTTTTTTTATTTGTCTCTGATACAAATGTGTTTTTGCATGTGCGTGTGATGATGATGATGATGATGGTGATGGGTGTTTTTTTTTACCAATAATTCCTTGTGATTGTTCTGGGAATTTTTCTTTGTAAACTTTTTCCGAAGAACTTTTCCAATAAAGGTGAAATTGTCAAAAAAAAAAAAAAAAATGAATTTCGATTCAAGTGTCGAACTTTCTTCTGGAACGGAATCGTTCGTAAATAGTATTAGGTTAACGTCTGTATTTTGATTTGGAAATTTTGCAAAAAAAAACATTTGTCAATAAGAAAAAAACCACAACAACAAAGAATACACATCCAAGCCATATACCATTGTATAGATGGAATATTCTGTTCATTTTTTTTCTGTTTGTTTCGCTTGAATGATTATAATTGAATGATGATGTATTATACATTGTTGTACTACTAATAATAATAATAATGAAAACCGATTCGATTTCCAAATCAAATTCCGAATGAATAAATGGTCAATGATCCACAAAATGATTGAATGAATGAATAGATGGAAATTTTGTGTAAAAAAAAAAAATAATCGCCATCATCCTCTTATATTGAGCGAGTGCAACCAAGATTGATACAAAAGTTAGCAATTGAACATTTAATTCCATATTTTGTGATTTCAAATAAGACGATTTCCATTTGAATATAATAACTTTTCAACCAAATTTTTTGTACATTGTATGAATTGTATAACTATTTTTGTAATCCATAAAAAATGGATCAAAAATGATTATATCAAAAAAAAAGAACAGTAGGCAAAAAGAATAAAGATGCACACACACACACACACAATCCACTTTGTTTAACAGTATTAACCCTATGGTTATATACTGTTAGCCTAATTTTAATAATAATGATGATGATGATGATTAAACCAATGTATATATACATTAGACACAACAAAAATCATCATCATCACCAATATTACATTTCAATGATGATAATGATGATTACATTTGTCCGATGAATATTATCCATTAATGATAATGGTATTAAATGTAAAAAAAACAAAGAAAAAAATGTTGATTAACACCTATCGGTATTGTTGGGCAAGAAATTTGTTGCTGTGAATAAAATCTACGATAATGATGATGATGAGAGAGTAATGAGTTGAAAAATTTCATCATCATCAAGATCATTTGTTGAAATTAAATTCAGAAACAAAAATGACACCAAAAAAATAAATTCTGTGTCAAAATCATTCAGGGATGAAAAGGAATTTAATATTTTTTTTTTTGTTACGCAATCAAAATGGAAACATTGTCTTATCGACAATATCATAATCATCATCATCATCATCATCATCAGGATTGACAGTTTTGTCACTTTTGACATTTTTTTTTTGCAATAGTTCACAGCAGCAGCAGAAGCGAAAAAAGCTTTTAAATTTTAACGAAATTTTTTTAAAAATTAAATCAAAAAATTTGATAAATTAATATCATTATTTATTTAGGCTAAAGAATCTGTTGTTGTTCCAAAACAACAAAACAAAACCAGAGGAAACGAAATCCAATTTAATTTTAATCATAAATAATTTTTTGATGAGATGAAAAAAAACGGTCAAACTAAAAATTTGATTAATAGCTGAACATATGTGGGTAGGCGTCATGGAAAGAGGGTGTATTCTACATTGAATTTCAAATGAAAAAAAAAATTTTTTTTATTGGATTTCTCTTCCCTTACATTTTTTCTCCACATATGACCAAACCTAAACCAAACAAACAACAACGGAGAAAAAACATTTATCAAATGTCATCATTTTTGTCATTGGAATTTTATTTTATTCGGCGCTTCTTTGTCGATATGAACAAATTTGAAATGACCCAAAAAATATTTTTTTTTTTGCTTGTCAAATGTAATTTTGATCTGATTTTTTTTTAAATAACAGCCAAATAAATAAAATGGAACAATTAATGGATGGTAGTGGAAAAAATAAAAAACAACAACGAAAACCATCACCATTGTTACGTGCACGTACATTACCGGCAATTATAACACCGGCATTGAATATATTGAATGCACAATTACAACAACAACAACAACAACCATTGATACCACAAACGATTATCAATCAAGATTATCATCATCATCAATCAATAATTGGTGATCATAATAATGATTTGAATGGCCATAATCATCATTATCATCATTGTCATCATCATCATCATCATCATAATGATAATCAATCGGGTAAGTTTTTTATTTGGCATTAAATGCGATATATACAATTTATGATGATATTACAGCTAAAAGTTTATTTTCAAGTTTTCTTTGTGACATACATATATAATACATAAATATTATTTTTTTTAAACACTAGATTCAATGGCAAAAAAAAAACTTTTCAAAAATCCAGGCATTAAAAGTGTTAATAGAAAAATTTGGAAGATTTATCGGTAGAAATAGGAGAGAGAAAAAAATTTTGATTAAATTTTGCATTTTTTTTTCTCCCCAAAAACGCTAGGTTTCTATGATGATTGAAAAATTTGAAATTTAAATTTTAGCACATAAAAAAAAGAGAGAAAAGAAAAATTTTCTTGACACTTACACACACACACACACACGAATACACACATGACAAATAGGCAAATCAAGTTTTTTTTTGTTTATTTATTTATACTGTCATTTTCGTTTGATCGGATTTAAATCATCTTAACATCATCATCATCATCACCATAATTCATCTTCACAATATACACAAGTACAAGAAGAAGAAAAAAAATTTTGACGAGGTGAATCGACTTACCGAATAAAGAAGAAATAGAGTGTGAAAGAAAAAGAATGAAAAATGAAAAATAAATATTTCCACTATTTTTTTTCCTCCCTACTTTATTGTCAATATATTCACATTATTATATTACCCCTTGGAACAAACAGAATAAGAATAGTCGTTCGTTTTTCAGAGTTCATCATTCGATCCCTGAAGCAAATATAAACATTCAAACACACATACACATACACATATTACATTAACACTTTTACTTCTATAAACATCTTTTGTCAAAGTGAAAAACTTTCTCTCTCTCTCTCTCTCTCTCTCTCTCTCTCTGTATCTGATATTCACTGATGTGTATGTTATGAATTGTAAATATTTACCTTGAATCACATAATTTTGAAAAGAAAAAAAAAATTAAAATTTAAAATATTTGTGTGTGTGTGTTTGTACCTACCTAAACTACACAACGACAAGATGTCCATGTAGAGTTTCTTTTATATTATTATTTTTTTAAATACAAAATTCAATAATAAAATCTTGAAATAGTAGTAAAGTGTAAAGTTGAAAAGAAAAAAAAGACAAGACGACGAATGAATGATGAAATAATGATATAATAATCGATATATCGAATAATCGTTCATTTCCGTATTTTTTTTTGCATTTAGGATCCACAACAACAACAACAACAAATGATAATGTTGGAGATTGTAATGATATACAATGTTGTTGTCATCATCATCATCAACAACAACAACAGCAACAATCGATGAATAATAATCAAAATTATTGTTTTAATGAGCTTATAGCGCCACCACACACACACCCACTAGCATTAGTGAAAACAACAACAACAACAACACAAGGCATCATTACTACTACATCATCTAATACATCGTCAAACATAATGGTTACATTATCAAAATCATTACCAGTAAATAATAATAATGAAAATTATTTTCCATCATCATCATTATCACCATTATCAACAGCAGCAGCAACAGCAACAACAACATATTGTTGTTGTAAATGTTGTTGTTGTTGTTGTATTTGTTGTCAAAATTGTGAACAACAACAACAACCATCAAATTGTAATAATAATTGTAGTAATAATCATTCACCAAGACAATCTGTATCATCGAATTCATCGGCCGGTTCGGCTAAAGAAAGTTCCATGTAAGTATTTTTTTTGGAAAATTTTTTTAAAAAAATTTTTCCGCTTTAAAAATTCAAAAAATTCTCTGATAATATAGTGCAAATAAAGGAACAAAAAATTCAGGCTTTCAAAAACTAACAAAATTATGGACAAATAATTATGGTCAACGAATATTGAATAATAATACAAATTATAGTGGTAATGGTGGTGGATTCTGTCCAATGATCAATAATAATGGAAAAAATAATTATCTATTCGTTGGCCAGTCATCGAATGATTCATATAATCATCAGGAACAACAACAACAAAATCGTTCATGTTGGGCATGGACCGGTAGTGGTAAACAGATGAATAATGAATTAAATAATAATAATAATAATAAATCGAATATGAAACGAACCGGAAGTGTTGATAGTTTATTGAGTGTTCATCATCAACAACAACAACAACAAGAGCAGTTACAGCAACAACAACAAGAAGAACAAGAAAATTTTAATCAAAATGATTGGAATGATACAATTTCACCACCACCATCTTCATTACTTCCGTTCCAATCATTATCATCATCATCAAATTATTTGCTGCCAATGATAACAACAACACCATTTGGTGGTCATGGTCATCATCATCATCATCATTTACATTATCCACATCATCATCATTCGCCACAACAACAACAACAACAACAACAATGGTCAACATATCGATCATCATCGAATGCATTTTTAACGACAACAACGACAAATAAAAAAATGAATAATAATAATGAACAATCATCATTATCATATTTACCGATTTGTTCATCACCGGATAAACGTCATCTAAGTATTGATATTAATTCAACAATGATCCATACACCTGTAACAACAACTGGTATTAAAAAAAGTGAAAGAAAAAAATTGGAAAAATTAAGTAAATTTAATTTCGATCAACAAGGTATGTTATCGACATCAAAGTGTTAATATATAATTAACTCTAAGTTTCCGGTTTACAAAAAAAAAATAAACATTTTTCATTTTCTTTTCAGCATTATTTTCGGCTGTTGAAAATGAACATTTTGATCGTACACGTATGATCATTGAAACAACTAATGTTGATGTGAATAGTACGAATTCGGATGGTTTTACAACATTAGATATTGCCACAATGTTGTTAAATTTACCATTAATTAAATATCTTCAATCATGTACTGCACGTGAAGGTGATCTTTGTAAGTGTAATAATAATTCAATACAATAATAATGAAAAATGAATTTGACTGTTCATTTTATTCATTCATCAGTTGGTAATAGACATAGCCGTGAAAGGCATCTACAATCATTATTATCTGAAGCTGAACGTTGTGTATATGATTTAACAGCTTGTTATCATCGTCAATCAATACAGCCAACAATTACCGGTGGTGGTCCATTACTACCACCACAACCATTATCATCAGCTACAATAACCGGTACCGGTAATTTAAGTTCAGCATTAGTCAAGGTTTGGTGGGAAAAAAAACCGGAAAAAAATTGACATAAAAAAATGACATACTATTTTTGTTTACCCAAAAAAAAAAATATATATAGGAAAAAGAACGACAAATTATGTTCTGGCAAAGACGTCTAAAACTATTACAAAGGCTTAAAAAAGGATTCGATTTATTACGTAAGTCATCATCATGTATATATAATCATTATGTGTGTCTATTTTTGTGTGTTTGTAAATCAAATATATAACGTATATTGTAATTAAAAAAACAAAAAAAAAAACAAAAAATAAACCTGACCACACACCCACAACATATGTAGATGACATTTTTTTTTTTTTTTTTGATTTGTTCAAATGTCAAATGTCAAAATCACTGATGATATATGATATATATGATAATTATGGCTATTTTTCTATGTTCACAACTTGATTTTGTTTTTTTTTGTTTGAAGTATTTTATTTGTCAGTCAAAAATGATTATAATAATAATAATAATAATTCAATGATCCAATAAAGGAGTGAAAAAAAATAAACACTGAGAGAGAGAAAGAGAGATAAACAGACAGACATATGAATAATACCCACCCACACACACACACACACACACGCATTATTATATAATCATAGAAATTTCTTTTCAATGCGACACTTTTTTTTTGTTGAGTTTGGTTGGTGAATCTATTATTAATATTATGGTGATGATGATGATGATCATCATCATCATCATATGACATATATGTGAAAAACATACACACACACACACACACAAATAAAGTCTATCCAATATTTGAAAAGCTGGCATTTTCAGTAAAACATCCATTTTCCATTCATGATGATGGCAAACAAGCCACAACTATAGATCCAGATGCAAAACAAAACAAAACAAAAAACAAGAAAAGAAATTCTATGGAACACATTATTATGAGAGAGAAAAAAAATCTTTTTTCTCGTTCATTTCATTCATTTCGTTATTGCTGTTGTGATCGTTATTGGTGCTTCGTATACCACCACCCACAAAAAAAAAACACAAAAACAAACATCACAAAGAAGTTAACTTTGACGTTAAAATTTCGACAGTTTCTTTTTCTCTTATTGTTGATATTGGCCAGATGTATTTATTGGACAAACAATGATGATGAAGATGATTGAGAAAAAAAAATTAAGAAAATGGAAAATAATGATGATGATGATATTGGCAAGAAGAATTCATTGAAACGATCCAAGATGATGATGATGATGATCTATATATTATATTGTAGTTTTCATTCTTTTTTTTTATTCTGGATTGTATAAGTGATGAACTATTCAATCATTCGTATAATATTCGAATCGATTCTTTAGAATCGTCCCTCTCTTTTTCTAGCTACAACAACATTATATCATCATCATCAAAATCATTATTTAAAGAACACGAAAAAAGACAAAAAAACAACAAATTTTTTGTTTTTTGGTAAAAAGGAAAAACATCATCTAATTGATCAACGAAATATTTGGACATCTTTTTAGCACACCGGAAATTTTGTACAGAAAACAAACTACAAGAAGGATTATGGTTTCACATAATATCTTTTTACCACTCTCTCTTTCTCTATTCCATTACATCGAAAATATGAAATTATCTCAAATGTAATATTAAGGAAATGAGCAAATCAATAATGCACTCTATACTAACCAAGTCAGACAGTAAGTCATCATCATCATCATCATCAAAAAAAAGACATTAAAAGTAGAAATGTAAAGAAGTAGATTTTGTTTCGTTTCGTTCAAAAAAAAAAATTTCGGTTAACTACTGTCACACACACACACAAACTCGTAAAAACAGGGAAAAAAATTATTAGCCGTCAATAACAAGCAAGTAAGCTAACGAAAAAAAATGGAAACATTCATTCATTCATTCATTCATTTTTTTGTGATATTAAAAATTAATATTATATTACCGTCAAAAACAAAAATTATGAAACAAGAATTTTTTTTTCTTCACGAACATGGTCAATATATGGCAATAAATGGAATTTTGTTTTTTTCTTCAACCAGCCAACCACCACCAATCATATTCTACCCATTATACTCAAAACATTCGATTCTATTTACACCCAAAATGCAATATCGAATTTCATTCATGATGATGATTCTTATTTCTATTTCATTTTTTTTTCATATTTTTTCTCTCTCTCTCTCTTTCTCTCTTACACCCCAACTTTTTGGAACGAAATGAAATGATGAAATGAAAAAAAACGGCAATAATATAAATGTATAGAACCACCACCACCTCCATTATCCGTACATGTACAGGTAGCCGGTGCAGAATGTCTGTTGGTAAATTATTATCCACCTATTCGATTGCAACAAGATCATCGTCGTCAGATAATAACCAAATATAAAAGTATGTTTTTCTTTTTTTTTGGCTTCTAAATATTAATTTTAATGGGCACGTTTTTATTCTCGTTGTATTTTTGCTCTCGTAATTGGACGTTTGATTGTCTTTAAACCCATACTGTAATTGAACTTCAAATAGTCGAATGGAGTTCAAATCAATTCGAAACAATAATTGGCTGTGTTGAAATGACAAACATGTGTGCTAAACATGAATTTCTTATCGAACGTTTAGAATCTGAACAATGTTATCAGGTACGAATTGCATCCGGTAATTGTAAAGGATATTCTGAATATTGTTATCCACTTATGAATCAATCTGTGCCATCAAGTAAGTAAATAATTTTAATAAATGCCTAATTAATTAATTGATTGATAAATAATGATTGTTTGATTGGCATGATTTAGCATGGCGATCGATTGATAAAAAACATTCAAAAATTGAAGATCGTGTTCCACGTATCGATCAATTATTCGATCAGATTGTTGAATGGCGACAACAGCAACAACAACGACAACAACAACGTGATTATGTTGATAAAAGTATGTTTTATCAAACATTTTCAAATGCATAAATCGATTAAATTGAATTGATGATTGGATAAATTGTAGGAAAATCAATCGAATTGGATCAAACATCATCATCATCATCATTGAATGTTGGATCCGGAATGATTGGTGGTATATCTACTTCAAGTACAGGTAGCAGTGGTGGAATACTTGGCGGAAATCTAGCTGCTGCCACAACTACAATGACCACCACTAACACCGTTAGCAATAGTCTAGGTGTTGCAACATCTGGTTCACAGAAAAAAGTACGAAAAAGTATTCGAAATTTTTTCGGTTCGACTAGTAAATTTCAAAAAACAATGAAACGTGGTGCCATCTATCTAGCATCATTAGTATATAATGGAACGGATAAACGTGTTTTGGTTACGAATGAAGAAGTACTTCCTATCATTGAAATCGGTATTTCAATATTATTATTCATGAAATGTAAAATTAATCTAAAATATTTATTCATTCATTTCATAGATGATTCATATCCTTCAACATTACAGAATGATTTTTATTGGCTACTGAAAATCACCTGTTGTACATGGGATGATGTAAAAATGTTTCGAAAAGAATTGGAAAAATCACAACAATCATCAACGGTTGCACAATTTCGAACGAAAATTCTTCTTGCTATTGAACAGATGCAAAATTCATTGGGCATTGTGGACCTTGGTAAAATATATTATAAACCATTACGTGATACCGAAGGAAGTGTTGTACTTTGTGCTATACGTTCCGTACCTGAACCAAAAATGATTAGTTGTCTATCGGTACGTTGGTTACCATTGGCAAAACTACAGAAACGTATAGCAACAACAACAACTAATATGTTTACATCGGAACGCGTTTCAGATTCTGGCATTTCTGTTACAGATATTGGTTCACCACCACCACGTCTTGTTGGTGACATTCTATTCGCTACGATTGATGTATGTATAAATCGATGACAAACAAATTGATTAATTGAATTTTCTCCACATATTACTATTAGGAAATGATGCAATATCATCAGGCTTGTAATAGTCAACTTGATAAAGGTTTATATATTGCTTATGTAAAATTGAAATCATCTGTTGATATGATGTCAGTGGTAGTTGGACGTAGCCATCCAAATATATTACCATTTGCAAAAATACGTGATAATCCACATGTATCACGACAGGAATGGGCAGCATTAAAAATGTGTCTTAAACCACGATCAAATAATCATCAACATCATCATGATAATAACGATGATCAAATAACTGGAACATTGGATGAAAAAGATTCGGCCGGTGATGATGTGCAAACATGGAAACGATTAGTAACAAGTGTTAGTCAGTTACATTTACAATTAGTCAATAGCAATCATAATCATCAGCAGCAGCAATCAGAATCGAAAGAAACAATATCCCGTAAAAGTAAAGAATCACATATCGGTGGTGCAGGTACATCATGTTCGCCAAATTTTCTTGCTGCACCAAACACAGCATCATCCGATACGATAAGCACTACGACACCATTATCATCACCAATGACACAAACTGGACCCGGTTTTGTGGATAATTTTTTTCAATTAGCATGTCAACATCAAAATGAACAACAAAAGCAATCACAGGAAACGATGGTAAATGAAGAAAAATTCATCAAAACAAGAGAAGAGCAGCAACAACAACCATCCGAAGAAGAAGAATGTATGAAAAATGTACGAATTGAAAAACCAAATACTTTGCCGGTAAATCGATTGGTTACAACGATGAAATCAAATCAACAATCATCAATAATTAAACCACAACGATTAACATTTGGTCAGAAAATGAATTTTCAACAATTAACAAAATTTTTACAGATTTTATCACATACTGCTGCACATTTTCTACAATCAATTGGTGTGGCCGAAGATCAACATCTTCAATCACATCGTATCTATACAGTTGAAATTATTGAATTAGATGGCAATGTATCATTGATCTTATTATTACCGCCACCAGATGAGGTGTGTTCGGTAACACAATCAGATGTTGATATTAATTCACGTTGTGATGATCTTTTATTTTTACCATTGAAAATATTTGAGTTAAGTAAGTTTGTTTTTGTAAATTTTTTTCTCTGAAAATTTATAAAAAATTATTCAATCAAAAAAATATAGTTCATATGAATACATATCAACGAAGATTCACTGGACAATATTGGCGGCTATCAGCACTGTTAGAATTGGATATTATTGCTGCACAACAAGCACAACGAGAGGTAATTATAAATAACCCAATGAATTTTGTTTGTTTTTTTGAAATTCATTCGATTTTTTTTCAGGCATTCTCAAAAAGTGAAGTATCCGAAGCACGTGCTCGATTGAATCAATTGTTGGAATTTCAAACACAATTAGATGAACATTGTCGATCGATGCGTTGGATAATGGATGTTGTTGCATATGCACGTGATCGACAGATTAGTGCCGGCATTACATTGATACAGATTCAACATTGTCTTAGTTCGATTAATAAACAAATGTGGGATGATGATTCTGATGATGATCATATTATCAATGATCATGATCATCGTGATAATCGACGTTATAATTTTGGTCAATCGACAAACAATAGATCATCCAACATCAACAATAACAGCAACACCATCACTAGTGGCGATGGAATGGCAAATACAAAACTGGATTTCGTTACACCGAAAATTAATATTCAAAGTGAATGTAATTCAACACCATCATCACCACCAGCTGCAATTATACCACCATTATCTATGATGGCAGCAATGGGACGACGTAAAAGTCGTGATGATTCCTATGTTGAACAACATCATCGTCAGCAGAATCATTTTAATAGTTTAGCACATCAACGTTTTCATCATAATTATCATGGTTGTCAGAATGGTAAACATCATGATGATCATGATCATGTTGTTGTTGATGATCCATATGATGATGATCCAACATTGGATGTTGTCGTTACAATCGATGGACAGCCATTACAACAATCACCAAATGATGATGATGATGATAATGATGATTGTAAAACACCAACAAATCATCATAATCATAATCAACAACATCGATCATCATCATTACAGCCATCATATTCATCATCAAATCAACGATCAATTATGGATGATAAATGTTGTTCCGATTATAGTGAATCGGGTAATAATTCACCTGGATTAACTGTGATAGATGAAGCAAAAATTAATGTACGCCGTTGTCATTCAGCATCACGTTTACCATCATTATCATCAACAACAGCAGTAATACCAGTGATAACTACAGGAATGGACGAACAAATTGATGGCCGACAATCGATTGATTCTGGTTCAACATCATTATATTCATCACAACCATCAACAACAACCAATGTTAGTGAGCTACCTACACTAGCTATTTTAGTCAATAGTAATAATAATAATAAAGAAAATGAATCACCAACGATTATTATTGCAGAGCCCACCGATGTAACCATCAAAATCAATGATAATGATGATGATGATGATGATAATGGTAAAAAGGAAACAGAACAACAAGATAAATTGAATTCTGAACAGATTTGGCTACCGAACAGATCCGAGATTATTAAAGCCGAATCGCTGGATAATCACTGTTTTAATGATAATTTCGAAGATATTCTCAGTGATTCTCAAAACCCGAATGGAACTAAACAAGAATCGAAAATGGAAAAATCATCATCAACATTGATGAAAATAGCAGCATCAACAACAAAAGTAATAAGACATCAGATTCCGAAACGAAAAATTCGTTCGAAAAAAATGCGTACATTAATGGAACTAGGATCGAATAAAATGGTTATAGCTCGATATTCTAATCAACAATCACATGGTTGTGGAAAGGAAAATTCATCATCATCCAACAATTCGAATCATAATAATCGAACACGACGACGACGAAAACAATGGAAACATCCATGTTGTAGTAAATGTTGTCGACGATTACGACGGAAACATAACCATAGAAAACGACGTGAAAAACATGGTCCACATCCTGATAATTATTGTGATAGTAAAATAAATAGCTGTGAATATAGTCATTCATCATCATCATTATCATTATCATCATCATCATCTTATTCAATAAATAGTAATAGCGAAAGTGAACCAAATACCCATGTTGCTGTTGATTTTCAACCAATCGGATCGAACGATTCATCATCATCATCATCAAAAGGAATGGTTCGAATCGTTCAGATATATGTGGAACAAGAATCCTGTCTACCACAAGGAACATTACTCGATGTACAAATTGCATCGGGAGATCAAGTTTTCAATGTAATACAAGCTATAATCGCATATTCAATAACATTCGAACAGCAGCAGCAACAACAACAACAAAGACGACGACCAACAACAACATCAATGAAATTGTCAGATTACCGTTTTGAATGGCAAAATTATTCGTTATTAGCTATTTATTCATCGAATGTTAAACATTTAAATTATGATTTTCATATCGATCAATTACAATCACCATGGGATGATTTGGATGCTAAATTATGTTTACATTTTAATCTAAAATCTCATCATCATCATCAAATGAAATGAAATGAGATGAATGAATGAAATGATTATTTTGAGCTTATAGATATAGAATTTGTAATTGTCTGTATGACCATATAAGAAATTTGTCAATTTTTTCTATGGCCTATATATGTCCATATATAAAATGTGAGATATACTGTGTTTTTTTCTCTTCCCTCCTTTGATTTATCATTTAAACAATTTTTATTTTTCTACATATATTATAGAAATTAATTTCCGAAAAAAAAGAAATGGCCAAATTTTCAAAAAAATTTTTTTTTAATTATGTAACATCTTTTATGTACGGAACACAATCTAGTGGCAAAAGAAACAAAACAAAAAAAAAATTCATTTACAGAATTAAGCCACACGCATGCATGCATGCATGCATGAATGAATCGCGCCAAAAGAAATGGATAGCCGCGCAATTTGTTTTTTTGGCGCGGCCAATGATTGCAAATGCAAAAAGAAAAGTAAAATGATATATGTGTTCAAAATTCAACTTTGTGCCGGTGATGGTCATAACCGTCACTACAGTGAATCTATCGTGTTTTGGTTGGTCGATATTTATTTCGGATTTTTTCAAAATTAAAATTGTAAAATTTTTCAGAAAAAAATCATCACTGTATATTATATTCATTCATTTTAGGTTAATGGTAAAATTTTCACAATTTTTACGGATCTTCATTTGATTGTTTTTTCAGGATGATATGGATGATGATTCAAAATACGAGCATATTCTGTAGAAAGCAAAAAGGAGCATTATTAAGAGCCGTTTTTCTAACACACTTTCATGCTCCATGCTGCTACAACGAAAAGTGATTTTTTTTTTTGACTATTTGTTGTTCACTGTGATATACTACTACTACTACTACTACTACAAATGATATTCGCTTGGTGCTAATAAACTCTCTTTTTTTCTTTTTCACTCTGTGTGTATTATGCCATATATTTGCTATTCCCTTCTCACTGTCTTTTTTACATTTCGATCGTTTGGATTCCACCATTCGCCTGTTTTTTTTTTTGCTAACATTTTTGATTGTAAAATTCGTTGATTTTCTCGATTTTTCTCGTTTTGAAAACAATGGTAATTTCTTAATAATTTGATTGAATTTTTATATCGATTTATTAATTTCCGATTGTTTTTTCACTATTCACTAAGGCTGGAGGTAAAGCTGGTAAAGATTCGGGTAAAGCCAAAGCTAAAGCCGTTTCACGTTCGGCTCGTGCTGGTCTACAAGTAAGCCAGAAATTGATTTTGTTTTGATTTTTACATTACCATATTGTATGATTATCTATAGTTTCCGGTAGGACGTATACATCGTCATCTAAAAAATCGTACTACATCTCATGGTCGTGTTGGTGCTACAGCCGCTGTTTATAGTGCAGCCATTTTGGAATATCTAACCGCCGAAGTACTCGAATTGGCTGGTAATGCATCGAAAGATCTCAAAGTAAAACGTATTACACCTAGACATCTTCAATTGGCCATTCGTGGTGATGAAGAATTGGATTCATTGATTAAGGCAACCATTGCTGGTGGTGGTATGTTAACAAACATTTTTGTTTTCATAATTCAGATTGATTTGAATTTTTTTTTCTTATTTTCATTCATAAAGGTGTCATTCCACATATACACAAGTATTTGATTGGCAAAAAAGGAAACGCACCACAAAAACCTGCGTAAAAAAAAAATTTTCCATCATGATCATATCTAACACTTGTCCATTTATAAAAATGAATCAACTGTCTATTTATATAATCGAAAAAATTGACCCGGAAATGAACGAATTACACGATCATACATTTATCTCTATCCCTACTACTACTTTTTAAATGTAATCATCAAACACAATAACAACATTCTTAACCAATCATACCTACCTACCTATATACATAATAATAACACATTTTTTATGCGAAAAAAAAATTTTCTTTTCCCTTCATATTTTCATTTTTATCATTCACATATAATTTTATTTTAAATTGCGATTTGTAATTCATATATTCATTCATTGTAATCAACCGATCATAAAATTGATATTACAAAACAAACAAAAAATGACTTTTTTTAATATGAGAATTGAAAATTCCATTATTATAATCTAAATAAAACATTTGAATTTTTAATTATCGACTGTAATAATGTTTAAAATTTAATTTAATCAACATAAACATCGTAATAGATCAATTGTTTCGAATAATAAACGTGTAATGGTTATGATGATACAATCCCAGATTAGATAATGTATACCGATAGCTATATGTTTAATACTGGCAATGTATGCATTACGTTTTCGTATCAATTCTGAATATGATGATGATGTTGATGATGATTGTTGTTGTTGTTGTTGTTGTTCATCTAATGCAGATAATTGATTTTTATTATTGATGGATAATTGATGTGGATATAAAAGTGCAAAATAACTTTCACTTGAACCAATGGTTGTCAATTCAATCATTGTACCCGGTGGTATCTGTAATTGATCATTAGCAATGAGAATATATTCATGGAATTCATTGTTTGTCATTTGATTACTCATTCGTATCATTAATGTTCGATCAAAAATGATTAATCGTATTGGTTCAATGAAATTATCATCAATATAGCTACGAAATGATTCATACGGACGATCAGCTAAAAATAATGTTAATGAACCATTTTGTTCATTCTGCCGTATGATCGAATCAAATGATTCAAAATGATTCAATAAACGTTGTCGCCAATAATTTGATTGTGGATAAATCGGTATTATCCAATCGGCCATTTCAAATGGTGACCATTGTGCACGAATTAAATCAACATTTGGATCAAATATTCGTTGTGCAAATCGGCCATTCAATGAGGTCCATACATCTAGATATAATTCAATATGTTCATAATAATCATTATTCATTCGAAGTTTTTGTTCAACACATCGAGCAAATTGTTTAGCCATATCAGCATGATGTGTCCAACGATTATTATGTGTCCATGATTCACTATCTAAATAACGTATGATTGTTTCATTATTACGACGATCATGGGCACGAATTTTGATTTGTGTATGTAAATGATTCCAATTATGTACCATCATATCCCAATTATAACCATATATACCGGTTGTCCATGTATTATAACCACGAAATATTAGAAATGCAAATGGTAATGTTAATTGTATGATGATATATAATATGACAAAGATGGCAACAAAAATACGACGAATATTCCAATGAAAATGTTGTGGCTGTTGTTGTTGTTGTTTATTCTGAACATTAGTGTTACAGTGACTATTATCGGTGATTGGATTTTTGTTACAAAATTTGTTTCCCATACCAAGTTTCCAAATAATTATCATTGGCCAATCTGGCCGACAAAATATAGGCATTATAGCCAACATTATCCATGGAAACATACCGATTTGAAATAATTGTGAATTGATTAGATTAAATATTGAACATAAAATAAATGCTAGCCAACGAGTTGGTTGATAGATGAGAAGAAAACCAACAAAAAGATCAAAAATAAAACCAATTAAATGTATGAGATAATAATCGATCCAATAATCAGGTATCGATAATAACCTGTTATAAATAATAGAATAATAAAATATGAATCAATTTCAGGATATGATCTCAGGTTATTTATTTATTTTTCATATATTTATTTACATGGCAGAACGAAAAATCCAATTCTGTGAAATATTAATCATTGAATAGCCTGAAAGCCAATCGGGATTGAATTTTTTCAAACCAGCATAAAAATAAACAATGAATATCTGAAAACGAAGTAGAAAATATTGCCAATGTTCAATGTAATCATCATCATCATCATTTTTACGGTTATTCCAAAATGAATCTAATGACCATTTATGATTTGAATCATTCATTAATAATTGAATAGCTAACAATCCAAATAGATATGAATGATTATTCCAACGGCTTCGATCTTGCATCAATAATATCCAATAAGTAATTGTATAAAGAAATGTACTTAACCGATAATGATAACCAAGTATAATGCCGATCAAACCGATAATCATGATAGTGTAAATGGCATATATAAATGATGGTTGAACATTGCTATCAAATGATAATGATTCGAATAATGGAAATCGACATCTTTGTTTGATCATCGTTTCGGACCATATAATATCGGCACGTGATAGACCACGTTCATGAAATGTATCGATAAATAAAAGAATACCGATAATGATACGATTGAAAGCTAAACTTGATGCATGGCTAGGTTGAAATAGAAATCGAATGAATCGATTAACTGGGCGATTATGATGATGATGATGATGATGATGGCTATCCATCGCCGTATCGGACTTTGTTGTTGTAATATTTCGTTGTTGTTGTTGTTTCATTTTTGAACGATTGAATTCAAATGAATTCAATACTTTTGTTGGAACCATCATCATCGAAAAGATCCATCCATTCAGATGATCCAAAATGGCATGTCCATTTTAATCAATCATTCCGAATGACGATGATGATGATGATGATGACAACGAAATAATGACGACAAACAAGCAATGTATGGTTTCTATATATATATGTAAATATTATTATTATTTATATCGAATGGTAAAAAAAAAATATAACGGATAAAGAAAACAAAAAAAAATTATGGATCGAAATATGAATAGTGAGAAATTGAGTATACAAAAGTAGCAGTAATTGAGAGAAATATATTGTTGTTGGATTTATGGAATACAAATTCCATAAGTCCCATTGGCAGATAGAGAGAGAGAGAGAGAGATGTCGAGTATATATGATAATGGTGTGTGTGTGTGTGTGTGTCAAAAAAAAAAATTACATCAATTTGAAAACAAATTGAATTTGAAACATTTTTTTTCCTGGTTTGGTTTAGTTAATGGAAAACGGAAACATACATCAATAATTTACCGGAAAACCATTATAAATGAATAAATTAAAAATGTTTATGTTTAATGTGTGTATGAAGTGTATGTTAGGCAATACGACAAACAAAAAAAAATGACCACCCAATTATATAAATACCTGGACAATAATAATAATAATAACAACAACAACAACAATAAAAACAACAACAACAAAAGTATGTAGCTTTTGGAAATGTTTTTGCATTTTTTTCCGATGTATGTGTGTGTGTGTGTGTGTGTGTGTATGATGATTGAAAATTATAAAATTGATAAATTAAGATTTTTTTTTTTTTTGGTTGATAAAAGAAAAAATGAATTGAAAACAATCATCAATCAATAAAAGAACAAAACAGAAATATCATTGGAAAAAAAACAACAAAAACAAAATGATATAAAACGATTGTCAAAAAGTATAAAATGTGTGTGTGTTTAGTGATTATTAATCACGATCACGATTCATTGATAATAATTAGTAAATGTTTTGTTTTGTTTGTTTGTTTTTTTAAAAAAAAAATTGTACAATTTTTGTACAAATAGATATAGTTGATTGATATAAATAGTTTGAAATTTGTATTTTATAAAAATAAAATTAAAAAAAAATGAAAAATGATAAAATAAAGAAAGTCGATGGGCTTTTTGTATATATGTGAATAGTGTGAATGTTTTGTCATGATAATGTACGTTGTTCAATGATTCATAATTCTTTCATTCAAAAAAAAAAAAATACAGGTGGGTTTTTTCGGATGTTTTTGTTCACCGAGCGAGAGAAAGAGAAAGAGAATAGGCGAATTGACGATATGGGGGCAGTAGTATTCATCATCGGATTCTGTCTGTGTTTGTGTGATAGATTTTTCAGATTCATTTATATATAACAATTATAATAATGCAATATAACGAAACAAACGAAAATGTAACAGCAACAAAAAAAAAATAGAAATAGCAAACAACAATCATAAGGAATGAATGAATTCTATTCCTGTATGAAAATTCACACGAAAAAAAAATCAAAGAAAAAGTGTTATTGGTTTGTTTTGTTTTGTTTTGTTTTTTTTGTTGGCTTTATCATCCAAAATTATAAACGAGTATTATTTAAGATTAAAATTTGCTTCTTTTTTCCATTGATTGAAATCCATTAAGATTGATGATGATATTTTAAGGCAGCATTATATATATATTTTTTTTAGGCACAATAATTGAACATCATTATGTAATATTTGTGTTTTTATGGTTGTGTAGGTGTGGCAATGATGAGTTGATGGCAATTGATTAATAAAAAAAAATTTTATTTTCTTCACAATAATATTTTTTTTTCTAAGAAACAGAACTGGCAGCAGTTTGTTGTTGTTGATGATGATGATTATGATGAGATTTTTGACCACGTTGTGATGACATTACTTTGGCCACATCTGAATGTTTTAGTTTTTTATGTTCTTTAAGATAATCTTTTCTTGAATATGATTTTAAACAAATATCACATTCATAACGTTCACGATCCGCATAATGACGTGTCATATGTCGTCGTAGACTACTGTATGCTGTAAATGTTAAATGACATAGATGGCATACACAAACTTTGGCTATTTTTGGGAGAATCAAAAGGAATTTTTCAGATAAAAAAGAATTTGGTCAATAAAAAAAAATTACTTGAATTATTTGGCGTACTATTAGATCCGGTCAATGAATTTTCCAATATAGGACCAACGGCGGCAGCAAATGAACTTGAATTAAATGATGAATTATCATCCATTGTTGAATTGGTTGGCGATGGTGATTCATCCAATGATACTATTGGTTTTACATCCGCTACAATCACCAAAACATTTGTGGTAAAAAAATCATCAATTCATCATCATCATAATGGGTTAAAACTTACGATAAAATTCATCATCCGAATCATTCATTGACATCATCATTGCATCTTGTGCCATTGAATCACCCTAGATGTTTTTATTTTTGTATAAAAAATTAAAATTCAATTAATCAAACAAGAATGTTAACAATTTTTTTTTAGTTTGACACTCACATTTTCATTATCGCCAATATTTGATGATGTATCCCCATTTGTAGCCAACATATGATGACTATGATGTTGACCACCACCACCACCATCATCATCATCATCATCTACATCATCGCCTCCATCATCTTCTTGATCCTCATCTTGATGTTGATGTTGAGTATTACCATTGATCATTGATTGTGGTGGTGTTGATGATGATCTTTGATGATGATTACTATTATTATTATGACCATTATTATCTGAATTATTATTAAATGAATCTGAATCATTCATGTTGGATTCTTTTAAACGTTTCGATGGTAATGATAGATTTGATATGGACTCATCACCACTATCTATGCCTAAATCATCGTTGTCATTATTATGATGATTATGATCACCATTACCGTTACCATTATGACGACCACCATGATGATCCATATGATGATTATGATTATGATTATTCGTAGATTGTTGTCTATTAAACATTAACATTTTGGCATTGTTTGATGATGATAATGATTGATGACGTTTTGTCGTCGTCGGTGGTGATGATCCAAATCCATTTGTGGTTGTTGCTTTGGTTGTATTAGAACCGGCACAGGAAGAAGCAGCAGCTGCCGCTGCAGCTGCTGCGGCTAATGAATTGAATGCAGCTGCCGCTGCAACACCATTTGCATTAAATACATTGGCTAATGCCATGGCACTTCCATTTTTATGTTTTTTTCGTCGTTTTTTAAATCTTTGTGCCATAAATGCTAGATAGGCATTCGATGGTTCACCATTTCCGCCGCTACCGGTATTTGTCCCATCACTAACATTGCCACTACTTGCAGCTATTGCTTGATTTGTTAATGATTCTAATGCCATACGATTATAAAAATTAGCCACTGAATCATTCGCACCACCTGTAGGCGTTGTTGTTCCATTTGGAATATATGGTGAACCAGGTATATCGTTGGAAGGAAATTGGCCAGCCAATGGTCCACCATTACCACCAATACCATTGAAAAAAGCATTACCATGTTTTTCATTAACATCGGTTAATCCTTTAATTTTTAATGCTTCAGCCGTTTTCAATAATGGTCCTAATTGTGAATATGATACGTTTACTTCACCTGAATACATAAAATTAATGATTGCTTGTAGATCTTCATAATTGATATCTTTCAATATCACAATCGGATGTTTACATGGATTATTGATAAATAAATCACGAAAATATGTTGAACATGCTGATAGTACTAATTTATGTGCCTTTATACTAACACCATCACATGCTAATGTAACGTCGACAAAATTTTCATCACTTAATAATTCATTGAACACTTTGACCATATTATTACGATGATTATTCCATTTAAGGCAATATTGTTGTTGTTGATGATGTGCTACCGTTGAAGCTGCAGCGGCGGCAGCAGCAGCCGCCGATGATGAACCGGAATTACCACCACCATAATGTGATGATGAAGATGGTGGTGGTAATGGTGATTGTAATAATGGCTGTGGTGATGGTGAATTATATAAGGCACTCATCTGTTGTTTTTGATAATGAGAAAAGAATAAAAATGAAGAATAAATATTATTCGTTAGTTGATTATGATTAAAATTTCCGGAAACGGATACAGAATTGGCCATTTGATTTTGTTTCAAAACCAAGAAAAAAAATCAATCCGTTTTTTGTGATTCTTTTTTTTTATTTTTATTCGTTATTTAAATTAAGCACCACACACACACACAAACATGTGCTCAGTAATATCAGGAAAAACTATTCACAACTCTATCAACCAAAAAAAAAAACAATGGAATCGTTTTCGTTTGTAAAAAGAAAAAAAAACAGGATTGTTTCATTCAGATTAAACTAACAAACAAAGCCAAAAACAGGGGCAAAAAAAATATGGCCACTCTGATTAGATAAATGCTACAAGTACTACAGACATCTTTGATTTGGATCAATCGTTTGGTCATTTTTTCTACACTACTATGTTCATGAACAAAAAAAAAACGATAAGCGGTTTTTTTTCATACGATAAACAAGATGGAACATACGTATACACATACACAGAGAGAGAGAGATGTGTAAAAAGATTGGCTACACATATCAGGCAGAAAAAAGCAGCAGCATTCATTTAACAGTAATAAAGAAACATCCATCCATCCATCCATCCATCCGCTATTCAACTATTTCGACATCATTTGGATTATTGATGATAATGATAATAATAATAATAATAATAAATGGACAGAATGTGATGTAACAGTGAATGAGTGATATCCAAATTGATCCAAAATGAATTAACAAAAATAAAAACAAAACAAAACAAAAAACAGAAATTGAAACTGGGCTAATAATCAAAATGGAGAAAAAAAAACAACAACAGGACATAAAGCAATACAAAATCACACACATACACACACATATGGTTGGACTTTAAACACGTTCATGATGGTCATCATCATCAGACAGACAGACACGTTTATTTATTTATTTTTTTTTAAGAAAGCCAATAATAAAAAAAAACAGAAATCTAGAATATAGCTTGTTATTGGCTTAACTTAATTCAACTTATACACACACACACACACACATACACGATTTGTCTGTTTGTTTGTTCCGAAAGCACCACAACCACTATATCATGATCATAATCGATTATCAATTATATATGATGATTGGAAAATCAATGAAGAAAAATTACTGGATTCAAATCGTCTCCTCCCCATTATCATCATGATAATCATAATAAATTGATTGATATTGATAATGACCGAATAAATAAATTAATTAATTTAAAATTATGAAATAAACAAAATATTTAATGGAAACAAAATTTTTTTTTTTTGATTTTATCAAACAAAAAACATTAAATAGAACCAATAAGGCTTGGAAAACGTTGAAATCACTCTCTCTTACACCTATTTCATTGTAACCAAAATTTTCATCAACTATTTCCACATAAAATGGGTGAAACAGATGTAAGCATACGCACGCACATCTATATGAACATCCGGTATCCATATATCATTATATGGGTCTTGTAATATACAAGAGCAATATGGGCGAGAGAGAGAGAGAGGGAGAGAGCCAAAATGGTCAAAGAAAAGAAAAAACGAAATAGATTGGTCCAAATGAATAAATGTTAGAAAAAAAGGGATAATAACGGCTAGTTATACATAAAAAAACAAGTTGTTGTTGTTGTTGTTGTTGTTATTGTTGGAACGATTTCAAACGATATCACCATCATCAAATGTGGCGAAATAGTGGCCCGAAAAAAGAAAAACTTGCCTTTCACGCGTAACAATCGCAACAACATCATCATGACTCCTGCTGCTTTATACACACACACACACACACACACATACATTCAATGGCCCTATGAATGGGCCAACAACAATTTCTCTTCCTAGTTTTATACAAGTCAGCTAAAAAGAAAAAAAAATTCACCTGGCGTCCAGAAGATAACGACAATGTCTAAACCGAAACGATTGGATAGATGGACACACGACTAACCTATTATTATTATATAACAACGAAAAACCTATGACCACCACCACCACCACCAACATCACACCAATGTTATTTTAAAAAGAAAGAGAAATTTTCTTGAAAAGTAAAAGTTAAAATTTTCTTTTTTTCTTTCTCCTTCATTTTTTTTACATCAATCGAGGTTACATCAGATGGTATGGTGATGGTGAATGGTGGCTCCCTTAGTTTCTGAAATGAAATGATGATGATGATGATGGTCCATACACATAAATGGGCGCCCTTTCAGCCTAATGAAAATGAGGACGCCCTGACCAACCAACAACAACAGCAGCAGCAGAAGTAGAAGTAAAAAAACTAAAATTTTCGGGCCAGCTGCTGTTGTTGAGATTGAAATAATAATGACCGATGACCAAAGGGCGAATACAAACGAATCAGCGTTCCATTCATCTCTCTATATTATGGAAGATAAAGGCCAAATATACTACATATGATTATGAATGAATGAATGGATTTTCAACTTTCTTTATCATTTTTTTTGCATTAGATTTTTTTTTTGATCGATAACATCATCAAGTCTATGTTTCCTAGCTGGGCGCCATTTTTTATATCAGAAAAAAATCGACCTATACTGATATTGATGATGATGATGATGAACCCGACCTGGCATGTATAAAATGAATTTTTCTTCTTTTTTCTTTTGCTACACACGCGCATTAGGCGGTATTTTTTTGTTGAATTCATTAATTTATCTTAATAGTTTAAAAAAAAAAAAAAATAGAAGAGAAAATAAAAAATCTTGGAATGGAACGAAATGAAACGACCCGAACCAACCATAATAATAATGATGATGATGATGATGATGAGCAAGAGTTGATCAGAAGAAAAAAAAACGATGAAAGTCCTGAATGAAAAAGAAAAAAAAAATCAGGAAGTAATCATTCTATTTGAGCGTGATAGAGATCGAGCATAATGATTATCAATGAAAAGGATACGAAGTAGAAACCGAAAGAAAAAACCTGGTCTATAAAAAAAAGATGATAATGGAAAAAAAGGAATAGGAGTATTTTATATATCCCGAATGATTATTGTCAAACACAACTGAGTCGAAATAGGCAATAATGAGATTGAATGAAATAGTTTTTTTTTGAAGATTTGGGTTAAGTTTGGTAATCGAAATCGTTAAACCACCAAACAAACATACCACAAAACAAATGGATCTCATCATTTCACCCAAAATAATAATAGCCTGAAACTTTTTTAACCGAATGAAACCGGAAGTAAAAACAATTTTTCCTTTGCGAACCAGTGCCAAAACCAAAAAAAAAAAAAAAAAAACCTGAATCTTGCCTAAGACAGCAACAGTAATCAGTGGTCTAGGCCACAAACAAAACAAAAGAAAAACAAAAAAGAGAAACGAAGTTGATCGAACAAATGGCGAATAAAAGGGAGAAAAAAAGAGAAAACCAAAAAAAAAAGAAAAAAAACCTGCCACGTTGTTCCAATTGGAACATGTAAATACTATACAATTAACCTGTTCCAGCAGATGATTTTATTTATCATTTTTTTTTGGTCAAAATCTGTAATATAAAGGTGGTGGAGGTTTCTAGACACACAACAGACACAGACCACATTCACATTCTACTGACATCAACAAAAAAAAAATTTCTCTTTTTCTTTCTCTTCATCAGTTGTATATTGTTTCATTTTATGATGATGATGAAAAAAAATTAGCCAAAAGAAACGGGCAAATAGCCGTTGGGAGTCTTGAGAATGACAGAAAATCAACAACAACAACAACAAGCTATAAATGTGAACGAAGAAAAAGAGAGAAAAAAGAAAGTGAAATTTTCCCAAAAGGAATGAAAAATATTCAAGCCCAATCCAAAAAGTAAATGAAAAATACCGAAATGATGAAATGAGGTCACCATCTTTATTTTCTGTTCACCACCATCAATTGAAAATGAAATGAATCAAAAAAAAAAAAAACTAGAAAACAACTTGACTTTTGGGCGACTTTCTCTCCTCCATCATCATCATCATCATCATCATGTTTATCTGAAACTAACGAAAAACTTGGAAAAACTTCATCTTTGGAACTGGAATTTCAACTCGAATTATCAATCAAGCCCTATGTGTGTTGTTGTTATTATTGTTGTGTCGGTGTAGTGGTGGCGGTGGTGATGGTGGTGGTGTGATTTTTCATTTTTATTTTCTTTCGTATGGTTTCAGACAAGTTCCATATGTATTTTTTTGTTTTGTTTTGTTGAACAGGTTGTAGAACTTTGTGATGTTTGTTGTTTGTGTTTATAAGAACTGATGAAATTTTTCATGAAAATAATGATGGACACACCCACATTTAGCCTCCCTTAGAGGTGAGAAAAGGTCCACCACTATCATGGATTTGGGTGCTGTATTCGTGCCTTTTTTTTCTATAGAAGACTTGACTGGAATAAATTGAAATGCGACTCAATTTTAGATCCAATTGAAACAGGCAGGCATATAGATACAAAAACAAAATAATACTTTACATTGATCCAAGATGGACAACAACAACAACAACAAAAAATGGTAGACAAGAGGATGAATTAAATAGCATGCCATTCAAATGGTCGAAAAAAAAACAAATAAAAGGTCAACTCCAGATCACCGTTATACAAATGCATACGAATATTTGGATAAAATAAATGATTACCGTGTATACATCATCATCATCATTCTCTCTCTCTATATATCTCTCACTCTCTTACTCTTTCTGTTTCCGAACATTTTTTTTTACAAATCTCATCCTTATATCATTGGGATTAGAAAATTACCCGGATTATTTAGCTACAATTTCCTAGGTTATGAAAAAAAAATTTGTCATTAATTCAAATCTACCTGTTCATATCCTGTTTTACATGGCCGCTATAATTTAAAGATCATCATCATGATGAGGATATCCAGATGATCCATTCATCCATCCATTCGTATCTGGAATGGAATAAATGAATGGATCATTCATTCACAATCAATCATACTGGATGGCAATCAATCATAATGATTGATTCTTAGCATCAGCAAACATCATCAAAAGTTGACTTTGACATTTGTTACCGTTCTTACCTTGTTTTTTTTTGTTGAGTCTAGTTGATTGATTAAATTATGCTGTTATACATGGAATGAATGGTAGAAAAAAAGAACAACAAAATTTTCGATTTCATAAAAAGATGGCACAAATATTGATGATGATGATGATAATTTTTGTTTGAATGAAATAAAATCGTAAAAATCAAAAACAAATTAGTAAAACACAGTTTTTATTCATGTAGTTGTTGTTGTTGTTGTTGTTGGTAATAGGGCAATACAAAATGAACATTGCATCATTCACATTTTTTACATTATCACAAACATACGCACAAAGTTCCAAAAAAAGAATCCGATGAATTTGATGATCAACAAAAATGTGACATTTAAAAAAAATTATCATCAATCTTATGTGTCATTTATGAATGAAAGACAAAAAAATTGGGGATGAATGATTTTTCATTTTCATTTTCATTTTCATTTTTACCAAAAATGGTCACATACTAAATGATGATAATAATACACGTTCGATTAGACGTGTAACGTTTAACATCGACACGAATTGACACACGATCCATGATTCAGTGATTCGGTCAATCAATCAAATCAGAGAGAATTTCGAACACGGTATTCATACACTATGGATACTTCCGATGTTACAGGTGGACAACATACACACACACACACACAAATACGGATTCGAAAGAATCCGTTATCTTAAATAGATTTGGTCATCATTATCATCACCAATAAAAAGAATCACCAAATTGATTTAAACCAAAGAACCAACAACAGCAAAAAAATACTGAAAAGAAAAATTAATCACAAACGATTTTTATCGAAAGCATGCACACGTTGAAACACAACCAAAAAAAAACCACCACCACCACCATGGACTAATAAAGTTTTTTTTCGGCGTTGTTGTTGTTGATTATGATGATGATGATGATGTTGAGTGTGGTATATACACTGGATGCACTGATGATGGCGTGGATGGAATCTGATTTTTTTTTCTTATGATTGTGGATTTGTTAATCATGATGATGATGATGATGATGATGAGTGAGTGGCCACCATTTCTAACATACTCTCTCTCTCTTCTTTTACTTTTATTTAGTTTCTGAAATCAGAAGAAGAAAAAATCAGTTTTGATGTTGTTGTTGTTGTTGTTGTTGTGGTTCAATTTTGCCATCATTCTCTTTCTATTTTTTTTCTGGGATTTCTGTGCCAATACAACAGCAACAAGTTTCACGTTCTTTCTCTCTCTCTCTCTTTCTTTTATTCACGATACGTTTTTCATCATCTGAAATACCAAAAAAGATGTTTTTGTTGTTGTTGTTTTTCGTTTGTTTCGCATTGATGAATTGTTCATTATTGACTGGTTTTTATTCATTCAAAAGTTAAGTTTCAATTTTGGTTTTAGCACATGGAACATAGCAAAAAAAAAACAGTCTCTTGGTTATTGGTGTTTATGGACATGATCATCGTTGGTGTTGGTTGTTTGTTAAATGTCCATTTCATTCGAATGGATTCTTCTCTCTTTTCTCAATCATGATGATGATGATGATGATGACTTTCTCTTCGTTATTTTCACCGTTTCGTTTTCAGGAACTAAGAAATATGATGAATGACCAATGTTTTTTGAAGTGATGAAATAATTCGAATTGCAGAATTTTGTCTGGTTTGTTTATCAGGTTACAATAAGTGAGTGCTGCGTATGTCTTTTGTTTATGATTATTATTATTATAACGTGCGCGGTGGAGTTATGTTTCAAATGAATTTCAATTTTTTTTTTTTTGGTTTACCCTCTGGTTTTTTTCTGAAAAAAAACGGCTGGTCGGTTTTTTTATGTTGCAATATTCAGTTGTTGTTGTTGTTTCTGTTCCTTTTCATTACATTTTCTCTCTTTTCTTTTGATAGCGATGATGATGATTTTTTTTTTTTTCGTTCACAGATTCACAATAGGTCGGAGTCGATGACGAAAGTTCTAAAGCACAAACAAGGCAACGCCACCATCAAGTAAACAGATTTGATGACGAATTTTCCAATTTTTTTTCTGCTCGAAATATCAAAAAAAACGTTGATTCACATCGTATAAATTGAATTTCATTTGTTTCCATTTGATATTTAAATATCTAACAACAAAAAAATGGCCCGTTATATGACAACAAATGCAACACATTCACAGATGTGATGGACAAAGCATTCGATTCGATTTTCGAAATGAACTAGAAAATCAAACCAGATTTTTGTTGTTGTTGTTGTTGTTGTTGAATTGACCATCGAAAGCAAAGATTGAAAAAAAATATGTGAACACCATCAGCATTTGAATTTTTTTTATGCGTTGTGTTCTGGTCACACAACATGTCATATACTTTGGGTAATGTACTTCTGTTTTCTGGCTCGAATTTATATTTTTTTCTTTCGTTTTTTTTTTGGTCCACACACACACCACAATCTGGTCTGGTTAGTTTTTTTTATACAGATTATGTGTGTGTATATGTAGAACTAGGTTTACCTACCTAGAAAAAAAAGCTGAAATAAAATGAAAGAAAAGATAACGCGATAAATGAAAGAAGAAGAAAAATTCTTTTCTTAATACTCATCATCATCCTCCCTTCAAGATACGATACCCAACATTTTATATAATTTAACCAAACCTGGTTTTTTCTTCTTCATTTTCTACTATTTGTTTCTATTGCTTTGGTTGTTTGCAATATACTCCTATTTCATTTCATTTCTTAGCTCCACAGGTAGCCTAAATTATCATTTTCTTTTCATATGTCCATGAGATTCGAAGCAAGAGAAAGAGAGAGAGAGAGAGAGAGCAAACGGTTGATTATTATTACAGGTTCTTCTTGGGCTTTATTGATTTGGTTAGTGGTTGGTTGTCCTGGTCGAGCTGGTTCGATTTTTTTTTCATCTTATTTATTTTCGGGTTCGTCTTCGTTCTCTTTCTCTCTGGATAGATGATCGTCGGTGGTAGCTTTATTTTACATACACGACGTACGAATGTTGATCGACAACCAGAGCTTTTTCTCTGAACCCAAAAAAATAGCAAACGAAGAGGGAGAATTTTTTCGTTTTTTTTTATTTTTTGGTTGACCAAACCTAAGTTTTTCTTTTTTTTCCAATTTAGCCACATAATCACCAGCTTGATCTGGTCACAAGACATGATGATGATGATCGTCGTTGTCTTGGTGTGTGGCAGTGTTGCTGGTGTATGTAACATGATTAACCAGTTTTGACCAGTGTGTGTATGTGATACACCTACCTCCTATTTATTCGTCTTTCGAACAACAAAAAAAATGTCCAAAAAAATATTTGATTTTTCTAATTGAGAAACGCAAAAAAATTTCGGTTTCACATTTGATTCCAATTGAAACACACATTGAAAAAGAAAGACCATTAAAAGGAAATTTCATCAAACCATAACCGAATAAAAAAAAATCTTCCAACAACCATTAAAAGGTAAAGCATAACATGAATGAACATTTCAAATGATTGACATTATGATGATGGCGGCTTGAAAACAACGATGACGATGACGACGACGACGACCGAAAAGAAGAAGAAGAAGAAGACACACCAAAATTAACAAAAAAAAACAACTAACGACTTCCGTGTCTTGAATATTTTGCTTTTGGTTAACATTTTTTTCGTTTCGTTTCGTTTCGTAAGATTGGAGCAATCGAATGTAAAAAAAAAAATAGACAAATCTTGTGTTGTGTTGTGATGGATAGCTTGACCGTTCTTGTTCATTTGGATGAAACAGCATGAAAACATAAAAAAAAATTCAAATCCGATAAATTCCCATTCGTGTTATCAACATTTTCGATAAATATATATCTTTCAATCAATCAATGAAAAATAAAATAAAAAAATTCAATTAGCTCCGCCTTTTTATAATGATATGATATTTTTTTGGGTTATTTTTTATTTTTTTTTATTGTCAAAATTCTCTGATTGGTGGTTATATTGACGATTGATGATGACATGGCGTAATCATCAATCGGTATTGCACATTTATAAATACTGTTTGGATGCCATATAAATTGATCCTATAATACCATAAATGGGCGTCTCTATACCGAAAAAAAATTTGTTTTTTTTTCTCTTTACAAATGCTCATCATCATCATCATCATCATCCAAACTTTAGTTCCGGTTTTTTTTTGCTTCACTCTACCCATAATTTGCTAACAAATTTTTTTTTTTTTTTTTTTGGACAACCCGAACAACTACTGGAGCAACAGATGGTGATGGTGATGATGATGGTGGCCAACAACTTTTTTTTCCTGTAACAACAACAGCAGCAGCAGCAGACCCATTTGGAAAATGAAAAACTTGACCAACCGGAAACGGAACTAGATCCACACTATATTGTGTGTGTGTGTGTCTGGTGTGAATGCATAACAACAACAGCAGCTGTATAATCACGTCACATTGTTGATAATGATAACAGTGTGGTTTTTTTTTATTTTTCTTCACCATCATCATCATCATCATCAATCCTGACAGTTCCACAAGACAACTGGATCATCATCATCATCATCAACATCATCTACCTGAAAAAAAATTGGTCAACAACAAAAAATAATGAGAATGAGAAAGATAATTCTAAAACCATTTCTCGGCTTCTTATTTTTCATCATCTTTAAACCTAAAGGTAATGTGAAAATGAAAGTGAAATTATCTTTCTCTTTTGCCTTCCCCTTCAACAATCACTATCATTTCTTTTAGTTTTTAATTCAAAAAAAAAAATCATTCATCCATTCACACACACACACACAGTGAATGAATTTGAGAGATGTGTGTGTGTGTGTTTGCGAGCAAACCAGGATTATTATTGTTGCTGCTATTTCTTCAATGAGCCAGTTATATTTTGTTCAAATTGTATACAAAAAAAAAATGGCGTTGGTTGCAATCCAACATCTTTGCCCACCATTTTGCAATGGTCAATTCAGTTCAATGAGAGAAAGAGAAAGAGAAAAGAACCTGTTCTCATCACACACACATACACATGTATGTTATTGTTGAAACAAAACAGAACAACGCCCACTTTACTTTGATTTCAATGATGATGATCTTATCGCCAAACACCATCATCATCGAAATCATCATCATCATCACCAATCTATAATGTTTGTATGCTGTTACACGTATTTTGTTTTGTTGTTTTTATTTTTTTGGCTATTAAAGATGTAATTTTTCATGATTTTTTTCCCCATTTTCACATCACTTGTTCTGAACATTATCGATAGGTTTTTTTTGTTTTCTTTTTGGCTGCTGCTTTTAAATCAAAAGCAAGAGCAATACAGATCTTGCTGATCTGGCTAATCAAAATCTATCGAAAGAGAGAGAGAGAGAGAGAGAGAGAGAGAGAGAGAACGGATAGATCATGTTTTTCATAAGATTTAAGTATTGGGCCAACCTGTGTGTAAAAAAGAAAAATCCCTTTCTGGAACAAATCCGTTCCATGAATATGATGATGATGATGATCGGATGATAATACAGGTATGGCCTATGAAACATGAAATGAAATGAAAAAAAATAGGAAATGGCCAATTTTGTTTTTCCATTTCAACATATACACACCTGGAACTGGTGAATTGACTTTTTTTTTCCCGATCAAATCATGTCCAAATAGCTGAAATGGGGAAAAAAATTGAATCCGCATCATCATATATGTTTTATGCATCTTTTTTTTAAAAGAAAAAAAAACTGGTTTTTCTTCTGTACACACACACACACACACACACACACACATAACTTTCTGGCTTTTTCGTAGCAATTTTTTTCTTTGATTATTTCTGAGAATTTTTTTTTTATCTTATTATACTTTATATTTTCACCAGTCTCGACTGATAACGAAAAATTGATAACCAGTGTGTGTGTGTGTGTTTGGAAAACAACATTCAACAAACATTGAAGACGAATAAAAATAAGATGAAAGAAAAAACCAGATAGCCATACCTCTCTCGGTGTATGTGTGTGTGTGTGTAGATGGATAAAATCTTAATCGTTTGTTTTTTTTGGTGGTGGTGAATGATTTCCAATCATTTTCTCTGGTTTTCCCAAATATAGCCAATCATTCTGGTATTTTTTTTTCATGTAGAAAAAAAAACAACAAGTTTATTCGGCTGGTTGATTTGGTTTTATATTTTCATTAAAAAAAAACCCAAGAAAGAATTTTTTCTTAAAAACTTTCAAGCTTAACCACCACCACCGAATTAATTTATTTTGCTGACTACACACTATTAAAATCATATTTCAGGATATTGATGGAAAATAAATACCTGGACATTCAGAGAAAATGAAACTTGGATCAATCATTATCGTTTGTATACAGAAAAAAAATTCAATTTAAAAAAACAACGACAACACTAACCCCATCTACCATCGTCGTCGGTGTTTGATTAAATGACAAGAATATTTATTCATTTTCAGAAAAAAAAATTCAAGAATTATTAATAAGAAGACAGATATCAAGAACAATAACAAAAAAAAATAAAATAAAAAAAAAAAAAAAAAAAAAGAAATAAGCAAAAAAAAATAGGAAACCAATAAAAATGGTTCATCATCATCATCTGCTGCTGCTGTTGGTGGTGGTGGTGGTGGTGTTAGGTGTGTATACATCATACATATCATATAATCATATAATAAAGAGAATTTAGGAATAGTATAAAAAAAGGAAGAGGTATGTGTGTGATTTTTTTTTCGATGTGAATTTAATTTCCAAATCATTACCCATCATCATCATCATCATCATCGACAACAACAAGAATAATTGAAAAAAAATCAATTAAAACAAAAATAACAACAACAACAATGATGAAAAATGGGGGTATTATATGAGTGTGTGTGTGTGTGTGTGTGTGTGTGTTTGTAAGTGTTACAGTATTTCAAGTATCAAGAGAGGATATAGAGAAGGAGAATAGTAAATACATATAATAATCAATAATATCACATTGAGATCAAGATCAATAATCAAATTGTTCAGAAAGAAAGAGATACATGAAGAAAATTCAATCAATTTTTGTCGTTGTCAATGTTGTTGTTGTTGTTGTTGTTTATTGATTGAATCATCATTATCATCATCATCATGGACTTTATGAGTATTTTGAAGAATTCATAATCATTTATCAGTAAATATCATTGGTGACAATTAACCATTGATGATGATTATGATGATGATAATGATGATAATAATAGAAAAAAAATGGTGAGTGTGGGTGGGTGGGTGGTTGTGTTTGTTTGTTATATATACCTAATTATATATCTATATTTATAGATATCAAGATAGAAATAGAATGAATGAGAAAGACTATGTGCATCTATACGTGTAATCAGAAATATGAATTTAAGCAATTTTATCGATTTTTTTCTGTCATTAATTGTTTTAACACTAAATTGTTGTTTTGTTTTTTTTTTGGATTGAATAAATGTTTACGGTAAATTTTTTGAATGAAAACAAAAAAAATGGCCATATGATGATGATGACGATGATGATGATAAGTGTATAATGATGATCTGTCTGTTTGTCTGCAGTGTTTGTTTCATTTTGGTATTATGATAATAACAACAAGGAAAAAGAAAACATTCTTCTGATCATAGATCGATACAAATTTACTGGTGATGGTCATTTCAGATGATGATGATAATTTAAATGTTAATATAGCTGTGTATGGGGGGATCTATCTAATAATGGCGAAATTATTTTAACCACACAGATCATCATCGATCCTTCACCACGATATGTATAATATAACTGGGCTGGTGTGTCTCTGAGTTTGATTTTTTTTTTTTTGGATTTGGATTTAGATTAGATAGACAAATTAATATAGATTAATATTAATATAAATTAAGATTCTTTGAAAACCAAAAAGATTAATCGATTTGTGTAGATGAAGAAGGTGGTAGTTGTGGAGGTGGAGGATTCGAATGAGGAGAATTTTGCTGTTGTGATATTGTCGTTGCCGTTATTGATGATGTTTGTTCAATATTTGATGATGATGGTGATTTCTGATTCAGTTCTTGTTGCTGTTGATTGTAAACATTCTGATTATTTAAACCGATTGATAATGTTGTTGCTGTCGAACTTGCTGTTGTTGTTGTTGTTGTTTGAGTATTATTCGAATCGAAAATGGAAAACGAAGCTGCGGTAGTTGTAGTTGTCGAATGATCACTCTGGCTACTTGTTGCCAAACTATTGGTATGTTGATTTTGATGATTATTCGATGTAATATTAGTGATTACTGCTGATGAACCAATACTTCCATGATAATGATGATGATGATGATGTGGCTGCTGTTGCTGATGACAATGTTGATTTTGTTGTAAATTTTGTGAATGATGGACATTATTTGAACCGGAAATCGATTCATTATTCATTATTGAATGATCCGATACAGTACTATTTATATGATGTTGTTGACTATGATTATTCGTCATTGTAGTTGTTGTTGTTGTTGTTGATGTTGTTGATTGTGTTAACAATGTAATCATTGATCCACTATGTGGTTGTTGTTGTTGTTGCTGTAAGCGGCTACTATTCTCGGTTGTACCATAGATTTTTGTTGCTTTTTTCGCTATATTACTTAACATTTCTAATGAATCTTTATATGTTGATTTTAATGATTGTAACCATTCTCTTAGGCCAATATCATCCTAATGAAAAGAAAAAAAAACAAAACAAGAAAAAAAATGAATTTCATTAAATTATGTAATTTTTTTTTAAAAAATGGAATGAATTATTCATTACTGGATTAGTGAGAACAATACGTGATTCCGTTGGTTTCATTTTCAATACTATCGATTGTTCGCCTTTCACTTGAACATAATCTGAACAAATGGCTTCAATTTGATCCATGAATATTAGCTATTTTGAAAATAAAAAAAAAACGTTGACCATGGTTTTTTTTGTTGAAAAAAAAGAAGAAAAAACAAACCTCCGGACGACTACTATTATTATCTGAATGTAATTCCAAACGATTTGGATACAATTTTGCATATCGTGTTTGCCAAGCGGTTGAAAATGGTCCACCCAATTTTTTAATATAACCATGTAGAATGCAATCAGATTCTTTTTCATTATCTTCAAATTTATTCTTCAATTTTGCACGTTTTTTCATCTCAATTTTATCCGTTTCTGCATTGATTGCATCGAATACTGTTTCAGAAATTTCCTGTTGCCAACGATCACTAATAACAACGGGAAAATGTTTATATAGCTCTTGATCGGAATCCGTTAATTTAATTCCTTTTGTATCCTCTTCATCGAATGAACCAATATCGAATGCATCGGCTGCATTCACTTCACCACGTGGTGGTATCAATGTTGGTGGATATTTTTGTAGATAAACTAATTGCCAATCAATTCCTTTGAAAAATGGATGCTCTTTTACTTCATCAGCTCTACAATGAAAATGAAATCATAAAACAAATAGAAAACGAAAATAAATAATTTCCAATTTACCCATTTCCACGACAACCAAGACGTTTATCTACATCACGATGTAATAGACCTTCTAATAGGTTACGTAATTCATTTGAAAATGAATCCGGTAATTCGACATTCTAATTGATCAATAACAAAAAAAAATATTAATCCAAATCAATAATCAAATATTTGACATATACCATTGTAAGTGTCATACGATCAATTTCATGTTTATCTTTGGTTTTATGTTGTCTAAATGGACTATGGCTATAGGCAAAAAAAAAAAGATAAAAGATAAAAATAATTCCATCAGAAATTCAAATACATGGATTTACCCTTTTAAAAGTTTATAAAGCATACAGCCAAGTGAAAACCAATCAGCACTTGAATCATAGGCAGTTCCTTTGGATAATACTTCTGGTGCCATGTAACCATGTGTACCACTATTATATGTTTGTTTGTTTGGTTTCAAGTTAATACCAGATTGATTGTAAATATAAACGTAAAGGAAAAGTAATTAAAAAATTAATTAAAATTTTAATGATTTATAAACAAATCTAATTGATCTGATCGGATCGATTAGTTTTATAATATATACATACACAGATGCATGGGGCTTTTTTTTGGAAAAATCACAAGCTAAACCGAGATCAGATATACGAACATGGCCATGTTCATCCAACAATATATTAGCCGGCTTTTTTTTAAAAAAAAAAAAATAGTTAAAATGTTGAAAAATTTCCCAACCAAAAAAAAAGAAAAAAAAAGTTTCTATACCTTTAGATCACGATAAACAACAAAACGACGATGCATATGTTCAAGTCCTAATATCACTTCGGATGCATAGAAACGCATCTCTTGTTCAGTGAATACACCATGTTGTGATAGATGATAATGTAGATCACCACCATTCATTAGATCCAATATGAAACATAATTTATCCGGTGTTTGAAATGCATATGTCATACATACAATGAATGGACAATCTTCCTATTATTTGATTTGATTTATAATTAAATTATAAATTATAATTTTGTTTGATTTGACAAAAAAAAAGAGAAATACATACCCCAGTACTGACTAATGATAACATAACTCTTTCATTTAATGCTAATGTTTCACCTTGTTTCATTTTTATACGTTTTTTATCCAAACATTTCATTGCATACATTTTACCAGTATCGGCTTTACGGCAACCATATACTTCACCAAAACCACCACGGCCAATAATACGATGTACACTGAAATCATTCATTGTTAATTGTATATTGAGTTCTAAATTTTTCCATTGACAAAATCTTGTATATTTTTCACTATAAAATGCATAAAACAATAAAAAAAAACATTAATCAACATGATGATGATGATGCTAGTAAGTGGTCACCAACCTTTCAATATATTTTCGAAATATATCACCACGTAAATGATTATAAATTTCATCAATATATGGTTGAAACAATGTAACAGGTACTTCATTACGCATTAAATATTTTTGTACATGATTTACGGATTCTTTTGAATAATTCTATTGTGTGGACCAAAAAAAAATGTAATGAAAAAAAAAACAATTTCAATCAAACAAACATAATACATACATGTGTATGGGACAACAATTCTTTCATAATAAAATTATCATATATTTCTCTTGCTGCTTGTCGTCTTTCTTCAACTGTTTCCAATTTTTCATAACGTTTTATCTTCATTATTGTTGTTGTTGTTGTTGTTATTATTTTGATTTTGATTTTTGAAAATGAAAATTAAAAATTGTTCAAAATTAAAAAAAAACAACTTAATGGTGGTACTTACCTCTTCATAAAATTTCAATTGTGGCACCGATTCATCACAAATGTTTTCACAAAAATCTCGAAATGTCAAGAAGCCTATATAATGAACAAATGAATGAAAATTTCAAATTTTGCACAAAAAAAAAATAAAAATAAAAATAAATTTCCAATTCATACCGAGTCTTTGTGTAAATATTTTGTCAAATGTAACTTCACCAATCTTTTCTAGATATTTATGCATTACACTTCGTACACTGTACATGAATGAATGAATGAATGGAGAATTATTTGAAAACATTGAAAAAACAAATTAAAAAGAATTTAAAATTTTTTTTTTCTAATCGATTCAATCTAGACATGAAAATAACATACCTTGGATCGGGCAGGATGATTTTCTTTGAAGCTCGTGCTGCAGGTGTTGATTTAGATTTTTCCATAGCCATTAGATAGCTAACATCGGCTAATACTGCTTCAAGGTCGGCCATTTTTGTTGATGTTTGCGAAAAAAAAAATTTTTGTTGTTTATTTACACAAAAAACAAACTATGGACACAACAAAAAAAAAATTCAACAACAACAACAACAAAAATCAATCTGTGTGTGTGTGTGTGTGTGTTCACCAGGAACAACAACACCTCACATCAAATGAATGAAAATATTTCTTTACAAATTAAAAAAAAAAAATCCAGATGATGGTGATGATAAAAAAAAAATTTAAAGTTCAATCCGATGTTTCTGTTCTTGTCAATGAATTCCGTTTGCAATTGATTGATTGATTGATCGAATTCATTTCAATTCAATTCAATTCAATTCAATTCGATTGATTGATTTATGGCTTTTGATTATCGATTGTTTTCTTTTATTCTCTTTCTCTCTATCCGGATGATGATGATGATGATAATCATCATCATCATTATTGGATTATGGCCAGTAAACAGGAAATCTAAATAGGAAAATGAGAACAAAAAAAATTATTGATCATCAGAAATTTTGAGAAATTCAAACACATTCACACACACACACACACACTGAGTTATTCCAACAGAAAAAAAAGTTTCAAAATCATTATCATTAAAAAGTAAATCAAATTGAAAAAAACGGTGACTTTTACATACACACACAACATTAAAATTGAAACTTTATCAAGAAGACAAAAAAAAAACTAAAGAAAAAGATTGTTATTGTTATTGGAACAATAGTGAAAAAAAAACAAACAAAAAGTGAAATTCGAGTAAAAATAGAATTCAAAGTTCCATGACGACATATATACACACACACACACACAGACTACAGAATACAGAATCACATATTCTATTACAAATCAACAATGGAACAAATAAACAAAACAAAACAAAAAAACTTACAAATAAACAAATAATAATTGTCAAACTAAATCATTCTCTGTGTGTGTGTGTCTGTATCAAATAGTGTCAAGTATTTGCATTTGTTATATTTTCTATGTATGTGTGTGTGTGTGTGTTTCAGGTTTCATGAAAATAAATTCCATGACCAGAAAAAAAATACTCACTATCATATCATAGACATTTTACATATATTATATATATATATAGATAGATGTATATTTGGTATATATAGAAAATGCACAAACAAACACACACACACACACATACAGAATCGAAAGAGTTTTTGTTTGTTTTTCCATTTCAAAATTTATTCACATATATATACAAAGACAGTAGTTGTTGACAGGATCATCATCATCATCACGATGATGATGATGATGATCAATGGAACTAAACCAGAAAATAATAAACAAAAAAAAATGAGAAAACTTTTTTTTTTGTTCTCATTTCTCCAATTTCAACAAAAAAAAAAAATTTTTTTTGTTTGACAAACAAGTTGAATCAAATTCTCTTTTCGTTCTTAATGACACTATACTATAAATTCATTTCTCCGGTTTCGGTACATTTTTTTTCTTTCTTTTCCATTGTTTTGCTTGCTTTAATTCAAATTATTATCTTGAGGAAAGAGAGAGAGAGAAAAAAAAATACCAAATTTGAATAATGTAAGAATTGCGAAATTTGTTTTTGTGTGTGTGTGTTTTGACAAGAAAAAAAACAAAAACAAAAACAAATAGAAAAAAATGATACATAATCAAGATATAATAATAATAATAATAATATAAGGGTTGAAGAACTAAATAGCATCATCATCAAGTCCTAGCACTAAGAATGAAAATATAGTATATATATAGAATCTCGAAAAAAAGAGAAGAATTTTGGTTTTTTCCACACCCCCATTCCCCCCTCTCTCTCTCTCTCTCTCTCACACACACACAAGGGAATATAATGGTAATTCAAAAGTTCCAGAAAGAATTCAGGTTTATCAACATTATATATATACAAGGCTGTCTTCTACACACACACATACACATCGAGAGAAAGAATAATTCATTCGATTCTATATACACACACACAAGCTATTAGAATGAGCCATATACATACAAATTGACATAGAGAATCTGATCCATTCAATTCAATTTTTTTTTTTTTTTTTGGTTATCGTTTGTGTTATACCAAAAATAGAAGCTATAAGCTACTACTGATGTTGTTGTTGTTGCTTTAACATAAACAAATTCGTTCCATGTTATGGAAATCTATTATTAATGTTTTTTTTGAGAGAGAAAAAGAAAAGAGAGATTTTTGTATTTTGGCAGATAAATATGCAGGTAGTCAAGGTGTGTTTCAGTATAGAATATTATATTCAAAAAAAAATAAAGCTGAATATAAAAAAAAATTGAAGCGATGACAAAAAAAAATTCAATAAAATAAAAAAAAATTGATTTTTTTGCTCAAATTTAAAAAAACATTCGATTCTGCTATTTCAACTACGATCGACCGGATGAACACACACATTTACACACACAAGGTTTATATAGATTCAGAAAAAAAATCGAATGTTTTTCTTTTTTCTTCGATGGCTTTCACCAATATTTTTATATTCCAATGTTATTATTTGGTTTTCGGTTATATTGTGTCTGCATCTGAAACATTTTCTCGGTATTTTTTTTTTCTTGTCGATTTTTCGAGAATCCGGTAGTATTTTTCTTTCAATCATTTTGTTACTTTTCAAATCATCATGTGTTTAGATTATGTGTGTGTGTGTGTGTGTGTATTTACCGTTATAAACACAACAAAAAAAATCACATACACAATAACAAACCAACACATTTTTTTTCTCTACAATAAACAAAACAACCATATAAACATAACGAATCAATTCAAGTAATCGAAACAAAAACTATTTTTTTGTTTGTTTGTTTGTTTCAAATGATGAATAAAAGACAAACTACCATCACAAAAGCAAAAAAAAAAAAAGAGAAAAAACCACAATAATACGAAAAGAAAATACCAGAATTCGGAAATAAAACAAATTACAACAAGAATAATACAAACAAACCAAACAATCAACACATACACACACACACACACACACACATACGCCCACCAGTTTCTTATATTTGTGTGTGGGGTGTGTGTATTTCTTTTTTTTTATTGTGAATTTAATCAAGATTTTTTTTTGTTTTGTTTTTTTTTAACCGGATGACATATATAACCGGATATTAATTAAAATTAACAACAAGATAAAAAAATGATAATAATCTAATAATAATGGTGGGAAATAGTGGTGGAGCATTCATTGTTCGATGATTTAACTAGAATATTTTTTTTTTTGTCAATTCATTCAAAAAAGAGCAGACTACATAAAAGAATAGACAAAGATAAACAGAATGATTATGATAATGATGAATTTGTTGTAATATGTGTGTGTGTGTGTGTGTGTGTGTGTGTGTGTGGAGTAGTCATCAGTACATACAATAATTATTCTGGTGATGATGATTTTTGAGCAATCAATCATTCAATCAGATCTATTCAACCAAAATTGAAAAAAAAGAATACAAACAATAACAAAAAAAAAACCAAAACATCCGGTCCACCGATTAAAATTGTTTGGAATGGTTTTTTTTCCTCATTGGTTCCAATTGTTTATTTTTTGTTCTAAAGAAGAATAAAAAAAAACATCAAATTCGAATCATCATTGAATTGTGCGTGCGTGTTTGGGTGTTAATATCTATGTGAATGGAATTTAATTCAAGTTAGTTTTTGTTACTGTTGGATCGATTCATTTGATCAACAACACCAAAACAAACAAACAAACAAACGAACAGAAACACAAAGAGTGGTCCAGATTCAAATAATTTGATACGATTGAAAAGCAATAGAATAATCACTCAATTAATCATTGATCGTAAATAGAGAGAAAGGAAAAAAAAATTCATTTCTAGAAAATAAAAATCTTCCTTTTTTCACTGGAAAAAATCCTAGTTTTTTATATTTCAATTATTTTTTTCTTTTCATCACCAAACACAAGTAGTAGCAATAGAAAAACTTACGAAAAAATGAACCCCAAAATACATAATAGAGACAAACAAAAATCCAATGGGTATATTATGCCAAATTTTTTTTTTTTTTTTTTGGTATTATACAACAGAATTCATGAAGGAAGTTTTTTTTCTGAGAAAAAGACTTTTTTCCGGTTTTTCAAACACACAATGAATAATATATTCAAGTTTTTGAGTTGTTGAGTATCGTAAACAACACATGATAAAAAAAAAAAAACAAAAAACAAACAAACAAACACAGACAATGAATAATGACTACAAAAAAAATGTAGAAGAATTGAAACAAGGATTAGACAAAGATGAAAGGATCTGGTATAAAATTCTGTTTGAAACACACACACACACACAAAAAAAATACACAGCCACAATGTCAATGACTAGAATTTTTTTTTCGAATCCAAATTCTTAAGATTATGATTTACGGTTCACTTGTTTTTGTTGTTGACGTTAATAATACTTTTATTTATTTATTCAATTTGAAAAAATTTATTTTTTTTTTCATAAAAACAAAACAATAATGAATTATAGAGATGGAAGATAATGTTGTTGAAATGAAATGAAATGAAAAAAAAAATTCGCATGATTTCACATCAATAAAAATAACAAATAACAACAACAACAACAAAAATGAAGAAAAAAAAACAGCGTATATTCACAACAAACACACAAGAAATGATACGATGCAACTGGAAATTTTCTTTTACTTTGATTTTATAATGAAAAAATTAAGAAAATTTTCTTCTTCAAAAACGAATTGAGAATTCATGTGTGTGTGTGTGTGAATGAAAATCTTCTTGGCTCATCATCATCATCCAAGAATGGAGGATGAGTGTATAAGGAATAAATATCTTTGGTGGTCCTTGTTGTTGTTGTTTTATTTTTTTCTTGATTGTTGTTGTTAGTTGTCAATATTGTTGTTGTTGTTGTCGATGATGATGATGATGATGATGATGATGTTGATGAATCTGAATGAAAATGGAATTGTAACAAATGAACAAAAAAAAAAATTTGTTAAAATGTAAATGATGAGGATTTGATGTCATATGTATGTATGTATATGTTATGCTAGTGTTGCAAATACTAGCTATTATTGCTAGTGGAAGCATCTATGATTCTATATATCAAAAATATGCTACTAGCATTGGAAAATTTTATTGTGTGTATATATATATATTATTAAGATATATATACATGATTTAATTCTTCATATACACATATATATATATATATCAATAAATGCTAATGGATGCTACTACTTTTTTTTACACTGCTATCACTGAATTTTGATTTTTGATATATTTTATATATAGCCAGTTTTGAAAAACATCATCATCATCATTGGATTCTCATTGGTGATGATGATGATGATGTGATCCTATCCTATAGAATTAGATTATTCATGTTAAGAATATATATATAGGAACACGAAAAAAAAAAATTTTTTTTTCTTCTTTCCCACTCAATTCTTTTCGTATTTTTTTTTTTTGTCATGGATCAAACATACCATTACCACACACACAACACCTGTACTGTGATGACATTTTTTTTTATTCATTTATGATTTCAAGTTCTGGAACCGCCGACACCCTTTTAGGTCGTTGTTCGTTGTACAAACACATACACACACATCTGACTATAGGGACAATGTTGGAGAAAGAAAAAAAAATCGATACTGAGCGATATTCCCTACTCCTCTTTATTGTTGTCGTCGTCGTCGTCGTCGTTGTTGTTGTTGTTGTTGTTGTTGGTTCCTTTTTTTTCTAACGTCATATATACATAGATAGATCGATCGATCGATCAATGATGAAATTTATACAAAAACGATGCTCATCCGTCAATTTTAATAAAGTTTGACGGGCAAAAAAAATAAGAAAAAATTACTGATTTCATTTCAATTATATATTATTATTATGATGATTAATTATCGGATTTGAAATGAATCGAGCGTAAAAAAATTATCTATCCAAATTCCGGTATTCAATGGAATATTCTCAAATATTCTTGTTGATAAACAATTTCCAGAGGAAGTAAACGAATCATCAGAATTTAATGAAACATTAGTTATTCAAAAAAAAAATCGAAAAAAAAATTCGGCTATAGTTGGTGATAATGGTGAAATCCTGGCCACAATAAAATATATATAGAAATAGAAATTAAATTGCTAAATAGCCAAATTTATAAAAAATAATGATTCTCAAATTAAAGAAAAAGAAGTAGAAATAAGTAGAAAAAAAACGTGATGACCATCATGATGGTGACCATTATCATCATTATCATCATCATCATCAATTGATGACGATCATTTTCGTCATTCATTCAATTATATTGAATTCAAAAGAAAAAAAATTCCATTTACTTGCTTCCTCCTTCATATTCATTCAATTCGTTCATTCATTCATTCATTCAGTTTTAAAAGCTAAAACAAAAACTTTCAAGGTGTTTTTAATGAATATTACGCCTTCGTTTTTTTTCTGGATGCAGATTTTTCTTTCCTTAAAAAAAATGAAAAATTTTGATCCAAAAATAATACTGTATTCGATTTAATAAAATTATTATATTTGACGTAATCCATAATTGTCATGGTTTTCTTTTCTATTTTGGATACATTTTGAAGAATAAAAATCTACTTTTGTATATGTGTGTGTCCTTTCAAGTGGATCTCAACAGTTGGATGTTTGTCGTCATTTTTTTTTGTTTCCCATTTTTTTTATTATTATTATAATGATGATTATTATTTTGTGATTCAATTTCTATACGTCAAGTACAATGATGACGATGAGAATCGATTATTCATCATCATCATCATCATCGATAATAATCGAATCAAATTGAATGGTTGTTGTAGTATTAAAATAAAAAAATAAAAATAAAAATGGAAAGAGAAAGAGAAAGAGAGAGAGAGAGGGATGCTAACGAATGACGTCAAATATGTCATTGTCAATGTTTTGTGTGTGTGTGTATGTGTGTGTATCGACGGATGTTTTATGTTTATTTTATGTTAGATTTTTTTTCTGTTATTTTGTTTTCTAATTGATTTGTAGAGAAAAAAAAACACTTTTCATCGATGATGATGATGATGATAATCTGATAGTGATTGATTAATAATAAATAAATTCAAGTATATTGCAATAGAAAAAAGAAAAAATGAAATAAATCATAAAAAAAATCATCATAAAAAAATGTGAAATATAAAAATTAAAAAATCAAAATATAATAATCTATCGAAACTACAGTCGCCATCTATCGTTCTGGTGATTAGTTAACCGGAATGTTTTTTTTTTTATCAAAAAAAAAGTGAGGCGTGTGTGTGTGTGTGTGTGTATTGTATGTTGGTTGTTTGATGCTGTTATCGTTCGTTCTGTTGTTGTTGTTGCTTTACAACTTTTTTTTAGGTGTTTATTTTTCATTCAATTTAATTCAACGGTTACACACACACACACACACACACCAACAACACACCCGCCGATTAGTTTTTTTTTTCTCCTGCTGCTGCTGCTATTATTGTTGTGAATTTTATTAATTTGTCTGTTTTTCATCATCATCATCATCTTCTTCATCACCTTTATCATCATTGTGATAAATCTCAAAAATGATAATGATGATTATGCCCATATTAGATACATGTGTGTGTGTGTGTATGATAAAAATTGATCCATAATGAATGTAATGTCTATTTTGACATTTATCTGACCTGAAATTAAAAAGGTGGTGGTCTTCGTTCGTTCGTTTGTTCGTTTGTTTGTTTGTTTATATTTTCCATCATCATCATCATTAAAAGCTTGTTTTATCAAATAGTAATGTTAAAAGATAAAAGAAACAATAAATAAATCTTAAAAAACAAACCAACGTATCACTCATGTGTGTGTGTGTGGGTGTCACACCGTTTGTGGTCAAAGTTTCTGTTTTTGTTTTCTATTCAAACATCAACAATAATAATTCGAACAACAGTAAAGAATTCGAATTTAAAACATCATTCTATTCGATTATACAACATTCCATTTTTTTTTCATTGATTGAATTTTTATTATTATTAGTGTTGTTGTTGTTGTTGTCGACAACTACATTTAGTTATTATTATTATTATTATATTATAATTTGATAAACAATGGGAAAATTTTTATCAAAAATTTTTGGCTCAAAAGAGATTCGTATATTGATGCTCGGTTTAGATGCATCAGGTAAAACAAGTAAGTTGTTTTTTTTTTTGCTGAATGATATAGATGTGAATTGATTTTTAATTTAAATTTTTTTTTTGTATCCTAACCCCTTTCACATTTAGCTATATTATATAAATTAAAATCTGGTCAAACTGTAACGACAATACCTACGGTTGGATTCAATGTCGAAACGGTTACATATAAAAATGTTCGTTTTAGTGTTTGGGTATGTGTTTTTGTTCACCATGTGTGTTTGTGTAATTTGAAACCATTCATTTTGTTTTTTTTTTTTTTTTGTTTCAGGATGTTGGTGGTCAAGACAAGATACGTCCATTATGGCGACACTATTATACCGGTACACAAGGATTAATATTTGTTGTCGATTCAACCGATAGAGATCGTATTGATGAAGCAAGACATGAATTACATAAAATTGTAAATGATCGTGAAATGCGTGATGTTATTATATTGGTATTTGCAAATAAACAAGATCTTAAAGATGGTATGCATTGTAAATGATGATAATTTAAAAAAAAATTAATTTAAAATTTGATTCAACTTTTATATATAATATAATATTAAGCTATGAAACCGGCTGAAATACAGGATAAACTTGGATTAACAATGACAAAACAACGAAATTGGTATGTACAGCCAGCATGTGCATTAACCGGTGATGGTCTACATGAAGGACTTACGTGGCTAATGTCTTATCATAAATCATAAATGAATGATAATAATAACAATACTAATAATGATGGAACATTCAGTTTTGATTTATGGAACAAATCCATTTTCATTCATATTTATACATCATCATCATCATCATTATTATTATTATTATTGTCAAAAACCATGCACAAATGAAGAAATTCAACAATGAACAAAAAAAAATGTCCATATCGATCATCAACCAATCTTATTATTATCATCATCTATTTGTTTATGTGACACTGAGTTTTTCATTTTTTTATACATCTCTCCCTCTCTCTACATACATTATAAATATTATATAATCAACCCTTTTACACATATACACACACACACTTTTTCACAATCAATTTTATTAATGTTATCGTTATTGATTGATTGATTGATACACTATTATAATCACACAAACAAACGAACATTTTGTATCTTGGACATAGTGTTTCGGTGTGTGTGATGTTCCTATATATTTGTAATTTATCTAATTAATTAATTGATTGAATTTTTTTTTATATAATTAGAAAACGAAATAATTATATATTTTTATCAAAAATTAATGATCCATATATAATCATAAAAGAAAATGTTGAGAATTAATTGAATTTTGAGAAAATTTCATTAAAAAAAAACAAAAAAATTTTCAATTTAAATCCAAATTGAATAGAGATTTGGATTTTTGAAAAAAAAATTAATTTTTTCTTTTGTTTTGTTTTTATTGGTTGGATCCAAAAGTGTTGAGAAAAAGAAAACAATCATCTTCATTCAATATTGTTTATTTGATGGATAATATGGATGAAAAAATCAATAAATCACGTATTCATTTTAAAAGTAAAACGGAAATATTCAATGATCAACAAAAACAATTACAACCACAACCACCATCACAACAACCATCGCAGACAACATTAATTTCATATGAAATTCATATGAATCGAAAAGCAACACCATGGCCAACAAAAACGAGACAAATGGTGAGAAAAACTAATCGTTCACCATTAGATGGTACATTGACGGCGATACGGCCACCAATGTTGAATAGAGATCATGATCATATACCAAGAATGTGTGATCGATTCGAACGAATCATACAAACAAATTGTACGAAATTCATACAGAACATACAATGTTGGACAAACGAATATCAACGACATAATCTTGCGGACATGGAAAAATTATCGGAAAATTTTCGCGCAATATCCGAAAAGATTGATCGAATTAAAAATAGAAAAGGATAAATGCTGGAGGTGGGTGGGTGGGTGATTCATTGAATAATAAATCACTAATCATTTTCTCCACTTTCCAAAGCGAAAATAAAATCAAATTCTTATTTATTAATAATTATTATATAAATATTAATGGCGAAAAAAAACATATGAAAAATATCAACCATGATGTGTTCACTGTAATGTATATATATGTGTGTGTGTGTGTGTGTTTGATGAGAGGATTGAAAAGAAGTACAGAATTTTTGATTGATTTACACATCATCATTAATGTTTGTAAATAAATGAATGTTTTTTATTTCATGGTAAAAAAAAATTTTCAATGAAACAAAACGACATTTTTTTTATTCTTCATGTATGTATGTATGTGTGATTCTTTATATGAAAAATATGAAAAAAAAGAAAATCAATAAATCACAGAAACAATAATTGCAAAATTCCAAATCCGTGCAAGTTTTTTTTTAATGATAATGATAATAAATGTAGGTGTGTATGTAATGATATATAAATATTTATGAATGATGGGAGGTGTGTGTGTGTGTGTGTATGTGTTTGTTTGTTTAGTATGACAAGTCAATGAATATCATTTTTTTTTTCGTTGTACAAAACGACTAGCATGTAAATTAGGTGTGTGTTAGGATGGATGTTGAAGTGAGTGTATGAATGAGTGAACAAGAAATTTAAAAAAAAAACAAATGAAAATAATGACTTAGTTTAGGAACTAATGGAAAAAAAAGATAAAAAAACGTATGTTAACATTATTATATAATACAAGTATGACATGAAGGGAATGGGAAGGTGGTTGTTTGCTAAAGAAAAAGTATTACTTCCATCCAACAAGGACAATTGGTTATGTCGTTTAATTTATAATTAACTCCAAAACCTTTAACAAAACTGAAACGAAAACTATCGATATCTTTTCTGGTTGTTTGTAATGACGATGACCGATAATGTTGAATCTGTTGTGATAATTGATAATCATATGCTTTAATTGAATGGCCAGGTAATACTTTGACCACATTCATCATTTTTGATTTTGATGATGATTTGGAATATAATGGTGATTCAATAAATATTGAACATGTTTTTGAACGATTATATATCCACACATTTTGTTGTGAATCATGAAATAATGCAATACCATTGCCAATTCTCATTCGTGTATGATTCATTCGTCGTTCTTGTTTTATTTGTTGTTCTTCATTATTATTATTGTTTGTTATTGTTGATGATAATAACGATGATAATGAAATTGATTCCATTGATTCATCGTTATCGGCTGTCGTAGTATTGTAGCCAATAAAAACAATCGAATTTCGAGCATTAATATCAGTTATTTTTCTTTCCTTAAATTCCCAATACGAAATACGAGCCCATTTTTTCGTTCGTTGTCGTTGTGGATTATTTAATGATAAATCTGAAATTTAAAAAAAAAGATATAAATAATCAAAATTAATAAATAAAAATTTATAAATCAAACCTGTCATTATCGATTTAAATGATCGAAATGAATCAAATAATTTATCAATCATCATCATTATCGATTGAACAGAATTTATGTTTCATCGGGAAAAAAACAACAAACAGAATCATTCAATGCGAGTGTTTGTGTTTAACAAAGTCTGAAGAGAATGAAAAAACAAATCCAAATGTTCTACACTGGACGAGAATATGATGACAAATGATTAGAGATCATCGTTTGGTCAACAACAACAACAACACACACACCGGACACAAACACATATACAGCAAATAATCACCAACAACAATGACATCCAACCACATTCATCCAACCGATCATCATCATCAATCCAACACAACTACAAACTATACAATTTCAGACGATCAACCAACACAAAACATATGGTGGTAACAACACAAAAAAAACAAAATGACATGGCGCGACTATTGACATTCAATATATACAAATACACACCTGGCGTCTGGAAAAAAAAAAAAAAATACAACAAACAAATGGCCACACGTCATGGGCCAAAGACCTTAACCATAATAATAATAATAATAATGATGATAATAGCCATCATCATCATTCGATCGATAATGATAACAACAAAAAATAGTCTGGTCTATAAGTTTATCATCACTGGCGCCACAACATGGACAATAACAACAATAACAAACGACGACGACGATGATTATGAAAAAAAAATCACCCACGCACAATACATATATACCATTAATACGCCCATTATCTATTCTGATTTTTTTTAAATCACGATGTTATTATCATCATCGATTGATCAAAAAAAAAAAAAAATTTGAATTCAATTCCTTTCAATTTCTTTCCTTTTAAAAGATTGTTCTCATCATCATCATCGTCAAAGATGATTAGTGTATAGTTGTTATCTCAGTTCGTTCAGACATTGATGTGTATGTGTGTGTGTGTGTCTATATATAACATAAACAGAAGTAACGACGACGATCCTAAAAAAAAAAAATTTCATCCAAAATTATCATTATTTCGGCATCTTTATGAATGAAAAATAAAAAAAAAATTCAGTTGCACACACCATCGGTTAGCTTTAGACAGTAACCGACCGACCAGAAAAAAAAGATAATGATAAGGCTATAGCTATATATTCTTTTAAGAGGTGGTGTTGGTTGTTCGTTCGTTCGATTGTCGATTATGTTAAGGTTTCGAAGACAACGACGACGATCACGACCGTCGAAACAAGAAAACAAAAAAAAAATACAATTTTTTTCACCATCATCATCATCAAGACTTTAAGACACGATCAGAATAAAAAAACAAAATTCGTCGAAAGATCGACAAAAAAGAACAAGTTGATCATCATTTCAAAAAGGCTATACCATCATGATGATCATCATCGTTCGTCGTCGTCGTCCATTGATAATGAGATGATAATTTTGATGTGCCGCCGTACTTTTCTATCCGATACTATTCACTAACTAACTAAATATACTATATTGACCATCATCTTTAGTCAAACACGAGCTACATTTTTATACCATTCATTTTTGCATATATAACAAATGAATAAACAACGAAAAAAGAAGAAAAATTCTGACCTCACCTCTCTTTCTCTCTCTCTTACACATACATTCTGACCCTTCTCTATGTGTTTCAATGAGGAAAAAAAATTTTCATTTTCTTATTTGTCCCTTCTTTCTAGCTGTAGAGCTTTGTTGCATTCAATACAAAACAGAGACAGATACAATCAAAGTCAATCGATACAAAACAACAATAGAAGCGAATCAAAACAACAACAATAACAACAGACTATTAAGGGTCAAATGGTTGGACCCTAGAGAAATGAATTGACCAAAATCTTAAATCCTCTTTCTCTTTCTCTCTCATGGCCAACCAATCGACGACGAGGAACTGAATAAAAAAAACCCTAGGGCTTTTGACTAAGTCTTTGTGGTTGTTTGTGAAACGAAATGAAGAAAAACGGATTTTTCCTTTCTTTAACTTGTATCAAGTAGTTATTGAAAGTCATCGATATAAGAATGAGTTTGATCTTTACTCACTTGAAATTCAATTCAATTCAAATCGAAACGAACAAGTATTGGTACACAAAAAAGGGTTTTTGAGTAGGTGTTTGTTTGGTTCGATCAATTAATACTTACCACATTCTGGTGATGATGATAGTATCGATATTGTTTCACAACAACCAAATGAATTAATTCGTTTATCAAAATTAATAATTTCATGATTATTATCATTATCAATTAATTGTAATTGATCATCGAACGTAATTTGATCACCATCATAATACTGTTGATAATCTGTGGTAAAAATTGCAGAAAAAAAATTAAAATTAATTTATTGAAAAAATCCAAAATCATTGTATATACCTGGTCGTGGTATCAACACAGCCCAATGATATGGATTCAAACACAATGATGATGATGGTGATGATGATGATGATGATAATGAAGATGATAATGTTGAATTTGAAATATGATGATGAGGATTATTATTATTATGAGAATTATACATTCGACACCATGGTAATGGTATTATTATTGTTTGATGATCATAATCATTAACAACATCATTCTGATTCATTAACTTAACATTATGAATATTTTCAATCATCCAATAAATGATTTCATATATTTGATGATGATGATGATGAGAAATGTCACATGGAATGATACAATTATTAATATTTTCATTTTCAATAATTTTTATCAATAATTCTAAATCCTTTCGATGTAATAGTTGAAAATATTGACGTATATTTTGCATGGATGATGATGTTTGTTTTGTTTGACCATTGCTGCTGTTGCTGCTGCTGCTGCCGCTGTTGCGGCCACAAATACCGGCAAACAAATCGGTAATATTATTTAGCCAATCATTCGGTCGTTGTTGATATTGAAAAATGTCATTTTCATTCATTAGTCTATTTTGTTGTTGTTGTCGTTGTTGTTGTTGATGATTTTGATGATGATCATGTTGAATGGAAGTAATCTTTTTTAGCAAACGATTTATAAGCTTATATTTTATATTCGGTAGCATCGAGAGATTTATTAGTTTTTTTCAATGATTGTTGTTTTAATATATAGTTTGTTAGAATCTTCTTGGATTTTAAGACAAGATAACCGACTATGAGAATCATTTGTTTATTGTGGTATATTTTGTTGATTCTCATTTACGATGATCAGTCATCTTTTTTTTATTCTAGCTCATCATTGAATATGTACATCGTTGATTATGATTCAATGGTGATGATAATCGATCCAAATGTACATACCATTCGCCGGACATTTTTAACATTCGTTTTATCGTTGTCATATTATTATCCACACAATCACCACAGCCAGTACCACCAATACAGTAATAATTATTATTTTGAATAATGATGATAATGGCTGACATTAGAAAACAAAATCAAAAAAAAACTGACCAATCAATCAACCAATGATTGATTTTGAATCAATTTTTCATATCGGATTATTACCGGTTGTCGAATATATTTGATTGAAAACATACATACACATACACATAAACACACAAACCAAAAAAAAATCAAAAGAGAAAGTCACAATATTATTGATATAATGAGCGAAATTAAAAGTTATTATTATTATGGTTAAAAATCAAATACACAATCTAGCATTTGGATCACAAACACACACACACACAAACACATCTTTATCCAATCCAATATAATGATTATAATCATGGAATCACATTACAAATAGAGAGAGAGAGAGAGAGAGAGAAAAAAAAAATGGATAAAGTTGCATTCGATTTTTTTTTCTCTTGCTTTTACTTCTTTACTTTTCGTTGGTTGATAATCTGATTATTTGGATCGTTGTTCAATAATTTGATGATGATGATGATAAATAATAATTGATGTATATTGGATCAATCGAATACAGCACAAACACGCATGCAAACATTCACAAACACACCAACAACAGACAAACCATGCCAACATTGAGGAAAAAAAAAATCTGAGGATTCGATAATTTTTTTTTTTTTTAAATTTTCCATACATGAATGCATGCATGCATGCTAACAACAAAAAGCTTGCGTTCAAATACCTTGTATTTTTCTTTTGATTATGGAGGAAGTGGTAGTGAAAATAGAAGCGATGGTTTTTTTTAGGTTTGCAAAAAAAAAAAATAACGTTCATGAAATGCAACTAGTGGTTGATGATGACGATAATCATAATCATCATCATCATCATAATTATTTAGGTTATATATACTCGTAGGGGTAGTGGTCAATAATATTATAAGGTACAGCATTTGATGGCGGTTAATATATATCTATTATAAAAATTTAGCTTGCTGAGAGAGGTAAAAACTTGCTTGCGACGAGTGTATTGTTTTTTTGTTTTTTTTTTGTTTTGGTTTTGGCTTTTGTTTTCTTTTTTCATTATTGAGAAAATTATACCATGAAAATGGCGACAGGGTCAGCGTAATAGTCGTCGCCGATCCCCTATTGTCAGTGGTCAAAAGCCCTTGTAGAACTTTATTGGTCCTTGTTGTTGTTGTTGTCGATTGTATACGAATAACCAGACAGACTAGACACGACAGATGTGTGTGTGTGTGTCATGGATGTCACCTGTCGTGTCTGTTGTCTGTGTTTGTCATTAATGTTGTGGTCAATTGTATACAAGACTAAAGTCGCGACCAACAATCAAAAAAAAAAGGTGGACAAAGGCCAATCGGTTTGTGATTCAATTCTTCTTAAGAATATTTTTACGGTTGAAGCAAAGAAAATCCATCATAAAAATAATTATGATTATGATTATCCTAGGGAAAAGCCATGTATATATTTTTTTCGGTTATAAATAAATTTCCGCAAAATACACACACACACACACACACACCAAGAGAGACATAAAATGAAATATGAAACAAAAAAAAAATGAAAAGAAAATGTCATCGAATCGTTGCAACAAATGACAAAATGGGCGGGTGGATGAATGAATGGGGATAATATTATCATTATCATCATCATCATCATTGTTATTATGTTGTTGTGACTCGTGAGGATTTAACAATCAAATTATCATGAAAAACATCACAATGATAATTTACCAACAAAAAAAAAATTGTCGCTAATTAATTAATTTAATTAATCGTGTTTGATTGAAGTAATAAAAAAACATAAGATAAGCCGATAGCACAACATAAAGAAAACAAGATAAGATGTTAAAAAAGAGACAGTTTCGAACGGAAAAAGAAAACTTTTCATTTTTATTCACCATTTTCACATCCAATGATCTATTTGTATCGAAATGGTACGAACAGAACATCGATCGAATAATGATCTGACTTCATAATTTGAATTTTATTCAGTAAAAACATTCGATATATATATTATGATGATGGATTATTTTTATGTTTGCTATCATGATTATATCGACCATGTAACCATGCAATTGAAATTATGATTACTATTTTTTTTTTATCATCTCATCAGTCAATCACATATATCTTTATTATTTAATATCTGACATATATATTGATGATGGTCCATCAGTTAATAATAAAAATTTGATAACAAACAAAGTTCTCATCGAAACAACAGCCGAATCAATAGCAATAATACCATCAATTCAATGACAATAACATTATATAATAATGATGATATGATATATTCCTCAAATATGAATGTGGATCCAAACAAAAATCAGAATCTAAGAATCGAATTTAAGAAAAAAAAAATTCGAATATGATTGATATCATTCTTTGCAGTGCCATCTTTCGGTTATTTTTTTATAATTCTTCAAAAGAGGAAAAAATTTATAATAAACTTGTTTATTTACAAAAGTTTACTCTTATAGATAAATAGATAGATAGACCGGAATCGATTTTGGTTATAATTTCAAAATCAAGATTGAAAACCTTGAAAAACTTCAGACGAAATTCATTTGAATAGCAATAACTAGTTTTTTTTTGGCAATCAAAAATCAACGATAATCATCATCATCATCATATATATATATATATGAAGCATTAACTGATGATAATGGCTACTTTGGAGCAAGAAATATGAAGAGAAAAAAAAACTAACTTGGAAACAGCGCGAAATAAAATCAGTTGTCGTCATTATTTAATAGCGGATGAATTAGCTAGAAAATTTCTAATCATCCTGTGACATCCTTATCATTTATTCAAAGAAATATATACAGTGATGATACAAAATTGTTTGATGCACACACACACATACACACACAGTCACAAACACTCACAAATGAATGTCTCATGATGTTTTCCATCATACGTAAAATTCTTCAACAAACCAATAATTTGTTGAATGGTCAACAACAACGATCATCATCATTATTGATAATTGATAAATTTTGTCGACATTTACATAGTGCCACATTGTATCATAATAATAATCAACGTCATCATAATAATAATAATAATAATAAATTATTCGAACATGAATCGATGAATAATAATGAATTACCAGAATTCCCTGGTATGAAAGCAAAATTTATAACTGAATTAAAATTTTTGGATCGTTGTGATGAAAATGATTCAATACGACCATTTAGGATACTTGATGTGGATGGTACATTTGTTGCTAAACAATATGAAAAACAATTGGATATTGATCTTATGAAACGATTCTATCGTGGTAAGTAAATTTTTTGAATTTTATGAAAAAATTTCCTTGATTTTTTGACTAATTTGACATTTTCTTTTCATCGATAGAGATTGTACGATTAAATCAAATGGATGACATATTGAATCAGGCTCAACGACAAGGACGTATTTCATTCTATATGACATCGTATGGTGAAGAGGCAACACATTTTGGACCGGCCGCAGCTTTATCCGACAAAGATTGGCTATTTGGCCAATATCGTGAACCAGGTGTATTGTTGTGGCGTGGTTTTACATATGAACAATTTATTAGCCAATGTTTTGGAAATAATCAGGATCTTGGTAAAGGTCGACAGATGCCCATCCATTATGGTAGTCGTGATTTGAATTATGTTACAATCAAATCATCATTAGCGACTGGATTACCGCATGCAGTCGGTGCTGCTTATGGTTTTAAATTAACTCAACAGGATCGGGTATCATTTGCTTATTTTGGTGAAGGAGCCGCATCCGAAGGTGATGCTCATGCAGCTTTTAATTTTGCCGCTACCCTACAATGTCCGGTCATATTCTTCTGGTATGTTTGTGTTTGATTTGATTCGATTATCATTATCATATATGATGAATTTACATTTAAACAGTAGAAACAATGGTTATGCAATTTCTACACCCACTAAAGAGCAATATCATGGTGACGGTATCGGTAAGTAGACCAAATGTTTCGTTGTTCATAATATTTGATGAACATTTTTTTTTGACTTGAATTTTAGTGGTAAGAGGACCGGCATTAGGTATACCATCGATTCGTGTGGATGGCAATGATATATTAGCCTGTTATTATGTAGTGAAAGAAGCACGAAGAATCTGTATACAAGAATCACGACCAGCATTGATCGAAGCCATGACCTATCGATTAAGTCATCATTCAACGTCTGATGATTCATCTGTTTATCGTAGCGATGTTGAAGTAAAATCATGGAAAGAAAGTAGTCATCCATTGAATCGTATTGAAAAATTATTACGTCGTTATGATGCATTCAATGAACAGGAGGAAAAAGAATGGCGAAATAAACATCGAAAAGAGATGATCAATTTGATTGATCGATTAGAAAAACTACCTAAAGTACCGATCAGAGAAATGTTTACCGATGTTTATGATCAAATGCCTGAATATCTTCATGAACAACATCAAGAATTAATGGAACATTTACAAAAGTATCATCAACATTATCCACAATTGACAAATTTTATGGATGACAAAAAATGAATCGAAATAAACAAATAAAAAAAAATTGGCAAATCAATGGGCCATTCCAAAAAAAAACATTTTAAAATTACGCGCTTTAGCTATTCTATTTTAACTCGTATATGATATATATATGGTAAAGTTTAAATAGCCATCGATTGTGTGATTGATTTTATTTTTTTGTTGATGATTCTACATTATAATTTATTTAATGTTTGATGAACTATTAATAAAAGATATTGATAAAAAAAATTAATTTCATTTAAATTCTATCAATTATATCTTGGTCTGTATAAAAATTTTATCACACATAAATTGTCATGTTAAATTTTCGTTTTTTGTTTTTGTTTTTTAGATATTGGTGATGGATCCAGCTTTGGTAACCAACATTGAACGTTTATTGAATGAACTTTATGATGACCACAATAAAACAAAATTTGAAGAAACAAATAATCTATTGATTAATCTACAAAAATCAAAAGAAGCATGGATGTTTGCATGGTTGTTGATGAAAAAAGATAAACCAGTGAATGTACAATATTTTGGTGCATCTTCATTGTATGTTAAATTGACAAAATATCATTTTGAATTAGACAATAATAGCTATCGACAATTATGGGTGAAAATAATTGAAAATCTTATCGCTTATATGGAAAGCGCTGAATTCAATTTAATAACAACTAAATTGATTTCATGTCTAGCTGTTTGTATTGTACAGAATATCGATAACGAATGGAATAATGCACTTCAAGATCTTTGGAATCTATTTCAACCGGAAAAATTATCAAATATTCCATCCACACGTGTGATACATGTTCTATTGGAAATATTGAGCGTTATACCAGATGAACTTAATCATCCATATCAGGATAAGAATAAAAAACAAGCATCAAGATTGGAACTAGTTAAACATGCTGAATCGGTATTAATGTTTGTGTATAAAATTCTTTCTGAAGAAAATATTTCCGATAATATTACGAAAATATGTCTAAAATGTTTCCATTGTTGGTCTATCGGTTTAGATACTATTGTATTGACTGAAAATCATTTGGCCATCATGGCTATTGTTTTGAATTGTGTACGAAATGAAAATACCTGCCATGAAGCTGTTGAATGTATAATTGCCATATATACATGTCCACATATGATCAAACAGCCAAAAATGATTATTCAATTAATTGAACAAATGACCATTGGTCTGACGAATTTAATTGATCAAACCATACAAGAATCAAATATGGATTATCTTCGTGATCTTTATTTTCTATTTGTATCTATTGGTGAATCACATACCCGTCTAATATTGGATTCATTGACCGATTTATCATTAAATCGGGATATTTTGATTGAATTTTTTCGTATCATATTAAAATGTAGCAGTACACCAACCCATTATGGTTATGATGAAACTATAAGTGATTTACCATTTAATTTTTGGATAAATTTTCAAGATGATTTTATGGCATCGGATGAAAGTAAAATACAAATCTATTTAAACATATTCAAAGATATATTCCATTCAATGATTAATATATTTTTATTTAAATTACAATATCCACCGGATGAAATTTATGAACAATCATGGGATAAAGATGACCGAGAAAGATTTCGTTGCTATCGACAAGATATAGCCGATACATATACATATTGTTTTAGTATATTGAATACATCATTATTACAGATTTTAATGGATCATTTTAACAAAGCACTGTCACAAACAATGATGGCCACTTCAAAAGATATGAATCAAATATCTACATCGATTCGTTATTTAGAAGCAGTGATCTATGCATTCAGTGCATTAACGGAGAATATTTCCCCAACGGAAACCGTATATATGCCACAAATAATTAGTTCATTTCAAACACTTTCAAATGAATGTCTCAATGATTCACGGCTATTATCAACAATTAATTGCTTTTTATCAAATTCCGCTGATTGGTTAGCAAATAATATCAATTATTTTGCATTCACATTAACAATCATATCGAATTCATTGAAATCAAACGATCAAATGGTTGTTATATCGGCAACAATGGCATTAAAAGTGATTACAACTGAATGTCAACTAGATCTTCGTCCATATTCATTAGATATAATACGGATTTGTGAAGAATATCTACAATATCCGAATTTACAATATAAAGAAAAAGCTCGACTTATGCATTCATTGGGTACGATTCTTTCCATAATGCCATTAGATGTAATCATGAATACAATTGATCGAATATTGATACCAATATTAACGGAAACGGAAAAAATTCTAACAAATACGAATAATAATAATAATGACAATCCGGATTCACGTATTCATATTAATGGTGTATTATTAATGTTATCCAATCTTTTTGCTAAACTTGATGTCAATCTAAAAGGCACCGATCTAGAAGAAGGTGATCATCTTATATCGAAATCATTGGTACAAGCTAAAGCACGTAATAATATACCACAACCATTGTATAAAATTTTTGAAAAAATAATGCCCATGTTTGGTGTAATAGCAATGAATTATTCTTATGATGAAGAGATTGCTCAAAATGTTTGTGAATGTGTTAAGAAAACCGTTATAACATTATTGGATGATGTTAAACCAATGATTGGCAATATTCTACACCTATTACTTCATCTTTATCGTAATTCAAAATCCATTTCGGTCATACAAATTTCTCGACAAATATTTACATTATTCCATAAGGAATCAGAACTATTGCCAAATCTTCAGGAATATTTTTATACATTAACGACCATAACTATTGAACAATTTGCAAAAGATTTTCGTGAAAATACATTTCTTGTACAGAATTTTTTCGAAGAATCTGCACACTCATTACGAAAAGCAACGGCAATATTTCTATATCCTAAATTAAATCTTTCAACATTATTTGATTGGGCCATTGCCGGTATTGTTTTACCGGAAAAAGGTACCGTTCATCAATGTTCAATATTTATCAGTGAATTTTTGAATCAAGGTCGACAAAATGAACAATTCCATAAAGTAATACAGGAAAGATTCGATATGCTTGTAATGAAAGTGTTCATCGTGATCGGTGGTCAACAAGGTTCACCATCATTCGCCGTCGATTATATGCCCGACATAATTATTGTATTGAATCAAAAATATTCGGATAGCTTCACACGTGCATTGAATTCAATAATCGATTATAATGGCTTTCCTACCGATATGGTAACACGTGAACAAAAATGTAAATTTGTGCAATCAATATCCACATTACGTAATAACAAACGACGTTTACGTGAAATTGTAAAAGAATTTAGCTGCCGTTGTCGTGGCCTATTCGGTGTCGATAGTAAACAATAATAATGAAATGAAAAATTTGAATTTTTATTTTTTTTTAATTTAATTTAAGATATAACAAATAAACTATTCAGATGAAAAAGATGATACATTCATCAACAGCATCATCAAAATCGATTTTATTTCTTTTCAATTTAAAAAAAATTAGTAATTATCAATTTGTATATTTTTTAATTATATTGAAATTAATAATAAAAAATAAATTTTGAAAAAAAATTCTGTTTTTGTTTTCTTGGTCACACCTTTGGTCAGACAAACAGAATGAAAAAGAGAGAGAAAACAAAAAATTCACAGCTTTTTCTGTGATTCATCTTTGATCAATTTACTCATCATTGATCCGAGTACCATTTTTTCACAATTAACAATTGTTTTCATTGTAAATGATGACCATTGATTATTATCATCATCATTATCATTATTATTGGTTTCAATTTTGATTGTAATCAAAATTAATGAACGAAATTTAACCGTACATGCAGAATAATATAGTGTTTGATTATTATCATCCGATGTTGTAGTAGTATCACCATCGTTATTAATGTTGCTAAAATGTTGATTTGTACAAACATTTGCCAAATTCAATAAAATCTGATTGATTGTCGTACATAATTGTTCCATACATTTATATGTTTGCTGGCTAGATTCGATACGAACAGTGCCAGTTACTTCATTCATTCCGGTTAATTTTGAACGTTCCTGTAGGAAATCATCAACGGTACGGAAACGAACCGGATAAAGAATATCGCCTAATGGTGCGACCAATTTCACTGAATGTATGCGATTAAATTTCAATTCAATACCCAATGATGGTGATTCATTAAAATCCACGGCCAATGTAACTAATCGTGTTTCATCAGGAGCCAATATAGGAATCACAACCTGATTATCATCGGCTTGATACTATATGAGAAATTGAATAATTTTAATATGTATCTCGAATGAAAAAAACAATCATTCACTAACCTCAACATTTTTAAATTGAATCGATCCATTCGAAGGTGGTTGTATTGTGATTCGATTCTGATTACGGTTATCATCAATTTTCAAAGTACATTTCACTACTAATTCCACTAGAGTTTTTGTTGCTTCATTAATCCTTGGAAAACGATACGATACTTTGAATCCATCAGTAGCGGTTACATCGAGTAATTCAAATTCTTTATATGTAACAGATTCCGGCGATTCCAGTATTCGATATGGTTCCTGTTGTTGTTGCGATTGCACAATCGAATTTGAGCTGGCCATCATCATCATCGGTAATAATGGCTGATGTAATGGTGATACAGCTGTCATTATATTCGAACCATTTATATTTAAATCACTTAGATCAAGTAATAGATCAACATCTGACGATGGATGTGGCCTGGATTTTGATGATTTTTGTTTCAAATGTTTTGATGTTGGTATTGGTTTCACTTCTTCCACCATCACTTCTTCTTCTTCTTCTTCGTCACCTTCTTCAACATCATCGTTATCATCTTCCTCATCTTCGTCATCATCATCAACTTCTTCATATTCTTCTTCATCTTCTTGTTCATCATCTTCTACTTCTACTTCTTCTTCATCTTCATCTTCATAATCATCTGAATCTTCTTCCTCATCTTCCTCCTCCCCTTCTTCATCTACATCATCATCTAGGAATCCATTACGTGGTCGAAGACGAAATTTATCATCATTATTATTATTTATTGCAGTCAATGTAAAGGATTTATCAATCGATTTTGGTTGAGCAATAGGTTCTGGTTGTTTTCTTACATTTGAATCCGGTGCAATCGTAGGATAATCCGGTAGTTCTTCATAATCTTGCATACGTTTACCGAGGAAATGTGAAAGTGTACCAAAACGATATCGACTCGAATCATTGGAACTAGCCAACATTGTTAAACATTGTTGTTGATGAATGGCCACTGTCGGTGGTGGTGGTAATTGATCGGCCATAATGACATCCGGTGCAATTTGTTGTTGTTGTTGGACAAGTAAATGATTTCGTTGTGAAACATTTGGCTGTTGTTTGGGCATCAATAATAAACGTCTTGCTAGTAATGGATCACCGATCAAATGTTTAAGGAAACGACCACGATCACGAACATCATAATTAAGATCATATTTAGCCAAATTGAATACATAAGATATCAATGATTTAAGACGTTCACGATCAATATCTAATGGTTCCAAGTTGGTATTGATCTGTTGACCACAACCATCATCATTAACATTATCATCGATCATTGTAATCGATAATTTAGCAGCCAAATTCATTGCTTGCAATTTGACCAGATCATGTTCATGACAAAATGATTTAGCAATCTGTAATAAAACATTTGGTGCTAAACGACGTGCATGGCGATTACGATGACAAAATTCAGCTACAATCCATACGATTGTTGCACGTGCTTGTGGTGTTGAAATTTTTGTCATTAATCGTACAATTTGTTTAACAATCATCGATATTATTGTTTGATCTTTATTAATAATCTGTGTACGTATGACGACGATACTTTGTGCAACAATTGTTTCATTACGATTCGATAACAATGATACAAGACCATTTAGACAAACAGGTGCAATCTCTTTGATACGTGATGCACATTGACCGATTGATTCGATCGTAGCCGACATAAATTCAAGATCATCTTGATAGTTCATAATATAGGCTTGAAATTCTCGCAATACAAGCGATATATAATTACCCGTATTGCTTAGGTTTGTTAGAATTTCTAATTTCAATATCTTGATCTGTGTACTATCATTTGCTTTAACGAAAAAAGATTTTAAATATGGCTCAAATAATGATTTAATCGTACGAATCATTGGTGTTCGATTATTGGATTGATCTTCTGTATCCGATTCATTATTATCATCAGCATCATTAGATTCTTCATCATCTGATTCTTTTCTAATCTCACCATTTGTTTGTCGATGATGGACACAATTAGAATCGGTTGACATTAACAATTGTGATGATTGTTGGGTAGCTGTTGATTTATTATTATGATCATCATCATTATTAGAACGTTGTACAAGACCATTATCTTCAAGCCATTTTTGATTAAATTCAGCCGATGTTAATGTAACAATATTTTTCAATATAATCAATTGAATTTCATAATGTGAATGTAATAAACGAATTAATGGGCGAACTAATGATGCGGTTATTTCAAAATGTGGTGCAACCGATAGATATAGCTGTATAACGGCTAATACAACACCCGAATTACGGCTTTGTAATAATGGTTTCACCGAACGTATTAGAAGTAAATGATCTGGATCAACACGTGACGGTGATGATAATGATAATGATTGATTTGGATTTATAAATTGTGTACGTGCATATCGAACCAACATGTTGATAATGATAATCTGACCCCATTCATCGACATCTACTAATAATTGACAAAGTTTACGATAATTCTGATGTATTAGATCAAAACGTTCGGGACAAACTTCTTCGAATGCAGCTACGGCCGATCCAAGAACAAGGCTAACTTTATCGGCCAATAATTTAGCAATAATATCGATTACTTCATCTTTGATATCGGCATCAAGCGATACTAATTTCGGTATAGCATGTGCAGCAATTTTTCTTACATATGGTGACATATCATTGGCACAATCTTTGATAGCAATCAATACGATCGGTGAAATCATTGGAACACGAATCGAACTAAGAACACGAATTGCTGATCCTCGAATCAATGGATTTGGATCTTTAAGTGCATGTTGAAATGTAGCAATGGATAAAAGTGCCAGATCTTGTTCTTGTTCTGCATAACGTGTTAGATATAGGTAGACTAATTTTTTCAATTCAGTATTTTTTGTTACAACATTTTTCACTACATGTGGAAACAATTCTCGTGCCGATTCAGCTGATCGTCCTTTAGCTACCATTGTAATGATTCGTTTCATTGCTTCTAATTTCAATAATTCTTTGGAATTTTCCAACATTTGTTTTAAATCTTCATATTTGGACTGGATGTATGTGTGAATAATTGCAAATGGAAAAAAATAGAATATTAAAGTCATTTGGATAATAAACATTAAAAATTGCATACTTGATTTGAAGACTGAAAAAATGATGTTTTCACTGTTGATCCGGATGATCGTGATGATGATGTACCCGATCCGAATGAATTATTATTATGATAACTATATGCCATATCATTGGTGGACATGATGATTCCACCACCGGAATCATAATTTGATTCATATTCATTTGTTGTTGTACTGGACATTATGACTGATTTGCTGCGTTTGTTTTTTTTTGTGTGAGTGTGTGTGTGTGTTTGTGTGGGAGTTGTTGATCAATCAATTTGTCAAAAAATAAAATCAGATTTACTAACAAAGAGAGAAAGGAGATGTGAGTGATTAATATCAAAAATTTTGGCCAAAAGATGTTACACAAAAATGAACATAAAATTATTTACAAAAATCAGCCGGTAAATCAACCAAAAAAAAAAAAAAAAAAATGAACGAATCGATTTTAGACACACATAGACACAGAACTCATCTGAGTTTTGTTTTATTGAATCAAATCATCATCATCATCACATAAATGATGTGAAATATATGCCCGACGAAATAAAATTCAGCCAACACATCATCATAATTATCGGAGGAGGCAATGACAAAAAACCCACCAAGTGGCGCAGCATCAACAGCAGTAGTAGTCTGAATATCTGTTTGTTGTTTTTCTTTTCTTCAATCAGAAACAGAAGAAACAGTTCAGCTTTTTTCTATAGAGAATAAAGAGAAAAAAAAATTGTCCGATATTGTTTATTATTATATGATGATGATGGGCGCTCTAAAATTATTTGGCGTAATCATCGATAGTATTGATTTCTAAATTGTAATCCATCAACACAAGATGGCGGCACGGTAATCATAGAATTTATTATTATTTTTTTGTCACCGGATATAAATTGAATTTTTTTTAGAAAATTTAAAAAAAAAATTCAATTAAATTACCGAAAAAACAAGTTCAATTCGAAACATATAAAAAAAACAAATCAATCGATTAGATTTTGAAACAAATTTTTTTTTTTGAATTATATTCGAATTCATTTCGATTGGCCCGCTTTCTTCGACACACACACACACACAAAGTCTTTAGAAGAGAATTTGTCCTGTTTGTTGGTTAGCATTTTGGGTGTCGAGTGAACAAAAAAAGGGCAATTATAATATTGACAACAACAACAACGACAACAAAGAAAAACTTTCGAAACACATCGTCAAAAGAAAAAACAGCCGGTATACACGTTGTGAAAGCATTTTCCAATTCGATTTTTTTTTTGATAGAAAAAGTGTGAAGATTTGGTGAATGGAATTTGATTTTTTGAAAAATCTTTTCGATAATTATAAACATGATGATGATAATAATAATATTGATAATGAAAATAACCGCAATACAACGATGGTCGATGGTGATAGCGGTATTGATGGACATTCAAAACCACCGAATAATAATGATGAACAACAAACAATCAAAACGACGACAGCAACAACAACAACGATTGAACAATCCAATAATCAAGATGATGATAAAGATGAGTTAAGATTAGCAGTCACCAATAATAATAATAATAATAATAACCAGGAACAACAAAAATCCGATGATAATGTAATCAATAAACGGCCACAAATGATGACGACGATGATGGATTCGAATATTTCAAATCCACGGACGCAAACAGTAGCGCCATCTTCATCTTTTCAAACAGTTCGATTCTATAGTCATCATCAACAGCAGCATCAACCAACCTTTGTACATTCTTTCGATAATAATTTTGTTTATCATGGACAACAACAACAACAACAATATCGTCCATCATTACATCCGTCAACATCATCAGGTCTATATATGATACATCATTGTGGTCCACGATTTGAATATCCAAATAACCACAATAATGGTCATCCCTTTTCTTCATCATCATATAATTATATGGCTGCTCCATATAATAATCCGAATCATTATCCACCACCAGCACCACCACCATTATCGTTAAATTCTAATCAGGCACCACAACCGTCTACTTCCAATTATACAAATTCTAAACAGCCAAAACAATGGATACAACAACAACCACCTGTAGCACAAGCAGCAGCAGCACCAAAGATTTCAGGAACAACCACCGCTTCCATTAATAATAAAGGATCTCAAAAGCTTCAACATATGCAACAACAACAACAACAGCAACAGATACAGCCACAGCCATCATCATCATTGAATGATCAACAGCAGAAAGCATTTGGAACATTTACATTAACTGGAGAAAGAATTCGACGACCACCAAATTCATTTATGATATTTGCAAAAAATCGTCGTCGTGAAATTCTATATGCAAATCCACGAATGACAAATAAAGAAGTTAGTAAACAGCTTGGTCTTGAATGGCGAGAATTACCCGAAGATCGTCGTTTACATTATAAACAATTGTCCATACATTATAGTAATGAACATAAGACTAAATATCCAGGTAAAATATTTATTTTTGCAATAATAATACAATTTATACAATCGATCAAATAATAATAATCAATCGTTCCTAAACACAAAAAACAGGATATTATTATAGTCCAATTGAAGCACGAAAACGTAAAAATGAAAAATATCGCCTGAAACGAATGAAATTGATGGTTAACGAAAAACATCCACAGCAACAACATTCAAATTTATCAGATACAAGATCGACGACAAGGTCTTCGAACTATACCATCATACAACAACAACAACAAAATAGCCAACTTAATAGCAGTTCAAATTTTTCATCATCATCTTCATCCTGTTCATCATTGGATAAACAAAATGATCCATACAATACCATTATTATTGATTCGAATAAACATCATTTTCAAAGTGATTCTCGTCTTCCGGTCCAGCCATCACAATTATCATTAAGATTACCACTACCACCACCAACAACAACAGCTATGTGGACAAATGTGATTGATGGACAGCAGCACCATCAACAAAATCCGTCCGGCAGTAATAGCTATATTCATAGGAATGATCCTCGATTAACAACATCACAAATAAATTTCATTGTCGAATCCCCACAACCACCACAACAGCAATACACGGGACAACCAACAACTACATCAACATCAACAACAACATCATCATCATATCCAATGAATAACAATTAGTAGTCAAGAAAAAGGTAGAAGAGAAAATCGATATCGAATCAAACATTATCATAAACCTAGAAAACGAAGATGACGACGATTAGCCCATCCGACACATACACACACACACACACATCAAACGATAATCAATTTTTTTTAAAAATTAAAAAGAACTCAATTTTCTTTGTCTTTCAAAAACAACCATCAACGACGTCAAACACCATATAAAAAAAAGTGAAAATGAAAATGACCACCAATGACCAACCCACCCCCCTATTCATAGATTTAATCCATTAATCATACACCTGAATGCTGATGGATAGTTATTTTTTTCTGACTGATTAAGTGCAAAAAAATTGAATAAATTGAAGAATAGCACTAAATAAGATGAACAAACAAAAGGAAAAAACAATAATAACAAAAAAAAAAAAAAAAAAAAATTCGGTTAATGGATGATGTTCATTTTCCTGTCGAAATGATTAATGATAATGATGATGTCATAACTATTTTTTCTGCTGATTCACAATTCGTGTTGTGCAAACACGCATCAACTAATCATTTCCGATTTCCAAATGGACCAATAATTTCATTTATCTGCTGATTATATAAACTCGGGTGATGAACTGTTTTTCATTCATTCAATTCATTGAATTCTATTCATATTTGATACGACAATTTTGTTGTTATATAAATGGTTTCTTGCTGATTGTAGTGGATAAAAATTTTATTCATTTTTTTCTTTACCAAATGAATCGTTTGGATCTGAAATTAAATCTTATTGATCATCATCATCATTATCATCAGAATCGTGACCATCATCATCATCATGGATTGTTATCATCGAATTCAACAACACCAGTTGGTCTATTAATACGGTCATGTTCTGATCTTTTACAATCGATTTTGATTAACAGCAACAATAATGATGAATCGAATGACGAAGAGAATAAAATCAAAATGGATCAATCATCATCGGTGATTGAACATACAAATAGTATGAAATTTTTCTGTAAATCAGTACCATCATTACAAACGAAAAAAACAAAAAATAACATAATTACATTTAAAAAACAACGTTCATTTTCATCATCATCGGTATTATTATCATCACCATTATCACCATCATTATTGATGAACAATATCGAAACAGCCGTGAAAGATAATTGTCATATAATGAATAAACGTTTTATACGAAGTTCCAGTTGTAATAATTGGCCAGCTAAATTATTACAACCGATGCATATTAATAATAACAACAACAAAAAAGTTAAAACATTGCCAAATCGTTGTATGGCATTAGCATATGGTAATAAAAAATATCGATCATCATCATCGATTCTAACCATAGTGATGTTAATCACTGTAATCGTATCGATTTGGTCATCGACAAATAAAACGAATATGTCTACTGTTTGTGCTGCTTCTGCTGGTATTGAAGTTGGTAATGGTAATGAAAATGAATCACCCGGTGGTGGTCATATCAATATTGTGGACGATGAAGAGAATCGTTCACTTCATGAATGGGATGATATATTTCATTCACGATCAGCTGATGATTGGAGACAATTATGGCATCGTGAACGTCATCGCCGTTGTCGACATGATCTTCTTGCCCATATGGAATTGGTTTGTCAAAAAGATATCTATAAATTGAATCGTCGACGAAAAAAACGAACAAATGTCAATGATGATTTTTATCAACATGGTATTTATATTATTAGAAATTCATTTATGAGAATCAAATTATATCTTAATTTTTTTTTGTTATTAAATAAATATATAGAAACAAATGGAAAATTGAGTTTAGGAAATTTGGACAACAATAACAATAGTGATGGAAAATCGAAGAATCGATATCTAACATTCATAGAAGCGAATACATTTGCCCAAAAACAGCTCAAACGTTTTCTACGTAAAAATCATCATTATGATAATTATCAATCAGATATGGATGTGATCCATCAACCTTATATTCAAATGGCCAAAAAATTATTCGATGATGATAATCCTTCATCAGATAATCAAAATAATAGTAATAATAATCATGATCATATTAACAATGATTACGATAATGTGGGCGGAAGTGGTTTGATGGCTGTACGTCGACGACAACGTGGTAAACGTGGAATTTCCGATGAATGTTGTCATGGAACGGATGGTTGTTCATGGGAAGAATATGCTGAATATTGTCCCGCAAATGTACGATTACGATCATGATCAAACTAAAGAAAAAAAAAACAAACGAAAGAAAGAAAAACAATTTGTTAGTGGGGAAAACGAAAACATCATCACTTTGTCTATTCAATTTAATGCACACATCCGGTCATCATCATCACATTTATTGCACCACAATAAAAGTCACTTGTTTCAAATAAATGAATGAATTGCCCTCATTTCACCTAATCTAAAATAACTGAATGCATCATCAACAAACTGAGAGGTGCACCTGTTTCAATACGTTCTCATATACGTAATCAAATATCCGGGCTACCCGTACACACAGACACAGACAAACACCATTTACCATCTTTTTTTTGGGGGGGGGATTACAATGTTATTAATATTAATAGACAGTGATAATATAATATAATATTTAACCTTTTTGAAATATATTTTAAGAATTACATAAATATATCCACTTTGAATGTCATCAAACTATCAAAATAAAATTATATTTGATGAATAAATAAAATAAGAATATATTCGACATATTTTTATGGTATAAATAAGCTCTTCGGGTATGTAGCAATGAGGATCGACCCGGATATTATATAGAAAAAAAAACAAGTAGTGGTGGTCTATACAATTGTTATATAGTCCCTGTTCCCTGTTACAAACGCACACACACACAAACAATGAATATTCCGAAAATTGTATCATGAAATTCGTTTATGCGTTTGTCCGGTACTGAGCATCTTCATCTTTAACGAAAAAAAACAATAACAACATTAATCGAATAATAACAAGAATTCGCTACACGAAAACGTAAAAAATTTTACGAAAAAAAAATACCGAAACCAAATACGGATGTGGATATTATTACAAAACGGTTATCTATATTCAAGAATGTATTATAATAAAATTCGTGATACAGCCTATTATTGGTGGCATACATATCTTTTATTTAAATGTTGTCTATTGGTCATACCAATCTATTCATTTCTATTATTGATCGGTTTATATTGTATATTGTATAATATCGATGTACAATCACCATTGAAAACCATTTATGAATTGTTGATATTATTCTTTTCGGCTGCTGCCATATTCATTATCGTTTTATTATTGGCAACATTGAATGGTAGCCATAATAATAATAATAATAATACTAATAGTTCAAATATAACCACCATTGATGATAATTTTGATTCGGAAATCATTTCAGAATCATTATCAGCACGAAGAAATTATCATCGTAATAGTAATAGTTATGATTTAAATGATTCTGATGCATCGGATGATTCACCAAATGATCGACGAAGAAGACGATCAAATTATTCACGCCAATATCGACAACAACAACGACTATCACAATCTACAAATAAAACAACAGGAGTTAAATCATTAGCATCGAATATAATGACAACCTTATTTGGTGATTTTGATGATCCAGATTATTGTTATGGCAATTCTGATGTTGAAATTTCTATGGATCCATCAATCATTAATGATACGGATCTATTGGCTGCAGCAGCCGCTGCAGCTGAAAATGATGATGATCCTGAAGCGTTGGCCGCAACATTGAATGCAGCACAATCACGACTGTTTGCAGCAATTGATCAAACGGCTGATAATTTAGAATATTTTCTCGATCATTATGATGAACGATGTCATAATATCGATGAAGATCGAATATTTGGATGTCGAATTAGAAATGATGACGAAGATGATGATTATGATGTAGGGCCACAACAAATTATCGCAAATCCATTGTTAGAATCATCTAAATTAACTGCATCAACAACATCAACATCATCAGTAGCGGCAATATCATTTCCAACATTAATACCACCGATGATACAACAGCATCATCAGCAGCAGCAGCAGCCACCAAATTATTCACAAAAATCATCGATGATTCGAACAACACAAATGCCACTATCGCCACCTATATACACGAATATAAATCAGAATAGAATGGAAACAATTAATCCATCCACTGTATTACAAATGACAATTCTCGACGATGATGATCGACCACCAAGTTATGAAGAAGCGATAGGAAGTAGCAATAAATTCATGTAGATGTATCATTTTTATTCACACACACCATTATTGTTGTTGTTGTTGTTGTTCAGAATGAAATTATTGTTAATTTTTTTTTTGTTTTTTTTTTGGTTACTTTATTGCAACCATCATTGTTGGTTTGATCGATTGCCAAGAAAACAAAAAACTTGTTGCAAATTAAATTCGCTACAAATTTATGTATCCATTTGGATTTGATTGCAAGGTTTTTTTTGTTGTTGTTGTTGTTGTTCTTAATTCATTCTTCGTGGGTGTCAAAGTCATTAGTATTACACCTGTCGTATACGAGACAACAACAACAACACAACAACAGAATGCAATACACGTCATATGATAGTGATGAGTCATCTTTTGCTTCTTACGTAAATCCATTGAAGATTCCTGTATTCAAAAGTTTTTTGTTCCCAAATATCAAAAGATAATTTGAAGATTGCCTCATTACAATGAAACTAGATGACGCTCAATCAATTATTATCATCATGTGTATAATAATCAATCATCCACCCATCACACTACCACCACCACCACCACGTCATATCCGGATCTCTCTAGAGATCAATCAACTTTCATTTAGCTATAATTAATCGAATTGAATCGGAACTATTTAAAAAAAAAACAAAACAAAACTAGTACACATCATTAGAATTTATATGACAATTTCAAACGACATATAATCATCACCATCAATCCAAATTTAGTTTTTCTATAAAAAAAAAACAAACAAACAAACCAAAACAAATTTGAATAAATTTGAAAAATGATGATAATATGTTTAGTCTTGTTTTGTCGTTTATTGTCGACGAATGATTGGAAAATAAACGAACGATTGGATTGGGATACATATTTGGATTGAAAAGAATAAATCGATAAAGAGAGTGAGAGAGAGAGAATGTTTTATTGTTTTTAAATTGAAAATCCCACCAAACTGGATTCATTTATGAATATTCCAAGAAATTATGAATTATGTAAAACATCAAATTGATCAGTTTTTATTATTATTATTATTATTTGTAAATAATCTGCATTTTCATATGGTTCATTTAAAATGCAAAATTTGTTTATATTATTAAATAATCAAATCAAATTTTCATTGTAAATTATTATGAAACACACACACACGATGAACACACACACACACAAAAGGTTATTTCTATATTGTATTTGAGGATTGTTCAGATATGGAAACAAAAAAAAAAAAATTTTGTAAATTAATTAGAATGATGATAGATGATGATAATGATAAAAAAAAATTAATAATAATAATGATAAATTAAGAAAATCAATCAATTAATAAGAAATAAATAAATTCAATAAATAAGAATGAGTAATATATATTATTAATGAATGAATGTTTGTTTGCTACTACTACTATTTTTTAGTGATGAATAATAATGAATGTCCATTTTTTTTGATCAATTATGGTCAATTGAACCAAAATCAACAATTGTGTATATGTGAAACATTTCTTTGGTTGGTCCTCTTCATATATGGGTAACAGGATCTTCCATAACCACCACCACCACCATGCTATCATCAATCAACAAGATATATTATGAATGAAAAAAAAGAATCAAAGTGTGAAATTGAGATTTCTTGTTTGTTGTGTAAACAGTGAGAGAGAGTAGATGTGTGAGTAAAGTAAGTAGATATAATTTTGTTTTGATGATTCTGTGTTGATGAATCGATACGATATTTATCCTTTTCCAAATATTGTTTGCCCACAATATACCACGTACATCATTGTTGTTATATTAAATTCACCGTTTACGTGTAATAATCATAGATTCACTATGAATATTTTGATTACTAATCATATTACCATCTTCCAGACCATTATTATGGTTAATTGTTGTCATCAATGTGGATACTTTGCCAGATAAAGATGTTGCTAATGGTGGTGGTGGTATATGTGATTGTTCGAAATGATTCAAAGCCAAATTTGATGATGATGATGATGATGATGATGGTGGTTGAAATTCATGTTCATTCGGTATAAACATTGGACGGCCTCCATCCTGAATGATTTCATAACGATCAATTGGTTGTAATGAAACGACTGGATCGATCGATGTTGATGATAATGATAGTATCGACGGCATTGGTGTTGAATCCGGTTTCGGTGAATGTTGTTGCTGTAATTGTCGTTCCATATTTAACAATTTTCTTCCAGCCGGTGAATTATACAGAAAATCATTAATTACTGTCTGAGCTCGTTCAGGTAATTTTCCGGTACGTTGATATTCTTCAATTTCGGTCGATGATAAACGATCAATCAATATACGATTATTAACTGTTCCAGAATCATTATCTGAATTATCCATCATTGAATCATCATTAGATAATTCGGTTAATTTTCGTCGAAACGCTTCACCAATAGGATCGGATTTCAATTTATTTACCGATTGATGATGACCATTACTATCATTATTATTATCATCATTTGTTCGAATAATTGGTGATGACCAAATCGATGAAATCATCATCATAATAAACATTGTTGTCAATGTAACCGTATGCATATTCATGATGTAATTAAGAATAATATGTATATCGATGATAAATATTTGTTGATATATATAAATATTAAATAAATCAAAACAATTGTTGTCAGAATTCTCGATCAAACAAGTTGATAATTCTATTTCTTAGATGATTTTATCAAAATCAAAATGTTTCGAATGAGATTTTATGCCCAGAATGTCGAGGCTTTTATCTTGGTTTGGTGGCTAGCGTCGTATGACGATCAAACATTAGTCAAGCAACCAACAGCCAGTCTTTATAGTTATCTTTCTTTCTCACTCTCTCTCTCTCTCTTTCTCTCTCTCCAACACTTCTTTCAAAACTAAATCAAAAAAAAAAAAAAACAAAAAACAAAAACTAAAATGACTGAGTCAGTCATATATTCACTTCTGTGTGTTATATGAACAAATCTTTCAATGTAAATGAATAGAAAAAAAAACCAGAGATAGGAAAAAAAAATTTCATATAAAAAAAAGGGGAAAAAAATAACGATGAAACAACAAACATTTCTCACTGTTTGTGTGTGTGTGTGTGCTGTGTGTGTGTGTATGTATTGTAGCGCGCTACAGTTTCGCGATTCAATTCGGTTTTTCATTTCAAACCAAAAACATACACATACGCACACAGTTTGAATTTGTTGACAATCGGCGCGATTCGCGCCACATTTGCATTATAAAAAAAACAACAACAACAACAACAACATAGGCTATATTATCTCATTTCATTCTTTTCTGGACTTTTTTTCTAGATTGTTGTTGCTGTTGTTGTTGTTGTTGTTTATAATTTCATTTTCATTTTTTTTTCTTTTGAATGTTCTTTTTAGAATCAAACGCGTTGGTATATGATTAGTAAAATGAGATGAAAAACAATAAATTCGAATGAAAAAAAATGCAAGAATTTAAACAATTAATAAGAAATTTGTTTAGAAAAAAAAATGTTCATCAAACAAGAATAAGAGAAATCTCATAATACAAAACAAAAATAGATGAAAAAAAACATGAAAATACAGCAAAGAATATTGGATTTCTTGATTCTGAAAAAGAAAGGTTTTGAACATTTTTTTTGTTTGAATTTGGATAAAGAAATCTAGGGAAAATACGAAAATTTTAGAATTTAAAAATTTATATTTCAATTCGGATGAGACAATAATGATAATAATGATGATGATGATGATGATGATGATGATTTTATCAAGAGAAACCTCTAGAACTATTAGAATACAACTATAGAGGTACATGAACGAATATGAATATTTGCACTGATTACACGCCTACCTGTAAAGGTCAGTTGTGTATTTTTAATGATTTTATTTTTTTTTTCACTTTTTAATAATTGATGGTTAAATTTAATTTTTTTTTTCGTATTCAGGATTGCCTAATACGACATCCGATCAGATTAAAGCGCAATGACAATATTTCAAAAAAAAACTTTTCATTCATCATGTGGATGTACTGAATTTGACAACAAAAAAAAAATAGTGAACATACACGAAAATGAAAAATCAAATGAAATTAAAACATCCATTCCTATTTGTATTATTATCATATATTCTGCGTAGGTGGAATTTGTTGTTGATTCTATTATCAATTCATGACCAAATGAAACAGTGGAAAAAAAATAAATAAATGAAAATAAAAAAATAAATCCCTTGTTCAATAGAATTTTTTTTTATTTCTGCTGGCATAACGAATGAATGTGTTGTGTGTGTGTGTGTGTGTGTGATTTAAAATTTTGCAACCTGAATGAGAAACAAACAAACAAACAAAAAAAAGATAATATTCTAGGAAAGAAAGTTTATTCTGGTTCACAATAGAAATTGATATAAAGCAAAGAAAATACATACCGTAATAGTTGACCATATAAATAATTGTGACAAATTAAATGAAAGTTAAGGTAACGGAAAACAACACCACCAAAGTTAGTGAAGTTATTGAAATTTGGTTTTACCCCATCTATTTCCTTTCAAATCATCATTTTTTTTTGAAACCATTTGTTGTTGTTTGTATGAAGAATTCAATTTGCACAACAACAACAACAACAACAACAAAAGCAAATGAACATTCTATTTATATGATAATGAAAATAATGATCATTATCTCATTAAAACTTTGCAACAAAAAAAATAACAAACATTTAAAAAAAGAAAACGGAAGAAAACACGTCGCCAAAAAATCATTATCTACATTAATTAAAATAAAATTCTATTGTTCATCAAATACAACTACCCATTCAAATGTTTGTTTGTTGATGATAAAATCGGATATTTTTAACATTCGAATCGAATCCCTAAGATGATACCAACGAAAATCCACACATGATGGATGTAATCTATTTCCACATTTTAAAGCCAAAAAAAAAAAAATCAAAAATCAAGAAAAATAAAACAATTACAAACCTAAATTGGATATACAAAGCCAATAAAGGAAGAAAATATTATGGTTCAATCACCAATTCGGTTATATTCGATTTGATTATTTTCGGAGCCAAGCATACTTACCAAATGTGATGATTAGAAATAGTGGAAAAACACACACATACACACACACACAAACATGAGACATTCTAATGGCGTCTAGACATTTGATTTTTTTTTTTTTGATTTTTTTTATGGTTTCTTGTCGGTCAATTTATTTGTCTGTTTTTTTTGTTCGCAATCATCATCGGTTGTTGAATCACATAGACCTTGTGACTTTTTTTGAGTGTGAATATATTTTTTCTTTTTATTCTTTTTGTTGTTGTTGTTCCATTGATGATTGTGATCGGTATTTAGAATTTGTAGTTTTTTTTCTGTTTTAGTAATCCAGATTCAGTCATATTCATTGATTAAATTTTTGAAAGAAAGAAAAAAAAATTTAATCAGACAAACTTCCAGACAGAATCATGGAACAAGAACTACTAGATTGTTGTTGTTTTTGTTGTTCGAAACAAAACAGAAAAAAAAGAAAACCAACTACACTTGATAGACCTGTGAGGGTCGAAATTGAAAACAAAACATTCAAAAATGTTGAAATAATTTTCGAAAAAAAAATTATGAAATTTTTTTTTATCGAATCCAAAAAAGAAATATAAATTTCATTTTTGTTGTTGTTGATAATAATTTCACAGACAAAATTCATTTGAACAACAACTTTATTCATTGACAAAAAAATGGATAAATAGATCAACAAGAGAAAAAAAAAACCACAAACAAAAATGGAACGAATCATCATCACCAGTGATTTTTTTTTTTTTTGTTGGTTGACTATATTGACACATACATGGTCATTTTATTTCATTTAATTTCGGTTTGTCAAGAATTTTCTATTTTTAATTTTTTTTTCTCGTTTTTTTTGTTTCATTTTTGCTTGTTCCTGTCTAGTCTGATTTCCGATGACTGGAAGAAATGATGTGTGGAACAATCAATAAAGTCGTTCGTTATCATCTCATAATGATGGTCATTTTGATCAATTTTTTTTCACATACAAATTACATTACATAGTAAATATCAATTATTGTTTTGTTTTGTTTTGTTACATTTTGATTTGGTTCGTTTTCAAGAATTATTTTGTACAAATCGTTAGTGTTGTTGTTTTTTTGTTAAATCAAGAATTTCAATGGAAAAAGTGCAATGAATTTCGATTGAAATTGATTCCGGACATTTTTGTTTTGAAAAAAAATGTTCGATTCTGATCTGGTTACTAACAACACCATCATCATCAACAACAACAACAAAACATCAACAATTTGTCCAATTCAATAATCAATAATTATCGTTCAAATGTACCAAACGATGTGAATAATAATTTCATTTTTTGATACAAATACAGGGCCGCGTTATGGAATCTCCGGTCTTTCAATTTCAATTTTATAAAGTGTAAAGAAAGAAGAAGAAAAAAAAATAATTATCAACAATCGCCTACGCTTAGCCACATTCATCATCATTTAGATTGAATCAAAAACAATTCAATGTCAAACGATTTGAATTACAATAACAACAACAACAACAGCAACAGCAACAACAAAAAAGATCGGATGAACATTGGAAATGAATTTTGAATCCCAGAGAGAGATCTCAAGATAACCTTCGAATGGAATAAATGTATGTTTGCGGCCCACGTCTTGAAGAAATTCTATTGAAACGAAATAAATCACACAATCCTTCTCGAGAGAATTTGCAAAAAAAAAATGACAATTCAATATTGATATTTCTTTGTCTTTCAATTCATGAAAAATTAATCAAATCATAATATGAATAAGAAACAAAAAAAATTTCGTAACTTTAAAATTATCATGATGAAAAAAAAACCGGAAACACGCAGACAGACCGACGTTACACACCGAAAAAAACGTGGTAATTTTTTTTTTTTTTTTTTTGAAAATCAAAATGATTTTTTTGTTTTGTTTTGTTTTGTTTCAAACAAAATGTATATGGGGGTGGGCTATTTGAATGAAAAAGAAAAACTATAGCAAATTAATCAATGATGAATCTGTATAATTTAAAAGCAAAAATTATTTATGTTAACATTTCCGCCGTTTTTTACATGCAGATATCATCGTTTGAATCAAATCGGATGAAATTCAAAATTATTCCAATTTCGATTCGTATCTATTAAAATATATACATTCAAAAGAAAAAAAAACTGCCATACACAAGTAAAAATAGCATCCGTCAATATGCACAATATACAAATCCATAAAAAGTGATGGACAACAACAATTTGACTGACGTATACAAATATATCAATTATATAATGATCTCTTTTTTTTTTGCTATCCAATAGCCATTGTTGTTTTGTTTTGTTGGCCAATGGCCAAGTTTGGTTGTCACCAAAATCCGGATATAATTGATCGATAAGATATACAGCTATAGATGAGTTGAGTAGTTTTTTTTTATTCGATTTATTTTATCAATTTTGATTTAATCATTATTCCCGATAAAATTTTATCTTTTAACAAATGAAAATTGGATGAAATTTTTTTTTTTTTTTTGAAACAAAGAAAACAATGCTCATTAATTTTGGTTAATGATGAGAAATGAAATTTTACACATTTCAAATTTTAAAATATATATGCATATATAGTGATTGAATTCCAAAATTCAAATGATGTGAATAATGTTTGATTATATTTTTTTTAAAAACAAAATCTTTTTTTTTCCTGTTAATAGAATTGATGATTTTGATTATTCGATCGTGGTGTTTTAATTTTTTCCAGATTTTTCGTTACAATATCATGTAATGATGCATAATGATTACGAAGTTCGGCCACCGTTAATCGTAGATAGATGAATTCTTTTTCATCAATTTCAGCAACATTACGACGAAAATCATCAACATGTGGATATTTGGCAATTTTTGTTATGATCCGTGCACGTGAAAGAAAATAACGAGACATTTGATCAAAATAAGTGGTAGCTTCCGCTTCAACCGTACGTATTTCGGTCAATGCTTCTTCTTGAATTGATACACCAAAATTGTTACCATCTTCAATACGAGGAATAAGAAATAGGACCCACATTTTCAACAGATTTGTATCCTCGACCAATTGCCGTACCAACGGTTTGACGATATCGATCAATTCAACAATGTGTTTATTACATCGTACAGTACCATACGGTAATATAAGAACACGTGATCCATCTGTTGGTTTTGATTGATTTTTCATATTTTCAGCCTTTGTTCCGGTTGATGAATGTTCATTGTCACCAATATGATCATCTTCAGTCAATACAAGATATTTACGTTTCTTTGAAGGACCATTTGTTTGCTGTGGTACTGTTGGTGATGAATCACAATCGGTTGCAGATGAATTTTCCGAATCATCCACATGATGATGATTGTCAACGGAAACCTGTGTTGCCTGTACCGGTGTTACATATGGATATTCCGGTATCGGTATATTTATTTCATGTCGGATTTTTTCCAAATTTTTCAAACTAAATAGTTGACCCTAATTTTTAAGGAAAGAACAATTTCAAAATGATCAACCGTAAAAATGGTTAAAACACCTACCTCGAGCAGTTGATGTAATTCAATAGTTTTACGTGGAAATGTTTTCAATACCAATTCTTCAGCTTTTTCTTTGATATCATCTTTGAATTTATTAACCTTGAATTCCATCAATCAAATCAATAATATTATTGACAAAAAAAAACAAAATATTCAACAAACCTCAGTCGTATAATCGGGTTGGGTTGAAGATTTTTTAGACGTCGACATTTTTTTGTTTCGTTATACAAATATTACACACAATTTAAAAAAAAAAATTAAGATTCAGATTCTTTTTTCAAAATGAAATTCGTCAACACAGTCACACAATGAACAAACAATAAACACATTGACTCAATGTGTGCGTGTGTGTGATTTTTTTTTGAATACGTTGTATATGAATACTTTTAGATTGAATGCATGATTTAAACACGTGTTACGTCCATCATAATTTTGCCATTTAATCTATTGATTAACATTTAATTTACCTGTAATAAATAAATGAATTATTATAATTCGCTTGGATAAATGAAATAATATAATGGCGATCATCAAATTTATTCAATTTTTGTCACTATTTTTCAATAAACTGTTGGTTATTTTGAATGATTTTTTGAGATTAGATAATTGTTCATTAAATGAAAAAAAATTGCATTTTTGAATTAATAAATGCAAAAAAAAACGGAGAAAAATTTAAACCCAGGGACCACTTTTTTTGACTCGATTTTTAAATATATGTTGTGGACCATGATGGATCCCATATAAAACCGGTTTAATTATCAATTAATTAATTTGAAGGTGATTCAGCAATGCTATTTACAATTGCTGGATTTGATGTAATTGGGCGTGATAAATTTGGTATATTCCCATTACATGGTAAAATTCTCTCAAATGTACCAAATGGAACTTGATTGGTACTAGAGATATTGCAACGACGAATATTTAAGTAGATATGAACATTTCTGAATCAATGATAATTCATTCAATGATGATTGATGAAAAAAAAATTTTGGCCGAGAATTTCAATCAATTCAAGTGTCTTGTGAAGATAGTATCAAAGTTACATGTTCGGTTTATGATTATGTGGTGAACATTTTCAATGGAATTGGTTAATTTCAAATAAATTCATTCAATTTGAATCATTCAATAATAAATACAATACATCAATGTTGATATGTCAAAAAAAAATCAAAGCATGAAAAAATTCTGTAAAAACAAAAGAAAATAAAGTTCCCGGGAATAACCATTGTCATTGATTTCATCATTGTCACTGATTTCATCATTTGACCCTGATTTGTAATTGTGGCTCGCGAGCCGCAGGTTGCCGACCCATGGTCCAATTTAATATAATCATCCAAAATGCTTGCTGGTGCTTGGGAGTGCAAAAAATCGGACAAAAAGGTAAAAAGGGCCCAGCCGGGATTTGAAATCGTTAATTGTGTGCTACAGCAAAAAAGGTTGAAAATCATTGCTCTAATCTTTTTTTTTACACAGATTTGCAGCTAAATCATCAAATGCCATCAATCGTTGATGGTGCTGGTTTCTCATCTGAATCCCCAACAACAACAACAACAGCAGCAGCAGCAGCAGAATCATCAGAATTCAATTGGCCAATTCAGGGGTCGGCAATCTGCGGCTGGCGAGCCGCAATTTCCCATAGAGCCACAAGTTATTGTGAATTGTAATTGACCCATGGTCCAAATTAATATAATCATCCAAAATGCTTGCTGGTGCTTGGGAATGCAAAAAAAGGGGAAAAGGGCCCAGCCGGGATTTGAAATCGTTGTGTGCTGCAACAAAAAAGGTTGAAAATCATTGCTCAAATCTTTTTTTTACACCGATTTGGAGCTTAATCATGCAAAAAGGGCCCAGCCGGGATTTGAACCCGGGACCTCTTGCACCCAAAGCAAGAATCATACCCCTAGACCACTAGGCCGTTTTTATCCCCCCGGAACCGGGACCGGGTCCGAGGGCATCCAAATTCAACCAATTTAAACCAGTAGGCAGGATTGATAGCGTGAATATCTCAAAGTAAATTTTTGTTGCTGGACGAATGTACGCAAACATTCACTTGGTATTTGTATGATGTTGTGGTGATCATGATGATGATGCTAAGAAACGGCACGGTTATAATGCAATTCTAACTAGTCTGACCGGTTACGTCGACAACAACAACAACAACAATAATAGTAAAGAAGAAGAAGAAAAAAAATACTGAGTATTTCATCAATCTGGTTAATGTTTGTTTGTTTTTTTTTTTTTTTTTTGAATATAAAGAAATGGCATCGAATAATAAGAATGTGATCATTATTGTGTTACCATCAATAGTTGCCATTCTTCTTTACTATACAATACGTATCCATCAATTACAATATGAACAACAGACATCCATAAAGATGATAATCGATTCGTTAGATCGACGACCAAATGTTGATGATAATGTTGATCAAACACATAGACCATTGGCATGGATTTATGGTGAAAATGTATGTTGTAATGGTAATTTGTATGGCTGATGATTCGTTTTTTTTTTTTTTTTGAATTTTTAGATGCAAGTCGGTTATCTTCATCATGTAATCGATCTGTTTCAAAAGGTTGGATTTCGTGTATGGACACGACGAGAACCACCACCGATTGATCGTTATGGTGATTGGCATGTATTATGGGCACATGAATATCCATTTACAGCCAGTTATAATCTACCGGAGTTGAAACCATTTCAAAAAGTGAACCATTTTCCCGGTTCAGGTTTCATAACAAATAAAGTTAATCTGGCCACAAGTGACCTGAAACATATACCAAAAGCATTTACATTGCCACGTGAAAAAGATGTTTTCGTTAATTATACACGTGAAAATCCCGATAAACTCTGGGTTCAAAAAGATAATAGTCATCGTGGAATACGTGTATTATCCATCGATAAATTGGATCTAGATAAAAAAGGAACATTCGTACAGGAATTCATTCAGAATCCACTGTTGATCGATGGAAAGTGAGTTGATTGATTTATATCGATTTATGAATTGATTTTTTTTTCGTACAGAAAATTCGACATTGGTCTTTATGTGACCATTACATCATTGAATCCATTACGTGTATACATTTATGATAACGAAGCATTACTTCGATTTTGTGCACGTCCATACACCAGCAGCGCTGGATCATTTAATGCATCCGACATAGATTCCTATGTGGTTGGTGATCAATATACACCAATCTGGCAGATACCATCATTAGCTAGTTATTACACAGATCTTAATATGAACATGAAAGCTTCATTGAATGCATACATCCGATTAGAACTGGACCGTGATCCACAACCAATTTGGACGGCCATAGAAGAATCGATTAAAACAATATTCTATGTAAAAGAAGAAGAAATGTTACGTTTAGCCAATGTATATCAGAATATGCGAAATTTCTTCGAATTAGTTCGTTTCGATTTTACTATCGATAATGATCTGAATGTTTACTTGATGGAAGCAAATATGTCACCAAATTTAGCATCAGCAAAATATCCACCAAATCGTTTTATTTATGAACAAGTCATATATAGTTGTATGTCATTGGTGGGTATAACAAGAATTCCTGCCACTTATGGTACATGGTCCAATAAACCTGCACAGCTATGGAATATGTATGTTCATGATAAAGATCTTGCCATTCTACCTGATATATGTTCGGATAACCAATGTGATCCACAGAATTCAACATCTTGCCACCATGAACATTGTGATGTTTGTTATCATTGCCTTTCGGATGATATTCGTATAATATTGAAAGATGCCTATATGGAACAAATGTCACGTTATCATAATCGTCGTTTAATACCATCAACATCGAAAGAATCACCAATCGCCATGTTAGGTCCAAATACCTATATACAGGATAAATGGTTTATTGGTAAATGTCTTTCACATGATCAATGGTGCAATTGAAAATCAAACAATAAATGCATCGATCTCATCCAAATGACAGTTCATTTTTTTTTGTTTATGTTTTTCTACTGTTGTTCCATCTGGATCATCAAATCTAGATCCATTAATTGTATGAATTAAAAAAAAAATCATCCATCACTTGGTCAGTTGATTTTGTTATTTTTAGCAAAATGATTAGGATTATTATATCTTTGTAGGCGTCATGAACGTTGCCAAAAAAAAGTGAATTTCAAGCATGAAAAAAATAATAGCCATGATTCAATCGTCCAAAAATCCGGTTTTTATATAAAAAAAATCCAAAATAAACACCATGATTGGATCCACAAGATCCAAAGATTGACTTGACATGGTCTTTTTTCTCTTTTCTTGAATCCGTTTTGTTGATAAAAAAAACAGGCCTAGGTTATTGAACTAGGTGGTTTTTTAATAATAATAATTTTTTTCATGCTGAAAATGATTCGGGATTATGGATCATCATCGTTGGCCTGTTTGAATGATAAAATTTCTCTTTTTCAAAAAAAATTTTACTTTCACTTTTGCTTTTGTTGTTGGTGTTTTAGTGTGAACACAACCATTGTCCATTATCCAGGGCAAGAGTTCATAAATATGAATTGTTGAAAAAAAAATTGTCAAAATAAATCAGTACTTAATGTGTTTTAGCCATCATTCGATGATCAGCTGGCCAATGTAATGAACACATTTTTTATCGGAAAAATTTGAATCAAATATGGAACTTTCGTTGTGATTTATCTTTTCGGTTTTTTCTTCAGTATTTTTGTTTCACTTTGACCATCCAATTAGGTGTCAAAAAAATTTTTTTTTTTTTTTTTGGTTTCAAATCAAAATCAAAATTCCACGATGAAAGTTTTTGAAATGTTTGGATTCAAATGTAAGTTTCGTAATTATTCATCATTTGTTTCTAATTCTAATTAATTTGGTTAGATTTGCTTGTTACATTCATTATATTGTATTGTTATCAGCAAACAGTGTTGGCAGCATTTCGTACATCCAGTGCACGATCATCATCCGGTGGACCACGAGCACGTTCCCGTTCTAATCAACGTCATCGTGATTCACAAACTTGTCATCTAAAAGAAGTTGATTCTTGTCTTGATAAGATACAAACATTGACTAAAGGACCAAATCCATCTTCAATCATAACTACATCGGATGGTCTGGATAAACTTTGTGGGTGAGTTTTCTCTTAGTTGAATAACTTTGTCCAGAATATTGCTGTGATTAAAAAAATGGCAATTTTTTCCCAATTAGAACTGTGGACGATATACTGAAATGTGTGAAAGGTTATTTTAAAAAATGTGGTACACCATTACAACGTGAAATCTATGATCTCACTATCGAACATTTTACACGAACATTGAAAAAATTCTGTAACGAAAGTCCAGAACGTGAAAGTAAGTTGATGAATTTTTCTGTTTGAATTTTTCACCAATTTCCACCTCCATCCATACCAACAGTTTTCCTTCAAAGTTCACCATGTATTCATGGAAAAGTATTGTCGACATCAAAATTTAAATCAACTTGTAATTCATACTATATTGCTGCATTGGATTTTGCTGCCAATCGTACAACAGTGGATGAACGAATCGATTCGGTTTGCTGTGCACATAATACCTGGGAAGATTGTACACAAGCAATGATTATAGAAAAATGTGGCAAAGAATCTACCGATCGTTTCCGATCATTTATGGATAAAACATTCGGCGGTATTGGCTCAATAATGTGTCCACGTGGAATATTTCCGGCTACCGGTAAAGTATGTAAACAAGCATTACCACCGAACGGTACTCGTCCAAAGGGTAAAATTTCGGAAAATTTTCTTGGAAAATATCTCAATAGTTATCTAAGTTTTATCATTACTAATTCATAAAGTAAATGTTATGATTCAAAATAATAATAATAATTTATTTGATGTTTAATAATTTAAATATTGCTTTCAATAATAATAATAATGAAATAAGTTAATGATATAATAAGTTACACAAGCAACATACAAATCAAAAGATGCCTAATAATGAAAATCATAATAGTCATTAATAAAATCTATCTGGTAATTCATAATCGATAAACGATTGATTTGCTTCACATTGTACAAATGTTGACCAGATTTTAGGCCGAATCAACCATCGTAGATGGCCATCTGGCATTGTACAGATATATCGACGTCTTTGTCCAATATGTGATGGATAATCATCGAAACTGATCACTCTGGAAGTATCGTTTGAACATTTTTGTAAAAATGTTTTACATGTAGAATCGATCTGAAGATTTACTTGTAATTCATTCGATTTCGCGATTGATTTTTTCCTATTTAGATTGTCACAAGCAACGCTTGATATTCGAACGTTTATCTGTCCTTCCACCCATTCGGCCATCGATGGTCCATCGGTAAAACGGATATTTGCATCGAATATATTCCATGCTGTTGCACAGGATAATTGGAGTCGATTAATAATTGAATGTAAGGGTGGCAGATGTGTGAAACCGATACAGCTTAACATCGATCCAGGACGTGATAATCGACGGCAAAATAAGGATAAAGATTGATAATCACTATTTATGAATAAATAAATTGATGATCATCATTTACATCATTATATTGCAATAAATTATCATACTTACCGATAATGGATCGGATGTTTTTGCCGTAACGAACGCCAACAATCTTGATCGAAATATAATCTTGGTGATTGAATAGCACCGATAAGCAATTGTAGACCATGAAAATTTCGTAGCTGACGTAATAGACAAGCTGATTCAATCAGATTGGCTAGTAATCTGATTCGATCATCATGTTGTCTCGTGTGTGTTGTCATACATAACAGATGATCACGAACAACATTCACAACAGTATCATCGAATTTCAATAGATTGTACAGTTCAGTTTTATTGCAATCAACATTCTTGTTGTAAACAAACAAATGATGATGAAATTCATTAATTATATTTTAGATCTACAAAAAATAGAAAAATACCTGTTTTGGAAGTACAAGATGCGTACAGATGATGAAAAAATCTCCAAACAAACGGTGACGAAAATATTCTTGATGAAATCTCGTAACATATAATGCAAAATGAACCGATGATGAATGCTGTAACAATGATGACAATTCACGATAAACAATATTACATTCTTGTTGCCAATTGTTGATCGATGTAAATAGCCTATTAAATGATGCACTAGAGCTCAAAGATTTTGAATTTTTTTTCCTCCTCGATTGATCTACATGTGATTTGGATGCTGATGATGATGATGACGACATTCGGACGGTTGATTGTTTCAATCGATATTTGATATTGTTGATCGTCCAGAATGAATCATCAGTTTTACATCGAGATTCTGACTTGTTTAAGTTTTGAAATTCACTTGATTTATTCAAAAAAAGATCTTCATTCGATGACCATCGTTTCAATACTTGATGTTTGTCTTTTTTTGCAGACAAATGATTGGTTAATTGATGACAGATTTGTCTAAGATGATGATTCGGATCGATTTGAATCCAATCGATTGGTTTACCCAATACGACACCGAACGATTTTGTGTCGTTATCGAACCGATGATAAAGATTCTTCAATGCCGATAGTTCCCATATGCTTAGAAGAGCATCAGCTTCCAACATTAATCGTTGCCATGTGGTAAACGATGCTCGTCGTTCAAGTAAATCAGCTGTGAATACGGGTAAAACCAATGGAAATCGACAAATATCAAGACATTCAGTACCAAATCGATTCACGAAACGGGAACAGGATGTTTTGCTCATGGAACAAGAATCATCATCAAACATACGATTCAAGTTGAAATAAAGACACAATTCATTCCAGCATGGATATTCTAAACTTTGAACAAACGATTCACTAGCAAATGGTGGCGGATCATGATCCAATTGTATTGAATCAATCGAATGAAGACTACTGCTGACTGCTCTTTGTTCATACAATGGTGATGACGTCCACGATACTGGTGATTCAATATGAACATCCACTGATGTTGTCGTTGTTGATGATGATGAGGATGATGGTGGTGCCAAAAAATTTAATGGTTCCGAAAAAAATGAATCTTCATCCTCTTCTTCCAGATTAATCGATTCCAAACTTCCAGGTATTTGACATTTACTTTGTTTGGATAAATCAAATGATGATCTTTTTTGAATCAATGATGTATCCTTCACCGTTGGTTTTCGTTGCGCAGAGGATAATGAATGAATCGATGGTGGTGATGATAATGATGAAAGAGCAACTATACCATCTTCTGTTGATGAATAAAGCGCGGTATTTCCATCAGAATTGATCGATGATGATAATGAAAACATTCCACTATCATTACGGGGAAGAATCCTTTGTAATTTTTTCAACATTGTAGATGTTCGTGGCATGATGATGGTTGAATTGGAAATGTTCCATTGTTGATTGCCATCACCATCTCGAATACCATCATCGATTATCAACATAGTAGGATCCAATGACGTTGTAGAAGGTGATGTTGATGATTTTAGTTCATCTACATTATACAATAAACACAACGATATTATTACCACTATATTTATTGATTTATTAATCATATTACCATTATTATGATGATTTAAATTTAATTGTTCAACACTTGATATGATCATATTATTGATATGATTACAGGCTGTTGTTAGAAAATTATTTGATGATTTTTTACACCTTCGATGTTGTTGTTGTGGTTGTTTCCTGTTCAGGTTTGAGCCATTACTATCATCATCAAAATAATGATTTCGATTATTCACAGGAAAATGTGTTATATGTTGTCTATTCAATTGATTAATGGCCATGACAATCAATGATGGTTCTGTACAATGTACACCGATTATATGTCAAACGATGATGATGGTCACATATATGATTAGAGATCATATAAAACAATGATGAAGAAAATGAGAAAGGATTATTATAGATTTTTTTCTCTCAATGTTTTTGTACGTGTATGTGTTTATACGTGTGTGTGTGTGTGTCATACAAAAAAAATGATTTTTCATATTTCATATTCGGTAATGAAAAAGAAAGGAAATGTCAATCCAATTTGCCATAGAAAATCCAAGAGACATGAATATCAATCCGATTAGAACAATAATAAGGATTGATCGCATTCATCTTGTCAGAATGGCATTCAATTTTAAATTTGTTTGTAAAAACATTGAAATCCGGTTTCGGATGGAAAATAAATGAACTTTTTTGTTCTGATAAAAAAAAAAAAATATTTCAACTTACAGTGATCAACTAATTGAAACGATTATTGAAGATTTAAATTGATTTCATAAAAAATTGTGTCACCATGTCATAGGTTAAACAAATGATGATGTCAATGATGATGATAATGATGAATATAGAAATTAATTCCAACCATGATAATCACAATGAATGATTCTATATATTCTATATACCATCATAGATTGGTTGTCTTGTCGTCGATATTTGTGGCTGTCAATCATTCGAATGATTGAACAAATCATTGATTTTTATATGAACTCTGTGTGTGTGTGTCAAAATAAATGTGTGAGAGAAAATTGAGATAGAAAAAGAGAGAGAAAGAAAAAAAAAGATGTGAAAAAAAGTAAAAAGAAATTGACAAAATCATTTGGATGGCGCCAAAATCGTCTTCAATAATGTGTTTTTCATTCAAAATCAAATCACACATACAAAAACATGCATGTTGATCATTGGTTTAATTTTTTTTTTAAACATTTTTCTGAATTCCTCTAATGACTATTTCATGTTCATGAAGGAAAAAAAATTTTGGCTATTCAAATTTCTTCGGGTTCTGTTCTTATCAATCTGAATAAATAATTTTGATATATAAATCATTAAGTTGATAATTGATTAGATTGAATTCTGTCAAGTAAAGTTGATGATGATTATTTGATATGATTGATTGAACATCATCAAAAAAAAAATATTTTTTTCTTTGAATAATGATAATTATTATTTCGATTCATTTGAATTCCACATGTTTAACATTTAAAATGTGTGTAATTGCTAAACAAAACAAAAAAAATGTACATTTGAAAAACCCATACGCACAATACACAAATGCAATCCATTCGGTTTTATCCTGTAGAAAATAATCAGAATTTAAAAAAAAATAAAAATTAAAAACAAAATGACAAACCTTCGTGAGAACACTGTTTTTTTTTGTTCGAAAAAACGTTTTCTAATCATACATTCCATACTAATGATGATAATGATCATTTTGTTGTTTTTTCTCCGTTATTTTTTTTTTTGTATTGCTGTTCTTGATCAAGTCTTTTTTTTGATGGATAAATCTCAAATTAAATTGATTTTAATGAAATTCTCAACTTTTTCAAATCTAATCAAATTCTTCGAATCATCATCGTCATCGTCATCGTCATCGTCATCGTCATCGTCATCGTAATCGTCATCGTAATCGTTGATTATAACATTTTGTCACAAGAAAAAAATTTTATCATTGAAAAAGAAATGAAAACGAAATGACAAAAAAAAACTGTGAACAAAAATACAGATGCCATGGTCGAATGGATGAATAAATGATCAATTGCCATTGATTTCAATGTCATTCCGCTACAATAACAACTACAAAGAGACAATCGAGGTAATCATCATTTATATTATTACATCGGAAATGATCATTATATCGTCCATATCAGCAACGAAAAAAAAAATACTTACACAAACTTGAAGACTAATAATTGATTGGCCATCATCGTGATGATGATGATCGTTGAAAAACATATTATACAATGTCTTCAATATATCAAATCACATAATCGATATGTTTAGTCGACACAAAAAAAAATACTTTTTTTTGAATCAATGATCTAATTTCAAGGTAAATTGTTTTTTTTCTTTTATTCGATTCCGATTATGATCAAATGATTGATAATGAAAGTTTTGCGTGTTATTGACATAATGATAATGATAATGATGATGATGATGACAAAGACCGATGATGTACATCATTTTACCTTTTCAATTTTCAAGGTCAATATAAATTGTTTGATTGATTGTAGATGTAAATGAATTTAATGATCCAAATGGAACAACAGAAATTGAAATTCACTTTTTTTTGGCGACGTTCATGACGCCTACAAAGATATAAAAATCCTAATCATTTTGCTAAAAATAACAAAATCAACTGACCAAGTGATGGATGATTTTTTTTTAATTCATACAATTAATGGATCTAGATTTGATGATCCAGATGGAACAACAGTAGAAAAACATAAACTGTTTGTAAAAGTTTATAAAATTTGGATTATCATTTGGATGAGATCGATGCATTTATTGTTTGATTTTCAATTGCACCATTGATCATGTGAAAGACATTTACCAATAAACCATTTATCCTGTATATAGGTGTTTGGACCTAACATGGCGATTGGTGATTCTTTCGATGTTGATGGTATTAAACGACGATTATGATAACGTGACATTTGTTCCATATAGGCATCTTTCAATATTATACGAATATCATCCGAAAGGCAATGATAACAAACATCACAATGTTCATGGTGGCAAGATGTTGAATTATGTGGATCACATTGGTTATCCGAACATATATCAGGTAGAATGGCAAGATCTTTATCATGAACATACATATTCCATAGCTGTGCAGGTTTATTGGACCATGTACCATATGTGGTAGGAATTCTTGTTATACCCACCAATGACATACAACTATATATGACTTGTTCATAAATAAAACGATTTGGTGGATATTTTGCTGATGCTAAATTTGGTGACATATTTGCTTCCATCAAGTAAACATTCAGATCATTATCGATAGTAAAATCGAAACGAACTAATTCGAAGAAATTTCGCATATTCTGATATACATTGGCTAAACGTAACATTTCTTCTTCTTTTACATAGAATATTGTTTTAATCGATTCTTCTATGGCCGTCCAAATTGGTTGTGGATCACGGTCCAGTTCTAATCGGATGTATGCATTCAATGAAGCTTTCATGTTCATATTAAGATCTGTGTAATAACGAGCTAATGATGGTATCTGCCAGATTGGTGTATATTGATCACCAACAACATAGGAATCTATGTCGGATGCATTAAATGATCCAGCGCTGCTGGTGTATGGACGTGCACAAAATCGAAGTAATGCTTCGCTATCATAAATGTATACACGTAATGGATTCAATGATGTCATGGTCACATAAAGACCAATGTCGAATTTTCTGTACGAAAAAAATCAATCAATTCATAAATCAATAAATCAATCAACTCACTTTCCATCGATCAACAGTGGATTCTGAATGAATTCCTGTACGAATGTTCCTTTTTTATCTAGATCCAATTTATCGATGGATAATACACGTATTCCACGATGACTATTATCTTTTTGAACCCAGAGTTTATCCGGATTTTCACGTGTATAATTAACGAATACATCTTTTTCACGTGGCAATGTAAATGCTTTTGGTATATGTTTCAGGTCACTTGTGGCTAGATTAACTTTATTTGTTATGAAACCTGAGCCGGGAAAATGATTCACTTTTTGAAATGGTTTCAACTCCGGCAAATTATAACTGGCTGTAAATGGATATTCATGTGCCCATAATACATGCCAATCACCATAACGATCAATCGGTGGTGGTTCTCGTCGTGTCCACACACGAAATCCAACCTTTTGAAACAGATCGATTACATGATGAAGATATCCGACTTGCATCTAAAAATTCAAAAAAAAAACAAAACGAATCATCAGCCACACAAATTACCATTACAACATACATTTTCACCATAAATCCATGCCAATGGTCTATGTGTTTGATCAACATTATCATCAACATTTGGTCGTCGATCTAACGAATCGATTATCATCTTTATGGATGTCTGTTGTTCATATTGCATTTGATGGATACGTATTGTATAGTAAAGAAGAATGGCAACTATTGATGGCAACACAATAATGATCACATTCTTATTATTCGATGCCATTTCTTTATATTCAAAAAAACAAACAAACAAACAAACATTAACCAGATTGATGAAATACTCAGTATTTTTTCTTCTTCTTTACTACAGAGACTATTATTGTTGTTGTTGTTGTCGACGTAACCGGTCAGACTAGTTAGAATTGCATTATAACCGTGCCGTTTCTTAGCATCATCATCATGATGATCACCACAACATCATACAAATACCAAGTGAATGTTTGCGTACATTCGTCCAGCAAGAAAAATTTACCTTGAGACATTCACGCTATCAATCCTTCCTACTGGTTTGAATTGGTTGAATTTGGATGCCCTCGGACCCGGTTCCGGTCTCGATTCCGGTCCCGGGGGGATAAAAATGGCCTAGTGGTCTAGGGGTATGATTCTTGCTTTGGGTGCAAGAGGTCCCGGGTTCAAATCCCGGCTGGGCCCTATTTTGGAAGATTAAGCTCCAAATCTGTGTAAAAAAAAGATTAGAGCAATGATTTTCAACCTTTTTTGCTGCAGCACACAACGATTTCAAATCCCGGCTGGGCCCTTTTTCCCCGTTTTTTTGCATTCCCAAGCACTGGATGATTACTATGATTGAATTGACCAATTGAATTCTGATGATTCTGCTGCTGTTGTTGTTGTTGTTGGGGATTCAGATGAGAAACCAGCAGCATCAACGATTGATGGCATTTGATGATTAAGCTGCAAATCTGTGTAAAAAAAAGATTAGAGTAATGATTTGTTGCAGCACACAATTAACGATTTCAAAATTTGGAGGCACACAAAGAAAAAGAAAAGTCTAAAAATCAATAGTCAATCTAAAATTTCGTGGCACACAAGTGAGAGTGGTTGGAATCACTGGATCAATAGAGGGTCAAATGATGAAATTGGTGAAATGATGAAATCAATGACAATGATTATTCCCGGGAACTTTCTTTTCTTTTGTTTTTAGAGAATTTTTTCATGCTTTGATTTTTTTTTGACATATCAACATTGATGATTGTTGAAATATAAAATTGATGATGTATATTGTATTTATTATTGATTGATTCAAATTGAATGAATTTATTTGAAATTAACCAATTCCATTGAAAATGTTCACCACATAATCATAAACCGAACATGTAACTTTGATACTATCTTCACATGACACTTGAATTGATTTGAAATTCTCGGCCAAAATTTTTTTTTTCATCAATCATCATCGAATGAATTATCATTGATTCAGAAATGTTCATATCCACTTAATTATTCGTCGTTGCAATATCTCTAGTACCAATTATGTTCAATTTGGTACATCTGTAGAGAATTTTACCATGTAATGGGAATATACCAAATTTATCACGCCCAATTACATCAAATATATGAGGATGATGAGATAATAAAAAACCGCCAAACAAAAAAAAAAAATAAAATAAAAACAGCAATATACAAAAAGGATTTCTAGGAAATTTTTTCATTTCATTTTATTCGTTTTCCTGTAAATTTTTGTTGAAAATCATCACAATGACAACAGATTATTATCCGTCAATCATCATAGATTAATTAAATGATATCACCAATGTTGTTATAGAAATCATTTCTAAAAAAAATGGACAAATGAAAAAAAAGAATAAAAACAAACCAATGGTCAAATAAAAAAAAGAGTTTTTTATCAACGAAATTCGAATGAAATAAAAACATTAAGATAAAAATTGATTCATCGAAAATAGGTAGTAGTGAAACAAAAAAAAAAACAGAACAAAACGATCGTATACAATGGTAGAACATACGCCCAACGTGGACAATATTTTTTTTTTTTTTTCTTGAAACGAAGGACTAGTGTGATAAATAGGATTCAACCAGTTGATAATCAAATTGTGACTGTTTCTTTTTTTTCTGGATTTTATATTATATGTAAAAATCATCACAAGATTTTAAGCAGAAAAAACTGGATATCGAAGACGTATATTTAGTTTAGAATTAAATTCAGTCAATGAATTTTGTGAATAATGAATAATTACTTGTTGTAATGTTTCGAATGAATATGGCCAACGTAAACCGAATCCTACATCAAAAAAAAAACAAACAAACAATCGAATAAATCATCAAAAAAATGATCGAATCAAATAAAAAAAAACACATACCATAAACGGATCGCATAATAAGACAATGTCGTACTGTACGACGACAAACAAACGATAATGTATATTGGCCGGGAAATTTTTCACTTTTTCTGTGATTCAATTGGAAAAAAAATCAATTAGTTTAAAATTGAATGAAAATTGTTGATATACCTGAATTACCTGACTAAAAATGTACCATCTGGTTTTCCACTTAAAAGTCTTTCAGAATTCAAACGGGTACAATTTGGTAGAAGCCAATTGAGTAATTTAAAACGATTTTGTACACAACGCTCACACATACAATCCAGACCGCTACATCTTATAGGATTCGTCGATGATGATGATGATGATGATGATGATGATACTAGACGACCATTAATGACCGAATTATTACCATGATGATGACGAAGTGATCCATTTGATGTTTGTTGTTGTGTTGTATGTGGTGGTGGTGGTGGTAGTGGAGGTGGTGGTGTTGTTGGACTTGATGTTGGTAGTGATTGATCGATACATTCGAAATTTTTAATTGAATCATTGTTATTCGAAGAATCAACGATTGTTTGATGATCATTTGGACAATCACTACTGGAATCACTATGTTTCGCGACTAATGTTTGACCACTATCCGTATCACCATCATTATCATTCATTATCCAATGATGATGATGAAGTGTAGAGGATTCCGTTTGATTAACCTGTTCCAAAAGATCGTCAAGACTTAAATTTTCCAATTGTTTTGATGTATCCGATAATTTCGGTAGCAATGATGGTGGTAACATCAATGATTTATTATTATTCAACGATACAAGTGTTGATGGACCACCAAACATGGATAGAGGACGAATTCGTGCTGTCAATTGACCCGTATTCATCGATGATGATGATGATTGTAAAATTGGTGGTGATACCAATGACGGTTGGGATTGTTGTTGTTGTTGAGGTGGTGGTGGTGGTGGTGGTGGTGTATTTCTTACAGACTGAGTATTCAATGATGATGGTGTCATTGAACGATTATTATCATGTTCCATACAAAAATGATGATGATTATCCAACGAACCGGGATACATTGAATTACGATACGATTTTGAACTAGTCGAATTCATCGAAATACTACGCATAGTAACATTTTGATTATTCGATGGATAATGTTGTGATGTTGTTGATGATGATAATGATGGTGGCCGCGGCGGCGGTTGTAATTGTTGACAATTATCGATTGTATCGAAAAATATTGATGTTGATCCGCTACGTGGAATAGTTTGTCCATATTGTTGTTGTTGTTCAATACTGATCAATTGATTATCAAAATATTCTGGATGGCTAAGAAGATGTAAACAATCTGAATCAGATAATCGTCGCCATGAATTTGATGATAATGTTGATGTTGTTGATGGTTTTGATCGTGATTGACCCATTTATAATCAATGTTGTTTTATCAAGGATTTTTTTCTTTTTCAGATTTTAAAAATGGAAAAATTTGTGTGTGTGTGTGTGTTTTTTCAATGTGTTTGAGAAGATATCACATAAAATTGAATTTAAAAAAAAAAATTTCTAATTACAATTACTAAAATGAACTACACTCAATGAGTGATTTATGAAAAAAGAAAAAACACAATCAAGTCATGTCGAAATCCATTTTGATTTGATTGAAAATTGTCAATTGATTGTTGTGAACACCAACATCATCATAATCATTGTCACCACCACCACCACCGCCACCACCACCACTGCCACCACCAACACCGACGAAAATTATCATCATTATCATCATCCGGATGGATGAACATTTCGAACGAAATCAACGGAAGTTGTAATAGCTGTGTGTGTGTGTGTGTGTGATGTTCGAAATTGTCCAAAAAAAAAGCATATCATTTGAATATTGATTTTTATGACGACATTTTTTTTTCCAAGCAAAAAAAATGAAGAAAAAAATATATAAAACTATGATATTGATTTGTTAATGAAACCAAACAATCAATAATTTGTTAATATTTGTTAAAAAACACTTACACACACACAAACACATATGGTATGATTGTTTTCCATTACTTCCGGTCGAATTTTTGTTGTTGTTGTTGTTGTTTTTTTTCGACATCATTCATTTTAACGGTTTTTTTTTCACTTTCTCTACGGAAGTCATCGTGTGTATTTCCAGTGCATTAAATGTTTTGTTGTTTATCATCAATGAAATGACAATTGATTTTTTGATTTTTTGATTTTCTGAATATAACAAATGAGCAAAATTATTAATGAAAAGCTAAATGCAGTTAAAAAAAAATTTAAATTGATTCTGTATTCTATTCGATTCTATTTTTTAATATAAAGAATTTTTTTCCCCTTTCAAAAGGTCAATTTTTGGATTCATTAGAAATATTTGAATGAAATAAGAAATTTTACTGGTAATAATCTTTTTATGTCAGGTAAATATTTGAAACACAAACATGGCTGGCTTATTACATTCATTTAGGTAAATATAAATTATTATATTAAGAAAAATAGGGCTGAATCAAATGATTTTTATTTAAACAAACACAAGAATGATTTTTTTTGTTCTTGACCTGGTGTTTGGAAATTGTTGATCGGTTAACAGTAAAATTTAATAATAAACAAAACAAAAATGGGTAAATAATTTTTATCAATTCAATAATCAACCAAAGAAAAAAAATGAAAAGAAAATTCTGCTTACTTTTCATTGTTGTTTTATCGGTTATCATTTTTACCAGTCTTGACCAGCTACGTCATTTTAGAATCATTCTGGACCATTCTTTCGTTGCTTTGTTGCATATAAAAACTGGACCAGTTTCAAATTTGAAATCAGTTGTTGAATTCAATTTTCTAAATTCAACCGAGCAATTCTTCGATTTGCAAAAAAGACCGTTTAATCGGTAAATCAAAAAAAAAAAAATTGAAAAACAAAATGCAAAGAAAATCAATGAACTCATTTCATATATTGTTGATATTCTGGATCATAATGTTACAACCAAATTATTCAAGCCATGCGAATATCATATCAAATTGTCGTGATTGTTATGAATTGATAACTACCGAACAGCCATCTGCATTGTCATCAGTATCGAATATAATACCGGAAACAATTGTTGAACTGAATGAAGAAAATTTCCGAATGATCGTCATGGAATCATCAATGTCATGGGCTATTGTATTTTATTCATCATTCGATCATTATATTGTTGATTCGTCAACTATTTCAACATACATAAACAATGATAAAGATCAACGAAGACAAACAAAACTTTCGAATCATGAAAATAATTCATTTTGGACAACAAAAATGGCCATTGAATTCATACATGCATCGAACACGTTGAAAGGATGGATTGAATTTGGTGCCATCGATTGTGATCAAAATCCACAATTACAACGATTATTTGCTATTGAATCTTGTCCAACTATTTTACATTTTCATGATGGTCAACAACAACAACAACAACAACAACAACAATGGCAACAAAATCAACTGAACCGGGAACAGCTTCCATCATTATCAATGCCATTCATTCATTCAGATTATACAATATTTAATCGGGTAAAAAAGTTAAAAATAAAACAATACAATTAATTCATCACTACTACCAAAAACCAAAACGAATCATGACAATGAATCATGGAAATCAATCATCTTGATGACAATCATAATGGACAACGACAATCACCAATGTTGGAAATGTTTGCCATATTTGCACCGTTTGCTTTTAATTGTAATTTCTAGAGCTTTCGATTTTGCATTTTGTTTCACTGGTAGATTAGATTTATTCTTTTTCTCTTTTTTTTCATTTTATTCATAGATTAGGATCAAATCTTTGCAAAGATTGTGATTATTTTTACTTTCTATTTTTTTTTTTTTTGTTGTTGATTTTGATTTGGAAAAAAATTAAATAAATCTTATTTATCTTGAACTTGTAGTGTATTTTTGTTTGTCAAATCTAAACAAAGAATATTTCAATTTTTTTTGATATCTGTTTTTGTTCAAATAGGAAAATGAAAATGAAATAATCCGAAAAAAATAAACAATTTTCGCGCCAGTGTAAAAGTTTTAAAATATGTTCACACATCATACAAGTTTGTGTAAATAGCTGTGAAAAATATATTTTGGAACTAAATTAAGTCGATAGGCGTGTCAATAAACCAGGGATAGTGAATTTGAGAACCGCCTATTTTGCGATAAAACATGTGATGGGATTTTGTTTTTTTTTTAATTCATTCACTAAAATTATATCTGATTTCTCCAATCATAATTCAACACGATCACACTATTTCAACACACACACACAACACAACACAACACAACACAAACACACGTCATTGTGTTATTGTTCGTTGACTTTTTTTGGTCAAAAATTTTTTTTTTTTTTTAATGATAATTAAATCAACGTCAACAATTCTCTTTTACCAAATACTGATTTCTATTTATTCAACTGAATTTATGTAATATTTTTATCATTATTATATTATAACGAAACTAACAAGGTTTTTTCAATTAACAAAAAAAATGGCCAAAGGTTTGTTGTCACTGGTTATCACTAGTTTTGTTTTGTTTTGTTTAATTTCAAAATTTAATTTTTTAGATTTCAAATGGATGTTATTGTTGGCTGCTGCTGTGTTGAACACCGTAAATGCACTTTATGATCATTCATCCGATGTTATTGAATTGACACCAACAAATTTTCAATCACGTGTAATTGATTCAAATGATGTTTGGATTGTAGAATTTTTTGCACCATGGTGTGGCCATTGTCGAAATCTTGTACCGGAATATCAAAAAGCAGCAAAAGCATTGAAAGGTGTGGTGAAAGTCGGTGCTGTCAATGCTGATGAACATCAATCACTTGGCTCACAATATGGTGTTCGTGGTTTTCCCACAATCAAAATTTTCGGTGCAAATAAAAACAAACCGAACGATTATCAAGGACAAAGAAGTGCACAAGGATTTATTGATGCTGGTTTCCGAGAATTACGAAATATTGTTGACAGTCGAATCGGCGGTGGTAGTAAATCATCAGGAAGCGGTGGTAGCAAATCTAACGATGTTATCGAACTGACTGAATCAAATTTTGATGAGAAAGTACTCAAATCTGATGACTTATGGCTAGTGGAATTCTATGCACCATGGTGTGGTCATTGTAAAAATTTAGCACCAATCTGGGCTGAAGTTGCTACCGAATTAAAGGGTAAAGTTCGTGTCGCTGCTGTTGATGCTACTGTACATCAATCGTTGGCTAGTCGTTATGAAATTCGTGGTTTCCCAACTATCAAAGTATTTGCAGCCGGTAAAAAGGATGGTAGCGCTGAAGAATATCAAGGTGGACGTTCTAAATCGGATTTTGTAAAATTTGCAATGGATAAATTGGAAGAAACCATGCAACCACCAGAAGTTGTTCAGCTAACCAAAGGAACTGAACAACTGAAACAAGCATGTGAAAATTCACAACTTTGTATCCTATCCGTATTACCACATATCCTAGATTGTCAATCCAAATGTCGAAATGAATATCTAGATGTTCTACGACGAACGGCTGAACGTTTCAAAAAGAATCGTTGGCAATATCTATGGATGGAAGCGGGTGCACAACCAGAACTAGAAACAGCATTAGATATCGGTGGTTTTGGTTATCCAGCAATGGCTGTCATTAATGGACGTAAAATGAAATATTCATTATTACGTGGATCATTTTCATATGAAGGTATTGGAGAATTTTTACGTGATTTATTATATGGTCGTGGCACTAGCCTACCATTACGTACGAATCAATTACCAGACGTTATTGATACTGAACCATGGGATGGTAATGATGGCCAAATGCCTGTGATCGAGGATATTGATCTCAGTGATGTTGATCTGGATACAGATCCAAAAAAAACTGAACTCTAGAGCCATAGATTTAAAACACTCCATCTGTAAATTTTATTGTCGAACCGTTTTTTCTTTCATATTTACAAAGCACACACACAAGCACGAATTTTGATACAAAGAATTTATAAAAAATAAAAATTACACAATTGGCAAAAAAAATCATTCACTCATTCTTCTGGCTTCTTCGATTGTGAATTTGTTGTCTGAGAATTTTCATCTTCAGTTAGATTAAGATTTTCTTGTAATGTATACAATGATTTTGATGTTGTAACAGTGTTCGGTTTTTGACCATTATCTGATACGATATTTTGTTGATTATTAATACCGGAATCTTTACTGGTAAATTGATTGATTAATGATCGAAGATCAGCACTGACAGATGACGCAACCATCGGTAATGAATGAGAAAAATCGAATGAAGTTGAAAATCGATTAAAACGATTGGAATTCGATATCCGAATCCTATGTGTTGATTGTTTCTGTTGTGAAGCATCATTAGCCGTTGATTTACTGGAAGTTTCTGATTTCAAATCGTTTTTTGGCTGATGAGGAGATGATGGTAGCAGTTCGGTCGAAATGGTGTTTCTAAGTTTTTCCTGAACACGTCGTCGTACATTTTCATCATAATCAGCTTGTTGTTTAAAATAAATAGAATCTTTCAAAAGACGTTGAATATTATCCAACGAATCTTTGGAACCGCTAAGAGATTCAATAGAATCTTTTGTATATTCTATATCATATAATAATCCTTTTAAAATGGATTCATTTCGTATCATTTCATCTTTTTTCTGTGCCAGAACTGGAACTGAACGATGTATGTGTTCTTGAATCCGGTAACATGCTAACGTAGGTTCATTAGCAGTGACATATATTGATTCGGTTATTTTATCACAAGCTATGTGTGTGTGGTGAGAAAAAAAGTGATTAGAAAAATCCATTCAGAAAATAACTTTCACATAAGGTTCAAACAAACTTTTTCTTGCTTTCCGGATTAATTCACCATCAATGGAATCATAATTTTGATTAATGGCAAACATTTGTTTTTATTTTGATTTGGAAAAATTGAAATTTTTAAATTATTATTGATTTAAAAAAAAACAAAAACAAATTAAATTCGAGTAAAAATAGCCACAAAATTCTATATCGACACGAGTATGTTTCCAATGTATTCAACGTGGTATAAAGTTTGTGTCACACACACACACGCGCACTGCTTTTTTCTACTGTGTGCTGTAAATGTGTTCCTTTTTCCTGTTCACGCTGGGCTGTTTTTGATTTTTGTTTTGTGTCTCGTTTCATTTGTTGATTTTTTGGCCAAATTTTTTCGAGTTTTCATCATCTTTAATTCATTTCAAAAATGGTCGCAGTGGTAAGTTGAAAAATTCAATAATTATTTTTTTTACGGGCATTTATGGCAGAGTTTTTTGATTTTTAACAACAACAAATTATTGACTCTGAATTTTTTCGAATGAAAATTTTTGCCCAAAATCATGAACAATATTGCAACATATCAATCCGGCATTTTCATTACCAATTGCATTGATATTACTAAATATGTGTGATAAATTCTAATCTATTTTTTTTATAAAAATAGGACACTACAGTAATCCAGAAACCTCGGACAAGTAAACGTAAAAATCCAATGCGTGAACTTCGTATCCGTAAATTATGTCTAAACATTTGTGTGGGTGAATCAGGCGATAGACTTACCCGGGCATCCAAAGTGTTGGAACAATTGACCGGTCAAAGTCCGGTATTCTCAAAAGCTCGCTACACTGTTCGATCATTTGGTATTCGTCGTAATGAAAAAATTTCCGTTCATTGTACTGTACGTGGGCCGAAAGCGGAAGAAATTCTTGAAAAAGGATTAAAAGTAAAAGAATATGAATTACGTAGAGAAAATTTCTCGGATACTGGGAATTTCGGTTTCGGTATCCAGGAACATATCGATTTAGGTATCAAATATGATCCATCGATCGGTATCTATGGTTTGGATTTTTATGTTGTATTGGGTAGGCCTGGATTCAGTATCAATCAACGTAAACGTAAAGCTGGCCGTATTGGTTCATCACATCGTTTGACAAAAGAAGATGCTATGAAATGGTTTCAAGAAAAATATGATGGTATCATTTTACCAACAAGAAAATGAATGAAAATATATTTTGTTCCAAAAAATAATCCATTATATAATAAAAATTTTGACAAAATAAAAATTTTTTAATGGCCACTTTTTTTATTTGTTTTTCATTATTTGTGACAAGAATGACAGGTTTTTTTAAAAAAAAAAAGATTCGAAATTTCAGAATCTTTAATCATTTAAGAATAATAATCAATGATGATTATCCAAAATTGGATTTTGTTCAAATAATTTATATACAAACAATTCATCACCATTTGTTCCATCCGATTGAAATGCTAAACGTATTGAATTCCTATGATGATGTTAAAGATAATAATGTTAGAATTCTGAAAAATATTTTCAATGAATGAATGAAATCACTTACTTGGTTAGTGCCCAAAATTTTTTCGGTACAATATTTGGTTTACGTGTTTCAAATTCCCATCCCAAATGTGTTCGACAACGGCGACAACTTTTGAAAATTAAAAAAAAAAAGAAAATTTTTTAGATAAAAATTTGTTAATAGCATTGATAATGATTACAGACTTGATAATGATCCATCCATAATTGGGAAACCAAGAAAAATCTTCCGAATATGATGATACACGGCGAGCATTTTCTACTTTTGAAAATGTATACAATTCATGTACGAATCCGTTACTATTGACAAAGGTACCGGATGTACCGAGTTTTGACATAACCAGAAATGAATTGCGATCACAAAGATTTTGACGACATGTACCACAGATAAATTTAAAATTTTCATTCAACAATGACATCTCTAACCATAGACGTAGATTTACACAATCAATTTTTAATAGATGTGTTTTAATTGCATCAGGAAACGGTATTGTCATCAAAACAAAATAGCTGAATGCAATAGCATCAACTGGATAGCTGAATTCATCATTTTTAATTCGATATTCAAATATTCGCATCAATACCGATTTAAGTCGTTCCATTAGTACATTATTATCATATTGATTAAGAGAATTAGCCGGTAACGGTGTTATTAATGTACGACTTTTTCGTGATAAACGATATTCGGATTGTACGATTGGCCGAAAAAAATCATGCATATTGATTTCGGGTAATATTCGTACATTTGGTTGATATTCACCTTGTTCATTATTAAAATCTTTAACAATGATAAATCGTTGACGACCTTGTACTTTAATCGTAATGGATGATCTATCGTCTTTGAATGAATAGCTACGAATTTCGGCCGTTGTACCAAAACGATCTTCAAATCGTCCAATACGTATACCAAATGTACGTGAATCATCATGTTCAATAATGGCTGTAATGAATTGCAATGTAATTCGATTGGAAAATGTTAATGGGATTTCCTGTCCAGGTATAAGATACATTCCATTCAGGTATAATGTTTTCAATGCTACAATTGAACCGGGTGTAAATAAACATCGTGCTGAATCCACTGAATCTAAACCACCTAAATATGAATGTTCAACCGGTAATGAAATATCATAATTTGTTTCATTCTCATTACGAGATTCTTCTTCATTCTGATCCATTCGATTATCATCATTATTACCGTTATTAATGTCTAAATCATCATCGTCATCTTCACTATCTACAGCGATAATTCTATTATGAAATTCAATATCATCGTCATCCATATCTTCATCGGAAAAATCATCGGCTAACCATTCAGCATCAGCATCATCATCATCTTCATCAACATTACCAAAAAAATGAACATTATCATCATTGTCTAAAAAAAGGCCATTCTCATCATCATCATCATTATTATCAGCCATTCGAATGGCCAAGAATGGACGTTGTATAAATCTTCTTGCTAGATTTATAAAACGATTATGATATTCTTCGCCTTGTTGATCAGGTGGTTGTTGTGGTTGCGGCTGCTGTTGTTGTCCTGGACGTCGATCCATCAATATAAATATAAATAGTAGATTGGTGTTCGATAATTAGATTCGATATTCAACTGCTACTTAAACAATTGGCGTTTACGCCTTTCTGAATTAGTTTTAGAATTGCCTCGAACCTGCCTGTTATTTGTTGATCGTAATAAAATACAACAAAATGTTAATTATTTCAAAAAAATTTTCAGGAAAAAAATAATTTAGTTCTGTTTTTGTTCGAAATTCGAAACGATAAAAGGGTGGTCGTCAATTGAATAATAATAAATAATAAATAAACAAAATTTAAAGCGCACAGTTTTTGAAAGAGAAAAAAGAGACGTAAACAAACCGAGAGAGAGAGAGAGAGCGAGAAATGTTATGTGGGGAGGTGAACAGTGAGGCGAAAAATGTATGAGCATTAGAAGGAAAACAATAAAATTACATACATACAGAATATAGATGGCACCACGATAATTTCAACATTTATATCATGATAATTTGCATTACATTTGGAACAAGTGATTAAAATGTAGGCCATGGTTTTCTCTCGCCATTTTTTTTTCTTACATTTCATTTTTATTATATGGATACGTTATATATCCGGAACATAGACTTGTTTTTATCCATAATCTTTGTTGCAATCTTCAGCTTCCTCTTTCAATGTCGATTTTCATCATCATCATCATCATCAAGATTATGTCATTGATGAGTTCAATAATTTTGCAATATGATTTTAATTTCCCGTACAAAATATTTTAATTTACTTGTTTACATTACATGATGATCTTCAAGATAATGATGATAAAAATCGATGATGAGGATTTTTTTTTCTTTTTCGAATATTTTAATATATATAGCTATATTAACCTGAGCAGGATCAAAAGTGTTGAAATGGCTAATCATTTCAACAATTGCAATGCACATTTCATTTTTGTTTTGTTGACTTGATTTGTTTGCCGGATAATTTCTTTGCGGGTGGTGTGTGTGTATCTGTGTAAAATTAATTTCATCCAATAAAATTCAATCAAAATTGAATTGAAATTAATTAAAAATTTTTTTCAGATTTGGTTGATCGATTCATTTGTGTTGAAAATAGTAACAACAACAAAAAATGGTATGTCATAAGTGATTTTTTTTCGAAATAGAAATGTCAATTTTTTCTCATTTCGGTAATTTTTAATCCAAAATTAGGAAGTATTCCTTATGGTACGACGACAAACGACAACCATATTTCTGGATTGTAAAGAAGTAACGCCCATTATTGAATTGAAAAAAATGATCGAAGGTATAACAAAAATATTGGCCAAAGATCAGATGCTCATCAAAGATGATCAACCAATGGATGATCATAAAACAGTTGCTGAATATAATTTAACAGTAACGACAGCCAAAGCACAGGCACCGGCAACAATTGGACTTTGTTTTCGTCGTAAGTTTTCTATCTAATAATAAAATAATGTGGTATTAGAAATTACTAAATTTTCATTTGATTTCTATTTTGTTTAAAACAAAGAATCAGATGGAATGTTTGAACCATTAGAAATGACACCATATTCACAGCCACCAGAATTGCCTGATGAATTGAAGCCGGTGGATTCACGTGAACAAAATGATTAAAAAAAACAAAGTATCGTTATCGATAAACACAGGGAGAAACTGGAAAAAAATTGATTGTGACAATTTCATCATCATCATCATCATCATCATACAAATCATCCTCATCATTGATAAATGCATTTCGATTGCACAACAACCATGTTCAATAATCGAATATAAAATATATTAACTCTATAAAAGTAATAAATTTGATTAAAAAAAAAAAAAAAATATTTTTACGTAAGAGAAAATGATTAAATGATTATGATAAGAAAATTGATTCATACATTCGTATTTTTCTTTATCGAGTCTAAATTATAATTTATTCATCATCATCATCATCATCATCATCAGTTTTCTCATAATAATTAATAATTTTCACAATTAATCAATTCGAAAAAAGGTAAAATATTTTCTTGTCCTTGAAATCTCTATTTTTTGAGACACGTACTCTATGTACAGTATATATATTGTTAGTGAAAGAATTTAAATTCCTTGCAAAAACAAAAAACAAAAAATGACAAGCACCGCCCTCAGCTCCACCTTTGGATCGGTTAGTGGCGGTTTTAAATTCAACCAACCAACCAAAGAACGGTTGAAAAATTTTCATTTTTTTTTATTGGTTTTTCTTTTCTTTTTTTTTTGTTCACATTTCAACATTCCAAATATTTCCGTTTTGACGACACATTATCATCATCATCATCATTAATTATGGAAAACAATTATCCTGGAAAACAAATTTCTGTTCCATCCAATAATGGATCAATTAATCGATTGAAAATATCGACAAAACGAATAGCAAATAATAATAAACGATCGAAATCAACATCATATTTAAAATCATCATCGACCAATGGAAAAAAATCGACAAAAGTATCATCAACATCATTATCGATTCGATTATCGGTTGCAAAACCGATAGCTAGTATTTCGGAAAAATCGGATAAAATTAAAACCATATCTGTATCATCTGGAATTCGTGAGAAAAAAGATGGTTACAATGTTCATTCTAAACGTTCATTGCTTAAAGATATTAAAAATACGGCCATCAATAGTTTAACACAAGTTCGTCATGGTTTCAATACCATTTCGACAATGGTAAGAGATTTCTTTTTTTTTTTTTTGATTGTTTAAATAAATAATTGCAAATTTCATCCATCTTTGATTTAATGTGTTTTAGTTAAAGCCATCATCGAAATCGAATGGCGGTGAAAATCAATATGAACAAATGACTGGTGATCAATCGACACCGATAAAATTATATTCACCATTCACCATTGAAACACCACCAATATTGATTAAACCAGAAGAAAGACAACGATTACGGCAACAATTATTTACAAGTCCACGTAATCAATTACGAAATGATATTGAAAATTTACAATCCAGAATCGAACATTTAAATTTGATGGCCAAAAATATTGTACCGAATCAATATAGACAAACGAATCATCATGATGATGATAATGAAAATGAACGACAATCATCGGTGGAAAAATCTTCAAAACGATTAATAATGTTTCAATCGGAAGAAAGTTTAATCTGAATACAATCATCTAATTAGTTTATGTGACATATAAATCATGTTTTTTTATGATTAATGATTAACTGAATTGGAATAAAAATTAATATTTTTTTTTGTTTCTTCTTACTTATCCTGAGTATTATTACTGTTGTTGTTGACTGTTTTGTTATTCGATATAGATGTCGGACAATTATCAGGAAATTGTGCATTATCATTATGTGCATCCAACATGCTACTAATACTATTGTTTGCTGTTGTTTGGCTAACCAGATTTCCGGTCGGATTACTTGTGCTTGTATCATTGGTTTCCATTGGATGATATGCTGATGATGATAGCTGAGATATGGAATTCGAACCATCTTGACTTGAACATTCGGATTGTAGAAAACTTTGTGAATCATCTCCACCACCAACATTATTTAGTGGTTTGGAATTTTCTTTATTATTTTGATCAATTGATTTTGATGTAGTTGATGATGATTGTTGTTGTTGTTGCGATGATGATGATCCAGTATCCGTTTTCGTTGAAGTGGATGATGAACTTTTGTTTTTAAAACTCTTTATACAGACAAAAAAATGGGATGTAAAGAAAATATAATCGTTATATAATGGTTGATCATTAATTAATTGAAAGATGATTACCGTCTCATCATAGCTGGTAACTGGTACCCATTTATAGATTTTCATTGTCGTATCACCAATTGTTACCCATTTTTTCTGCCATTTTCTAACCTTATCGATTGCATGCATAACACGTTTAATGTCATCTTTAGCTCTACTACGTGTTTCTGCACGAACCGATCTGGACATCATTTTTGTTTCGTTTGGAAATTTAAATTTTTTAAAAAGTTTTTTATCGAAATTTCAACCCAACCATGAAACACACACTCACAAGCAAAGTCGATCAAACAAACGAGACAGCTCAAAACATGGCGATATTCGATATATTCGGCCAAACAAAACAAAAGCCAAAAAAATCGTCCTCTATGAACGAAGCCAAGTTGAGTTACACAATTCAGTGACTGATTATTTGTTGTTTTTCATCGATGACGATGATGAGAAAAACATGGAATAAAACTATTTATAAAAATCAATGATCATCAGAATTAAAATTAAAATTTAATTTCAAATTTAGTCATAATTATTAAAAAAAAATAGTGAAAAAAAATATGAGTGCCACAACATCGATTCGAATGCCGCAACAACAGCAACAAGGCCAACAATCAGGATCATCATCATCGAATCAATTCCATCAACAACGTCCATACCATCATCATCATCATCATCATCAACAACAACAACAACAACAACAGATAAACAATTCTCAAACGATGCCGATTCGAACGAATTTACACAATAATAAAAATATTATTCAATCAACAATCAAAACATCTGGTCAATCATTGTTGTTGGCCACTTTACCATCATCATCATCATCCTCATCATCAACTATAATGGATCAATCATCAGCATTGACATCATCATCATTTTTGATGCAAAAATTACATTCAAAACGTAATGAACAACGATCATGGAATGATCTGTCTCGTTCGATGAAACAATTTTTATTGGATAAACGATCCATAGCTTTGGATGAACGTCAACAGCTACAGAAATCATTGGATACAATGCAAAAAAATATTGAAGTTCGTTCGATAGCCACAATGTTAGAACGCTTAGAGACTATATGTCGACAATTGAATCTAAAATTTGCGGCCAAAATGCATGCATCACAATGTTTCATTTATTCAAGCATTTATTATGTAGAAATTAAATTCAATCAAGAGAAAGAATCTGTGGATGATTGTCAAATATCGCATAATGACAAACCACCGATGGTATGCACGGATTTAATCGATGTTCTTAACCGCCGTGATTTTACCGAATTCACTAAACATCTGGAAGGATTGGCAGCCATCTATAAGATTAAAGCCGATCGTCCAATCACGGAAAAAGCTTATCAGGCATTGGATTCATTGGAAAAAGACCTGGAAAAAATGGCCGAAATACAAAAGAATCAAATCAATGATATTAATAATCTGGTTCATCGTTCACCAATGGGTGTGCTTGAATCAAGAAAAGGTGGCCATCCAATGAAATTAACATTTTTTGTTCCACCATATGATTTGTTGGATTTACAGCAAAAACTTTCATTACCATTAACTGTCGATGTAGTTATCGAACGTAAACTTGGTTATTCTGCTCAGATACTACTTGAAGATTCATCGGAACCTAAACGGTTACAATCCAAATCATTGATCATTGTTAAACAACGTACCGATGGTAAAAATTTTCCACATTTTCTTGAACATAATGAACAAAATAGTGAACTATTGCCTGCTTGTTATGTATTACGATTAACACGGCCTTTACCTATAAGTTTGGATTTGGTGAACAAAATACAAAAATTAACCGGAATTAATTTGACAAAACAAATCGATGGTTTTAGTTTTGAACCACAGCCAATGATATCATTGTTAACAACTGTACAATTGAATCCATCATCATCAACATTAGCCACTTCAAAGCTCAAATCATCATCATCATCGTTTTTGGCCATTCTACCGGATCAACGACATTGTTACTATGTAAACAATAATGATTATTATGATCAACAATCATCAGATTCATATTGTTCGTCATCACTTCGTAATGGGAATGGTGGTGGTAGTGGTGGTGGTGGTGTACTTTTGGAACGTCTACCATTCACACATCCAAGTCATGTATCACGGATATTAGTCTATCTTCGTCAACAGGTTTTGTTCAACGTTATACTTGGATCCATTATACGTAAATTAAGTTACGTTCGAAAGAATAATATTAATAATGGTATGTGTTGTTTTTTGCCGAACTAATCGATTTTTAATCAAATGTTTTTTTGATTGGATGAATCAGAATCATCGAATATTAATCATCATATATTTGAAGTATCATATTTTGGCCTGACCAATATCTATGTACAATTCGAACATCCTTTAGAACAATCATTGGCTACAATGGAAATTGATTTAAAAGATATAACACAGGTACGATGTAAATTATATGCCAATTCATCATCATCATCATTGTCAAATTTGTCAACAATGAACGGCTGTACCAATAGTAATCATGTTACAATGAATTCAATTTGTAATGATGATTATATTAGTAAAGTTATGCAAAAGTAAGTCGCAGTTTTTATATATTTTTTTTCGTAAATTTTCAATTTCAACCATTTGAATAGATCTTTATCAATACCGGTTACGATGCGTTCGATAATAAATCGATGTCGTGCTGCACAGGCAAAACTCCGTGAAACAGGAAAAGGAAATGAAGAAAAACCACCACAATTATTGATGAATATACCGACAACACCTACAGCAACATCGACACCAACATCTAGTATTCTTTATCAAGCTATGCAACAACAACATCCCCAATCATCTGGTGGTTCATCGAATATGGATTATAATAATAAAAATAATAATCATCATCAACAGCAACAACGAACATCATCATCGATGACAAATATCAAAAATGAATTCTACAGTAGCTGTAGTGGCAATAATAATAATAATGGCAATGAATCGACAACTACAAAAAATCTTCAATATTTATTGTTTCAACAACAACAACAACAACAGAATAAAACGGCGAATCCGTTGTCGAAATCATCGTTGGCGGCTAAAAAACCAAACGTCATGCATCACAATACAATGTTGATGAGTATGTTGAGTGATGTGCCGGCATTGGGTATCAATCAACCAACAACAACAGCAACATCTACAAGTACTACAAGTCTTTCAAAATTGACATCCAATCAATTATCATCATTGGCATCTAATACAAATAATAATAACAATAATCAAAATAGTCAGAAAAAACGTAAACGCCCATCATCGGAAACGGATTTTATGGATCCGGCTGGTGGTAAACGACGAACAATAATGTTGGATAATTTTGTTAGCCAATCTCACCCACATTCAACAATTAAACAAGAACCAATGGATTCAAATGATTACCCATCAACAACAATCAATGCAACAATTCCTATTTCATCATCATCATCATCTTATTCGATAGATACAAATCATCATCATGGTGGCAGCAGAGGTGATCATAAATTTAATTCAATTAAATCAGGTAATCATGTAAATCAGTAAATTACGTTTAATCTAAATTAATATTTATTAATAGGTGATGAAGAACAATTGAAAATTATCAAACAATTGGAAGCTATATCTGGTCAGAAGGAATCATCATCATCGGATAATGTACCAAAGTTAATATTGAAAAATCAACAACAACAAAATAATCAGATTAAAATTACACAATCAAAATCGAATGCAAGTTTATCATCTAAATCGATGATATCATCATCAACATCGTCAGATTTGGATACGATGCTCAATCCAATAATGGTCAGTGGTCAGAATAATAATAAGAATAAAAAGCGTAAACGTGCCGATAGTTTGGAACATAATAAAGGTATTTATTTATCATAAGAAGCATTTTTAAATTTTGAATTTATTTCCTGAATCACAGAATTCATTATATCGGCAACGGGTTCAGCTTCATCAGATAGTTTACTCAGTAGTGGTAGTAGTAGTAGTGGTGGTGGTGGCAGCAATTCATCATCACCGATAATAACTAAATCACAATTACCACCATTATCACAATCATCTAGAATGTATCAATCATCGTCAACATCATCGGGTAATATGATGACAAATACTGGTTGTTCACCATCTTCATTACAGAAGAAAAAAACATCACCACCATCAACACAACCGCAATCGAATTATGTTGCATCATCATCATCATTAAATCGCCAACAACAATCATTATCATCATCAACTGGATTGAACAATACTGGAACAGGAGGTAATTTATCAATGAAAATTTCCGATAAGGTTTTGTCATTATTATCGTCATCATCAGCCTCGTCGACGACGACAACGATGACAAGTAATAAACAAACAAATTCACTCACACAATCCGTCGGTAAAACAGCAAATTTATCATCAATATTGAGTAAACAGCAATCAAATATCAGTGGATCATTGTCAAATGATCAGACAATGGAACAAGCGGCTGCATTGGTTGTCGCAACGGTTGCTAATTCCGGTGGATCGGCTGCAATGGCACATGCAGCCGCAATAGCTGCTGTACAGAATTCATTATCGGCTAATGAACAACAACAACAATACAAACAACAGCAGCAGCAATCTCAACAACAACAACAACAACGTTTTGTAAAACCAACATTGAAAAATGTGAAATTTACCACCACTACCAGCAACACAGGATCATCCACAAATTCATTAATGCTTCAAACATCTTCGAATAAATCATCACCAATTACAATAACAATAGGTTCAAGTAGTATCGGTGGATCACAATCATTGATTGCAACAGGTGGTATTCGAAAATCGCAACAATCATCATCGGATTCAAGTAAATCACAACAACAACAGCAACAACAAGTTGTTGCCGGAAGTAGTCTAATGTTTTCGGCTTCATCATCACCCACCATTTCTTCAGCGACATCTTCAAAACAAACATTAGCGAAAAGTAAAGACTATGGACATTAGTAGTTTTAGTTGTTATATACTTCTGGAATGCCGGGTTTTTTTCTGTAGTTGATTATTCTTTTTTAGGTTTCATTTATTTTACTATTATTTTTTCTAGTTGGGTTTGATATGGTTATAAATGCATGAATTTTTTCTTTTGTCTCTTTTTTTAATTGGGTTTTTGCCGGTTTTAGTTGACATGGTAAAATTAACTGATTTTTTTCTCTTTGCATTTCAGCCATAACATCGCCAATAACTTCACCGAAAATTCTTCAATCCTCATCGACAGCTTCATCGTTGTTATCATCATCATTGTCACAATCACAATCGGTATTGGCTTCACAATCATCAACATCAGTAACAAGTGGTGGAGGATTATCATCATCAGCTGGTTCAACATTGAAATCATTATTTGGAAAAACAACCAAAAAAGCATCATTAACATCAGTTGTCGATAGACTTTTGCAGAAAAATGCTGTCGATGGTTCATCATCGACGCCATCGCCATCATCAACCATTTCGAATTCGAGTCAATCATCAACGATATTATTACCAGTTGGACAATCTACATCTCCGGAAATATCATCAAATTCTTCATCTAATGCAAACAGGGCTGATTCGTCATCGTCATCATCATCATCATCTAAACAATCCTCACAACGGCCATCCTCGGCAGAAAAATCTTCAAAATCATCATTTTATCGTGATTCACAATTTACGATTAAACAATCGAATTCTGGTTTGAAAATGAGTATTACCAAAACAAAAACATCATCATCTGGCGGTGGTAGTGGTAATGGCAGTGGATCATCTTCATCCACTCAATCAATGTTGAATACATCTACGGGTAGTGCATCACCATCATCGACTGCCGATTCTGTTCTTTCGAAATTAACAAATGTTTCGGTATTCAAGAATAATAAATATACTATACCGAAAATACAGAAAAATTCTCAATCATCTTCGAATTCAAATGTATCTAGTTCTACTATTTCAGCATCGTCAACGCCTTCTTCCGTATCTTCATCATCATCATCATCAAATACTATTTCTACATTTACAGCAAATACGATTACATCACCAACGTCATCAAATTCAAGTGGTTCCAGCAACACCAACATTGTTGGTTCAACTTCTCCTCAGCCATCTAATCGAAGAAATGGTAAGATATTTGATGTTCTATAATCGTTTTAATTTATTGATTTGTTCTCTTTTATCTAGCCAATTCATCGCCCTTATCACATAGTGGTAAAATATCACCATCACCAAGTAATCGAATGTCACCAAAAAACCAGCCAACTCAAACACAAAAGTCATTATTCAAATCACCTGATCTTCCGCCGCCATTATTATTATCTCAATCCCCTTCAGGAGGATCAGGCTTATCTGGACCTCCACCATCTTATTCATCATCAGTATCGACAACTTCAACGTCATCTAAATCATCGCTTATGCAATCGATTTCGTCCACATCTACAAGTAACAATAACAATAATAATCGTTCCGGTTCGATGATGCCACCACAATCGGGTTATAATTCACCTGGAATTTCTACCACTGGTATTCCACAATGGCCATCCGCAAATTCATCTTCGATGGATAAATTCAATAGCAATTTAATGACCATTGGTTCAAGTTCGGATCATCTTACATCATCAAATAATGATACTAAATCACAAATCTGTCTTTCGACATCTACGCCCAGTTCTCCAGCCGAATCATCATCACCATTATCGGCCGAAAATCGTAATCCACCTTTAATTATACCTACTGATCCTATTTTTGATCAACAACCACAATCATCTGAACAGACGGCTACCAAATTCAAAGAACCAATTCTTGATTCTTCCACATCCAAAGTCGATTCAAGTTATATATGTGATTCGGTCACAAATGTTGAAACATCTTCAATGAAAACATTTCAATCATCATTATTAGACAAAGATCATCTGGCTTCATCCGAATCAATAAGTTCATCATTGTCATCGTCAATGACCACCACCACTGCTAGCTTGTTAACATCGGATGGATCATCGGCGACAACCACTGGTCAATCATTAGAATCTAATGATTAAATTCATCTAATGCATCATCATTATTTTGATTTAATTTTTTATATATCTTATTTGAAAACTGAATCATTAATTAAAAAAATTATAAAATAAACAAATTTTAAAAGTCAGTTTGTTTAGTACAGTGAAGTTTATCGGTCGCTTGACTGGAACTTGTGAAACGATTAACCGTTTCACCTAAATCAGGTGGCAATGCTAATGGTTCTATTGATAAAAATCGTTTAGTTGTATGTAATTTCAATCCATAATCAGTGGTTATGAGGTTTGGATTGTATGGTGCAAGCGAATTCAGTTGAGGTAAACGTAAAAGTTGTACAAGACCCACATAATCCTGTCTATATGGATTCGATTCGTCGTCATCTGAGAAAGTTGTGAACCGTATGGCCGAATCTGATTCAAAATAAAGTTTTTGTCGAATCGAATGATCATCAATAAGATCATATTGTGGAATGGATGCAGTGACCATTGTTATAATTGATACCGATTTTGTTAGACGTCTCATTAATGATTTCAATTGATGCATCAGTCGCGGCAATTGATTGATTTCGATCGAACTATTTGGTGAACCTAATTGATCGATGAATATTCGACATACTTTATCTGATTTTTGCTCAAGAGATTTTTCCCTCAATATTTTTATCAATTCTGAATGGTCGTAGAATTTGATTGTCATGCTTTCTAACAGATTGGCATCGATATATTCGCCAAAATCAAAACGTTTTTGTTCGATATTTTCATCGAATCGTGATGGAATATTTGAATATCGGAAGGCAATTTTCATTTTGGAGAAATCTTTGGCTGGACTCACACCATTACCGCTTGATAATGGATCATCTCTTGTAAATGAAGGTAATTCACGGATAAAACGACATTTACCATGGCTGAGTGTAGGAGAAAATATTATGATTTCCTGTTCGGCATAGATTGCTGATGATAGATATGCTTTCACCAACATAGAACTATACATTTGAAATTGATCTTCTTCTGTTGTTGATTAGATTCAAAAAATTAAAATCAAGAAAATTAAATAAAACAAAAATCAAAACAAACCTATGATGTTCACTGAAGTGAGAGCAAAGCCACCACCGATTAGATCATCAAAACTGTCAATACCGGTTGGACAGACACTCTGGAGGCCTTTTGTTGAGAATTCTAGGCCCGAAGAAGCCATGATAAATTTAAAAATATTAGCCAATTTATTCGAAAAATTGAAATCAACTTTCTTGAAGCCGTGACAATCACGTGTGTTGATTTGTTTTCGTGATGGACGAAACTATCGATAGCAAAGAATTGTATAAAAAATGATGGTAAATATGTTTCCGTATATAATAATCATCATTATAAAATCAATAAAAATTGTTCGCAAAAAAAATAAAGGAGTTTGATCTGATATTGATGATAAAAAAAAATCGTGATGATAAATTATCAGGCCAACATGATGAATCCATCAATGAAAGAAATGGTTGTTTTTATTCAGAAAGAATCGATAGAATCATCATCATCGGTAATGGTCATCAAACACGCAAACAGCAAAATATTCTGACCAGTATTGAAGATATAGTAGAATATGGCAGATGATTGAAAGCGATAAACTACTTTTTCTTTTTGTTTAGTTTTTTTTTTCGCTGTTGTTTAGATCACGGATAGTGGTTTTGCCATATCATTATCGTTATAGCTGAAACAATTTTTTGGTTATATTTTTTTCAAGTGAAAACAACATAACGAATAACAAACAATCGACAATGATGATGATGATGATGATGATGATGATTGTTCCAAAATGCCGGCGTTTCGGTTCATTTGATTCGATGAGAATTTAATGTTCTTGATTCGAATTTTTTTTTTCGTTGTTGGTGTGTGTTCATTTTTTCATCGTTTTGTTTTGTTTGTTTGATAGTTTTCTTTTTGCTGTTGCTATTGTTATTATTATTATTATTATTCTCTGACAAATGGATTCACGATTGATGGCGATAAATCGATTCATCGAATCGAATCAAAATCGAATGATAATGGTACAACAACAACAACAGTTACTACTGGTAAATGGTAAACAATTTTACTGAGATTTCATCTACAGAGATTTTATCGACAAAAAAACAAAAATAAAAAAAAATCGATTCATTGAACATTTGTATTTTGCAACACACACACACACACACGCACACAACATGTTGGCTAAAGTAAGGAGCGAAAAAAATATGATAACTAACAAAACAAAACAACAACAACAACAAAAACATTCGAAAAATCATCAATTCAAACGGCCCATTCTGATGATGGGCTTATGATTCTGTTTTTTTTTCTATTTCTATTTTTTTGATTCTTTGATTTTATCATCATCATCATCATCAAGACCAAAAAAAAATGGAAAAAACTTTATCAACTTGAAAAGTTTCAAGTTTCGAAAATTCAATTCTGTTTTCAAATTGAATTCTCATTATTATACTATAGTGTATACCGCCTCAGCCACCAACATGAAAAACCAACAAATGAAAAACGAATGAAAAAAAAAGAAACAAACAAAAACAAACTAATCAAGAATTAAACAATGGTGGATGACATATCCAATATCAATCTATTCATCCATCCAAAGAAAAAAAAAGAAGTTTTCAATTTCAAATTACTTTCAAAAATATAAATTCTATTTTTCAAATGATGATGATGATGATGATGATAATGTAGCTGTACATCTATTGTGGCCAATGTTATAGATAGAAAAAAAAACGGAAATCAAGTTTTAATTAAATTTTTTTTTTTTACTTACGTTTTCGTTATTCGTTGTCTTTTCTCGTTATGATCAATTTTCAACATTCGATTCAATATGATATAGAAAGCTTTTCGAAATCTGTCTCTTAATGTTGTTTAGTTAGTTCAAATATTATACTTTATTATTTATTTTCATTGTTTCTTTGGAAAAAAAAACTTTTGACATTCGAGTTCAGCGGCAGTTTGACATTTCTATTTGAATGAATGAATGAATTAATCATTGCATAGAATTTGGAATTCAATTTTCATTTTCATACAAACACAACCAACAATCCCATCTCAAAGGAATTGAATTATTCTAATCAATTAATTAATTATTTAATCAATCAATCAATCAATCAATTGAATTGAATTGACACACACACACACACAACTGATCTTGATCATCAATTCAATCGGGTATTCCAAAAAAAATCGATGGCTGAACAAAACAAAACGAAAAAAAAACTTTATAGTTTTTCTTCTCATGGATTATTAAAAAAAACGATGAATATATGGAGATGTCATTGAAAAATTAATTTATTATCATCATTATTGATCATCATCATCTGAAAATTAAACAACATCAAGTGATTCATGAATGAATAACACACACACACACACACACTCACACACACAATATCCGATTAGTTTTTCTCGTTAAATGATCGATCATTATATGAGTGAATAATCAGGTGGAATAATAATAAACAAACGAGAAAAAAAATCAAACAGGAAAAGGAAGTTATCCATGACTTCTTGACTTTTTTTTGATGAAAATAAACTTTTGATGACTCATCATACATTCAATTTTTTTTCTGATGATTCATTTTGGGATTATATTTATATATTATTATCATCATAGACAACATCGATAACTAACCAACGATAACCAAAAAAAAAAAAAAAATCATCATTATAGTGGCAAAAATCAGAATCGTTTCGACATTTAATTTATTCGTCGTTGTCGTTGTCTTTTATTTTTTCTTTTTCGTTCACGATTCTGTTCGTTTTTTCATCGTATCGTATCAAAAAGATCGAATTTTAATTGCTTTGTTCTCGTCGTCATATAGACGCATCGTTCATATGGTAGTTGATTATTTGACAAAAGTGAAATAAATAAGTTTCAGCAATCTTTATTTGGGATGAAATTGTCTAACAACAATCAACTCCTGGATCTAGTGAAAAGTCAATTTTCTAGTTTTACGTGTGTGTGTGTGTGTGTGTGTGTCGTCTTCTTTATTATTATTATTATTTGAAAATAAAGGCAAAATAAAACGAACAATGAGATTCTATCGATAATGTTTTCTAGATCAAAGAATCATTTATCTTCTTCGGTTAGTCGATTCACCGAACAATCGATCGATCGATCGGTTGTGTTTTTTTTAATCGGTATTAAAATCTATACTTTTCAAACTCAATCTCAATGATAGTTTTGTTTGTGTTTTGGGTGGGTAGCACATCAATTTAAGTTTTTTTTTCCTATTATTATTATTATTATTCATTGGTAACTTAGTGAAGGACGAATCGAATCGGTTGCGTCGGTGTGTGTGTGTGTATCGAATGGATCCATTATATCAATCACACATGGGTATCGTTTTTTTTTTTTTGACATCGGACATGCAAAACAAAACAAAAAAAAATTCGAATATCTTGAACATGTCATATTCAATTTGTAAAAAATGTTAGAAACAAAAACGAAAACAAAAAAAAAAAAAACACAATTCCTGAAACTGTCAAACTTTATTTTTGTTTTTGTTGTTGTTTTGTTTTTTATTTATTTTTTGTTTTTCATACAGACATACATGTGTCAAATTCAATCATCATGCTTGATTGATTCAATTTGATCGATCAATCGATCGATTGCTTCAAGCTCGTTAGATCATAATGAAGAATCATCAATTCAGTTCAATTTAATTTTGTCGATGGTATGATTATCGAAAAAAAAATTCGTTCATTTCTTTTTCAAGGACAAAAAAGCTGAAAGTGAAACATAACAATAATAAAAATTTTCATCATCATTATGGCAATGTCATGACAATCAATTGATATCGTCGTCGTCGTCGTCATCATCATCATCATCATCATCGTCATAGTAAATGCCTTGTCATCATAATTATTATTCATAATTAAATGAATGATGATGGTTTGAAAATAAAAGAGAAACTGAAATTCAATGATCTGAATTTATTTGGCCATTGGAATTGGAAAAAAACTTATTCAAGTCATGATTATAGTCTAGTTTGGTTTTTTTTTATTTGGTTATTTTTCACATTTTACTTGTGTGTTGATATTCAAAAATTGGTGTTTTTTTCTTCTCGTAAATAAACGATGCCACGAAAATATACTGAATATGTATCGTATGAATATACGATGAAAAAAATTGCATCACCATCAACGAAAAAAGATATTAATGAATGTGATAATAATGATAATGATGATGATGTTGATGGTTCTAGTGAGAAAAAATTTTTTAAAAAAACAACTACAACATCGAATAATGATTTGAATAATAATTTGATTGATAATAATAATGTCGGACACATAAATCGTAATGAATCAAAAGCTAGCCATAAAAATGATGATGAACATCATAATGAAACAAACGTCAATCATGAATATGATCCATATAGTTATGGATTTCGTCCATTATCCGAAAGAAATATTTATCGTTCATTCGAAATAATTCGTACGCCAACCGAAACTAATACCGATGAAAAAAAATCAACTAAAACACAGTCACAGCAACAACAAGAATCAACGATTGTTTCAGATGATGGTCCATTCGATGAAATTGATAATAGTGGCCACATGAAACATCAAACACAGAACAAATTCATGTCGTCGGAAGAAGGATCATCAATCATTAATAAGAATCGTGAAGGAAAATTCGATGAATATACGATTCCAACCATCATGGTAAATGAAAGACCAGTCGATGTACCCGGTTATAATCCATTGAAACATCAATCAAAATCACCTAAGATGACAAAAAATCAAGATTCGGAATCCAGAAAATCACCACGAGTAATTGAGATTAAAGTTCAAAAATCATCAGATGAAATGCCCAAAGATTCAAATTCGAATCATACAAATACTGCTACTATTTCAACAACAAATGATTCAAATTGGAAAAAACCACCATTACCACCGAATCATGGATTTCGTCGACGAACATCCATGCCAGTCACTACTGGCCATCGAAAACAGCAGCTACATCAACAACAACAACAGCCACGACCATCTTCATCATCGGCCATTCATAGTAATCATTATCATGATAATAATCTTCAAATTCCAAAAGTTTGGCCCGATTTTCATCATCCAGATAGTTTCCATGTAGATCGTTTGCCATTTTCATATTGGTTTTCAGATTCAAATTATTACGATAATCGACGTGAATCCATTTCATGTCCATATTCATCACCAACATCGATAGATGAACTAATGAATTCGGAACCAATACCAACTAAATTTCATTCATATAAATGTACACGATATGAATTGACCAAAACGACTACGACCACTTCGGATGAAAAGACAATACCCAAAAAAGCATGATAAATTTATTCAAATTTCCATAGTCAAAACACAGATTAATAGAATATGATAATATCAATTCTGACATGATCGACATTAATTGAATGAAATTTATTACATCTCTTTTCACCGCACATTTATTCGAATGTCATGAATGTTTTTTTTCCATTAATAATCATAAAACATCATCAAATCATGAAAAAAATTGTACATTGAAAATGAATTTTCTTTGAATTTCAAATTCAACCAAAATCATACAAAAAAAAACGATGATATTGTTGTGTGTGTGTGTGTGTGTGTATGTGGGTGACATGGAAGAATAATTTGTTCCCGCATTCTACATCCCTTGAAAGATTCGATTTGTGTTTTTTTTTTTTTTTTTGAGAATCTCAAAACATTCGATCCATTTGTGGCCTAGTTTCTATATATTATATGTAACAACAAACCATTTGCAAATCGATTCAGATGATGATGATGTTCATCATAATCATCATCATAGTGATTTTGTGAATTTTCTTGTTTTGATGATGAATGATGATCCACTTGGTCGTCGTCGTCGTTGTTGTCGTAATCATCATCATCATCATCATCATCGTCAGATGCTTTATCATCGCACAACCAACAAATGATGATGATGGAAAAAGAATCGTTTCATTCTTTTACATTTTGGATTCTGACAAATCCTGTCCGGATAATAATGTAGAAAAAGTGAGAGAATTGAAAAAAAAACGAAACAAAATTTATCTATTTGTATCATATATATTATATGGATATGAATAATGCGGCAAATACATTTTCAGCTGGATTCTAGAACCATAAAGAATTAGAATATAAGAAACATAAAAACGATTATTATATAAGAAATTTTCTTTTCTACTTTCCAATGTTGTTGCATATAATATATTATGGGCAATCATAACAATAAGATTTTACTTTTTTTTCTCTTTCTTTTCTTCTTTTCTTCTTCTTCTTCTTCATAATACATTTAATATTTCGGGTTTTTTTCTGGTTCGAATCGGATTGGATGATCAGAATGAATGATGAGTGCATCCATTTCAAAATTCTGTTTGCTTGCAGTGTCATAATAATGATAATGATGATGATGACGATAATTTCCCTTCATCAGAGAAACCAGATGATCCTCGTTTTTTTTTGATTTGAAATTGAAATTTAACATAAAAAAAAATTAACGGAAAAAAGACATCGACCATGATGATAATGATAATACGATATTTATGACACATGAGTGTCATGTCATTTTTTTCGGGAACGCTGGAATCGCCATCATTATCATCATCATCATTAGCATCGCGAATGAATTGTTTAATTTGCATATTTTTTCTGGTGATTCTTTTTGTTTCCATTTTTATATTCTAATATGTGATCATGGAATACATTTTTTTTATTGAATTTATGCAATGCACTTAACTGGAAATGAATTGAAGATGCAAATGACTTGGAAAAGGCTGCTATTTTTGGTTTTGGAATCGACACATTAAATTTGATGATCGTCAATCCATCGGTCTAATGATTGATTGTCATCCATAACATACAATTGGTATCATCATCATCATCATCATCAAAACAAGACAAGAAAAAAAATCAATATTTAAAGGAGGAAATCATATTGAAGCGACAAAACGAAATTTAAAAATTTCTAGATTCGTTAACATTTGAATTCGATTTTTTTTCAACTGGCTTCTTGTTGTTATTGTGGATGCATTATTATTATCAGCCTTGTTCTTGTTCTTGTTGGTGTTGTGTAAAATGAAAATTTTCATTTTTAATAGAAGAAAAAAAAATTCATCGTGTTCATTGAATTGAAATGAAATGAAATGTTTCATTTCATTACCATTATCAATGAATGTGATTATTATGATGGGTTTTCTTTTCTTGAAAATTTGTCGTTGTGAAAAAAAAATTTTTTCCGTATAAACATTTCGAATCGGATCGATTCACATCCAAAACAACAATCAAATAATGATGATTCGAATGGAGAAGAACAAAAAAAATCGATATGATATGCGTCATTTTTATCATTTCAGTTTGTTGTTCTGGTGAATTGGATTTTGATTCAATGTTCCACAAAAAAAAGAGCGATGAGAGAATTGCCCGTAAGTATGGATCAATTTTTCTTTTGCTTGTTAAACACTGAATTTTTATGGAGACAATGAAAAAAAAGCTGCTTTCAATTTTGCATTTGATCTAATTATTATTATCAATTTCATTGTTCTCTGTTCATGAATCAATGATCACTATTGGAAAAAATATTTCTATTGCTTCGCCATGAAAAAATGTTTTGAAATTTTTCTCACTTTAATCGGATATCGGATGCTATGAATTTCCTCATGTATTGTTTCCTTGTTTTTTTGGTTCGATTCTGTTGAAGAATTGATTCGATTATCACAGTCATCATCATAGCTTTACGGTCGGATCACTTTTGAAGTTTTTTTTCCGGGGTTCCATCATTGAGATGCAAAAAAAAAAAATGTTGGCTAAAGTGGATATTTGCTTATTATAAACATTTGGGAAAAAAATTATTGTTGTTGTCATCGTCGAAGAGAATTTGAATTTTTTTTTCTATCTCGTTGTTCATTTACATATTAATAGCTTCGAATAGATTGGCTAATTACGTCATTGAAATTGTTGAAAAAAAATTCATCACAATACAAAGGCGTCTCAATACACAATTATATGATAATGATGATGATATTGGATACAATGTAATTCAAGATAAATACAATGAATGGTCGTAAAGTCGCCATTTCAATAATGATCATAGATATGGTTGTTTGTTTCGTTTTCCATGAGTCATTATCACCATTCATTTTATTATGGTTCCGTCGATTACAGGTGTTTGACAACATTAGACTAGATGAACAAATATAATAATATCCATGGTCATTAAATTAAATGGACGAACGAAATCAATTTGTTTTTTTTTTGTTTATATTTTTATATTGTATTGAATTTAAGGGCGAAACCCATTTTATTCATTGATTGATCAGTTGGGCGTAGTCGCCAGTGTGTGTGTGTGTGTGTTTATGACATTCGATTTTTTATTGTTGTCATTTACGTCCATATATTACATCAGTACACCGGACATTGGTCGAGGCTCAATAATCGATATGGTGTTTTAGGAATTTCACAAGTTTTTTTCTGGGCACTTCTAAAGCATGAGGAAATGAGATTATGAAATGAAATTATTATTATTATTTTTTGTTCAATTATTTGGATTAAATTTTTTTTATTACCTTTAATTATGGCTATGATGATCATTCGAGTATATATAGATAGTTAGCTCATTGACATTCGTTATTCAAATCAATTTGAGATTCAAATTATTATTCGATCAAACAAAGTTCATAGTTGACGATGGAACCAGATAATGTAAGCTATTATCCATCGAATGATCCTGGTGCTAATCAATTGGAACAATATGCCCGTGAACACCAAGGCCAAAAGGTATTTCACATCATCATTAATTAATTTGAATGATTATGTAATGGTATGATAATAATAATAGCCACAATACATAACAACATCGACTGGTAGTCGTGTTGGTGATTTTCGTAATGTCATAACCGTTGGTCCACGTGGTCCGATGTTATTGGATGATATAACATTTATTCAAGAAATGGCACATTTTAATCGTGAACGAATACCGGAACGAGTTGTTCATGCTAAAGGTGCTGGGGCATTCGGATATTTCGAAGTGACTAACACAGAAATCACCAAATATTGTCGTGCTGGCCTATTCAGTCAATTGGGTAAACGAACACGTGTAGCGGCACGATTTTCAACCGTAGCACGTGAACGGGGTTCAGCCGATACCGTACGTGATGTTCGTGGATTTGCCATTCGATTCTATACGGAACAGGGAAATTGGGATCTTGTTGGCAATAATACGCCGGTATTTTTTATTCGTGATCCACATTTTTTTATGCGTTTCATACATTCACAGAAACGTAATCCACAAACTAATCTTCTGGATTATAATGCACGATGGGATTTTTTCACATTACGACCGGAATCACTACATCAGGTTACATGGATGTATAGTGATAAAGGCATACCGGATGGCTTCCGTCATATGGATGGTTGGGGTTCTAATACGTATAAATTGGTCAACAGTAAAAATGAACCGGTTTATAATAAATTCTATTGGCGAACTAATCAAGGTGTGAAGAATTTGGATGTCGATACGGCAAATCAATTGGTTACAAATGATCCAGATTATGGTGTTCACGATTTGTATGATTCGATTGCACGAAAACAATATCCCAGTTGGACGCTTTACGTACAGATAATGACCTATGATGAAGCACGACGTTTTGAATTTAATCCATTTGATTTGACAAAAACATGGCCGGAAAATGATTACCCGTATATTGAAGTTGGTCGAATGACATTAGATGAAAATCCTAAGAATTATCATGCCGAAGTTGAACAATTAGCATTCAGTCCATCGAATCGTGTACCGGGTATTGAATTTTCACCCGATAAAGTGCTACAGGCTCGAGTATTTGCCTATGCTGATGCTCATCGCTATAGGTCAGTATTATTTGAAATCCTTTCATTCATAAAAGAGTGTGGTCCATATCGATCTTTTTGATTTTTCGTTTGAACAGAATTGGCGTAAATTCTAATCTGATCCCAGTGAATCGACCAATCGTACCAGTAATTGCTCCAACAGAACGTGATGGTGCAATGATGACTGGCGACAATCAAGGTGGTGCACCTAATTTTTGGCCAAATTCATTCGATAATAATCGTGATGACCCGATCGGTTCGAATGATTTACGTACACATGTGACCACAACCGATATTGATCGTTTTGAATCAGGTGATGAGGATAATTATACACAGCCACGGCAATTATATTTAAGTTTTGATCAATCAGAACGGGAACGTCTTCATTTGAATATTGCCAGTGATTTACAATATTGTTATGAATTCATTGTTGAACGTGCATTGAATCATTTTGAAAATATTCATGTTAATTATGCTGCAGGTATTCGACGTTCATTGCAAAATCTTCGTATTCAAAACAAATGAATTTCATCCTTTTCGATTGCAACATTCTGTGAATGATTAAAATTGAAATGAAAAAAAAAGTTTGATTATGTCATTAAATTTAATGATGATGAACTTAACTTCTTTTTTTGTTATCTGAATTAGTAAAACACATAGAATATTCAATTGAAGGAGTTTTTGACGGAAAACAAATCAACGAGAGAAAAAAACGGTTCCAACCCAAAACTTATCAAATGCTATTATTATCCGTCTTCAATTTTGTTGCTGTTGTTGTTGATGACTCAATTCAAATCGTTTTTTTTTTCATCATTGTCGTCATTTCGGTAGATTCAATTTGTCTGAATGTTGAAAGAGAAAAAAATAATAACACCGTCATCATTATCGTAGAATTGAATCAGATTCCAAGTCGCCCATATACTTTTTATGATTGTGTTTGTAATTGCAAATTTGTATCAATTCAAGTTCTATATATAGACTATTTTTTCTGGTTTTAATCTTCGATGATTTCAAATTTCCATGACCGAATGGAAAATAAGAAAAATGTGGCAAAATGATTCAAAATTCAATCAACGTTAAAAAGGGAATTCTTTCTGTCCACATTATTATATGAATGTTAGATTTTCATATTAAAAATTCAAAATTGACGAAAAAATAGATAAACGAAGATTCACCGAAATCATCACGAAACAATCAATCATAAGACCTGTCACATCATTGGTGGTGGTGGTGGTGGCGATGGTAGGTACAAAATTTTCGTTTTCCATAACTTGGAATTGATTTTTGATTAGTTTGAATTTATTCTGTTGTCTTATCTGGTTTGGGCTCATAATTAGACGTTTAAAAATGGAAGGTAATTAGAACCGAACGGAATGTCCGATAGAATTGATCGTTGAATGGCATTGAATAATTGAATTCCAAAATGATGATGATGATAATGACGATAACAGTAATAACAATAATAATAATTGGCAAGGGAAAAAACTTTTTTCCGTTGTTGTTTTTGTTGTCATTTGCCAATCAAATTAATCGCAAGCAAACTTTTTTCATTTGAATTTCAAATAGAATCCGAAAAAATGGATACTATCATTGTGGCACGCAATAAAATTCGAATATTTTTTTGAATGGCCAATAAAATCTATTCGCAGATGGCAGCACTATCCACTGGTATCAAAATACATTGATTCTATTTTCGAAGAATATATTCTGTTGTAAAATTTAAAAGTAACACACACAATCAAAATCAAATTTTCTGTTTTGCAAAGTCAAAAAGAATGATGAAAATCATTCAAGTTCATCGTTTAAACTTTTTGACAGAAAAAAAAGAAACTTTTATCGGTCTTAAATGATGTTTTGACTTGTAAATTAGATTGTAAATAAATACATACACACACACACACACACATTACCTCTCGATGATTCAACTGGCAAGTTGTTTCATTGTTTGTTGAATAAACCAAATTTCATACGAAAAGATGAAAACTTTTTTCATTTTCATTGCCCGTATAAAATACACCAAAAAAAACGATAGACATACATAATATACAAATATATAGGCCAAACATTGAGTTCATTCATTTTTTCGATACTGAATAATTTTCGATTTGGACGGCCAACTTTTTTTTCTCTGGTTTATCCGCTCTATTTTTCTTCAGTTGTTGTTGCTGTACGTTGGATAAATCTTTTTGGTTCACTCCTATAGGGAATGATTGATTGAGCCATTCGAGAGAAAACATTTCGAACAATTTTTTTTATTTTGTTTCATCCCTACTTTAACTAATTCTGGTCAATGTTAGTCGAAATGGAATTCGAACTCGAATTCTTCTCCAATCCCCCTCCCTTTTCATTCACTTTGTCTTATAATAATACACACATTTTCTTCCACACCGTCGGATTTTTTTTTCTCTCTCTCTCTTGTTCCTGGATCGTTAAGATGGGTAATTAATTGAAATTTCGTTCTTTCGTTTTTGACTTATTTGCCTATGTTACAATTGATTTTTTTTTCTTCATATAGTTCGTTCAATACACACACACATCGATCAATGATCGATATCGGTTGGTGAATAGAAAATCCATGGAGAAAAAAAAACATCGAAATAATCAATACGTTAAAACAAAAAAAAAGTGGCCAAAAGGTCGACAACGCGTCCAAGATGATGGTCGATGGTAATATTTTTGGAACATATAAAAAATTTGATGTTTTTTAAATTTAATTTTTCATTTTCAGTTTTGAAAATTTATTTAAATTTTTTTCTCTCTCGAAATTCCTTCGTTCATAATTCTGGATGAGATGTCAATCTTTTTCAGTTTTTTTTTTTGAATTTCCTTTTTTTTCGTTTCCGATTCTGATTTTGATTTCTGTGAAGAGAAATAGAGAGTCAGAGAGAGAGAGAGAGAAAAAAAAATTGAAAACGGAAATTCTTAAAACCACTAAATGTCAGATATTGTGGCCACCATCACTATCATCATAACCGGAACAAAATGTGAATCATTATTATTGATCATCATTTCGAATGATAATGATGATGATGATGATGATGATGATGGCTAATCATCCTCATGGTCTCTCTATATCAGAAAAAATGGTATTGTAGTATTTTGAAACATTTCCTATTTGATCATAAATTTTTTTTTATTCTTTTTTTTCAAAATTCAACAATATAACATAGAAATTCTATCGTTTATTCTTGTTTGCTTCACTCCTCATTGGCCATAATCATCATCATCATCATCGTCTGCCATAAATGTGTGACGCACAAAGGCTGAAAAAATGTATTTCCCCATTCAAGCAGTCAGTCAGTCAGTCAACCAACCAACCAACCAACCAACAACGAAAATGTATTTTCGGTCAACAACACTCACTGTTGTTGTTTTTTTCATTCGAATGGCCATAAAGATAATTTGTAAAATGTACTATACGATGATGATGATGGTGGTGGTTTGTGTTGCATCATAAAAAACATCATCCATGTGGGAGCCCGTTTCCTTTCTCAAAAAAAAAAATTTTTTTCATTTTTCTGGTATCCAAAAATCTGGTTCTACAATTTCCAATATGAACAATTCCAACAAACAAGATTCTGTTACAAATCAAAAAACCAGATATAATGTGAACATAGTTTCCAAAAAAAAAAAAAAAATTTTATTGTCGTCGTCGATGATCATCATCATCATCATCGTTGATATTCTTTCAAATTTCTTTTCTTTTCAATCATCATCAAACACATTATCGTTTGATTCAACCCAGAAACAACAATTTTATACTGACTATCTCCACAACAAAAAAATAAAATTGAACACAGAGACTGAACATATATCCAAACTAAACAAAGAGACATGAAATGAAGAAAACACAACACACACACAAACAAGCAGATGGAAAGCAATTTCGAATTGAATCTAATTTGAATCATCAAATTGAATGGAGAATGGAAATTTTTTCACATCCAACAACCAAGTTAGTCTCGAATTTGAATAAGAATTTCTTTTCGTTTTGCCATCTCTTCATTATTATTGTCATTCGTTTTTCATTTTTTTCTTTCTTTTACTTCTTCAATAGGAATTGGATTGTCTCGTTGATTAGATCATCATCATCATCATCATATTGGTATAGCATGAATTGATAACAATGATCAAAGAAGATGAAATAAATATATTCTGTGGAGCCAATTTTCTATCACTATCTATTCAACAATGATGACAATGCCAATGATGGTGATAATCAAACCGATTCAATTTGAATATGAATTTTTTTTAACCATCTTTATTTCTTTTTTTTACAATTGATATCTACAAATTTTCGTCCAATTCTATTCTAGTCTGTGGTATGTAGCAATCTAGTATAATTCAATTTTATATGAATGAATGGCTTTAAGAATCTGAATTTATTTTTTTTTTATTTTTTCTTTTTTTTATATATAACAGATATTTGATTAAAATTCAACCCAGATTCAATCGCGTAGTCAATTCATTCATTCATTTGTATTTCATTTTTATCGTGTTGGGGGGAATGGAAAAATCATTTTGTTACAGCTAAGTTGGTCAACAGCAACTAACAGGAAACACCGACAACAACAACATCGACAAAAAAAGTTTTCATCTCTTATCCGTTCGGTATGTAACATCGGTGTTTACATGTTATGTCAATTTTTATTTTTTGATTTTTTTTTTGCAAATGATAAATTAACATTCAAGGTTCATCCGATGGAAACAGAACAGTTAGATATTTGGCCCGGACATTGTCGGACTTATGGTTGAAAATAATATTCATCGCTGATCGAAGCACCACATCATCATCGTTATTCATATTTTTTTTAATATTCTACTTTTGTTCGGACACATTTACCGCCTACGGCTCCACGATATATATTTGGTGTGACTGTGAGTTTTTTTTTTGCTATCCAATGTTGTAAAGATCTCGACATCGTATGTGTGTGTGTGTGTGTATGAGCAACGAAACAAACGGAAAAAATGAAGAAGAAAAAGAAAATTCCTTTGAAACAATGATCAAAATCATCGAACTGGAATATAATTTCTATCTTTTCTCAACTTTATAATCACTGATAATGATGACGACAACGATCATCATCATCATCATCATCATCATTTTCATGATAATTATTAGCACCAGGCAAACATTTACAACAACAACAAACTATAAGGATGATGATGAAGAATTATAGAATCAAATGAAACGTTATTTGAAGACAAAAAAAATGTTTGAATTCACTAGGCCGGAATTGTTTCATCATCATCAATGACGAAAAAAAGAAGAAAAAATTTTCTTGGAGAATGGTGAATTCTTTATTATGAACAACAACAACAACAACAACGGTGGTGATGATAATTGAATTGGTGTTCATCCCGTTGCCTTCATTCACCGCTGAGTGTGACTTTTTTTTGTGTGTGTGTGTGTGTGTTTCGAAACAAAAGAGATTCCGAAATGATGAAACAAAACGAACAAAAAAAGAAAAAAATTTTTCTTTTTGTTACACACACACACACACACACACACATACGAAGGAAGAGAATGAGAGAGGGAGAGAGACAAACGAAGACATTTAATTTAATTTCATCATTATCATCATCACTGAGTTGACTGACTAAAATGACTGGTTTGTTTCATTTTGATGTTTGAACAACACTTGACTGCTTCCATTATCATCATCAACAACAAGAACAAAAATCGACTTCTGTATTCAGGAGGATCTAGTAGATTTTTTTTGTCGTTGTTGTTGTTTGTCGGATTCACAACATGAATGAAACTCTGGTTATTGAATTGAGTTTTGTTTTTTATTTTTTTTTCTTGTAATTTTTTTCCTTTGTTTCTATATTTTGTTTCTGGTGATGGTTAAACAAGAAAAAAAAAATCTCGGAATTGAAATTAATTTCGCCTGGTTTGATTTTGTTATTGCACAAGCCAATGATACTAATTAATGTCAAATGATGATGATGATGATGATGAAAAAAAATTTTCAAGTTAAAATTTGACAATTTTTTTTTCTAAAATCAAAAATTTTGGATGTACTTTTTATGTGAACAATATCCATATAAAGATTCGAATTTTTTTTTCACATGTCCAATAATTGAAAAAACGAATTCCTATTCACTTCAATAATAGTGAATGGTCAGTTTATGGAATTCATTGAATTGTCGAAGAATCGAATATATATATATATAAAAAAAATTCTAAACATGAAATGAACTAAAATGTTCAACACGGGTTTCAAGAATAAATAGAAACACAAAGAATCGAAAAACAATATGCTTTTGTGTTTGTTATTACAAACACAAATTCTCAATCGATCTATTTCACTATCCCCAGCTCGATTATTATGGATCCATGAACGTGATTTGAAATTTTTATAATAATTCAACAACAACAACAACAACAACGAAACTCAAACTTAAGAAAAAAAAATTTTCCAACATGAATGAGAAAAGTGAATGAAAGTTATTTTTTTTTCTTTCTTCACATGGAATAAAAAATTTGTTTGTTTGTTTGTTACCATTATATAAATTTAAAGTTGTGCATTGAATTGACATGAATTCTTTATTCGTTCATTTTATTTCAAGTATAAGTCACACGATCACTGTTGTTGTTGTTGTTGTTGTTGTTGGAACAAAAGATAAAAATGGATAAAAATCTACAATTCGTGAATGAATATCATCATCGTCATCATCATCATGGCAATAACGAAATCCTTCGGTTTGGATATAAATCCATTCAATGATTCATCCATAACAAAAAAAAAACAACAACAACCAATAACTATAAATTCGATGTTCATTTGGCATTCAACACGAGCTCGATTTTTTTTGTTGTGTTCGCCTCGATAATAACAATGTTTGACAACGACAATGGAATGTTTTTTTCCTTTTTTTTCTGTATCGAAATTTTTTCTTCTTTACCATTTTTTTCTATTTTTGTTCATCATAATGTAACAACAAGACAAGACAACATGATTGAAAACATCCAATCATGAACAAATAACAAACGATGAAACGAAACGAAACGAAACGAAAAAAAAAGAAATGAAAATTTCCATAATATGGATTCCATGGATATGATACACACACACGCAAGCAAGCACGTACACACAAATCAGATGAACAAAACACAACAGCAACAAAATATTCTAAATTTTGACTTTTTCTATATGGTAATGTGGTGTATATAACTGCAGTGAAAAATTTGAATTTCAAATTGTCCGAGAAATTTTTTTTTTTTATCCACTCGATATGCAAGTTCGAGTATTGAATTTCAATTTCGATCCATACTAGAATATACACATCATTCATTCATTGGTCTCCTCCCACCCTATTCTAATCTGTTTTCGGCCACAAAGAATAATAATTCGTGATCGCTTGTTTGTTGTTGATTCGATTATCGATGAATCGATGATACATTTCGATCTCAGTACTGAAAATATTCCAATTCTATTCATGTATCAAAAAAAAAAAATATTATCATCATCATTTCATGGTATTTTAAACATTCATAATTAATATCACGACGATGATGATCGAACCAGAAATCAGTGTCTGGTTGTAGCTGCAAAAAAACCGTTTATTTCAAGCAAATTTGAAAATTTTTTCAAATGCTTGCCATATATTTTATTCTAGTTCATTTTTTTCTTATTTAGATCTGTCAGATTTGTCAGAAATAAAAGAGAATGGTGGGTGGATGAGAATTTAAAAAAAATTCTAAAAAAACAATAAGAAGAAATCATTATTATTATTATTATCATCATCATTGAAAACATTGAATCAAATCGAAAAACGATTTACACGATTGAAACCAAATAACCAATTCTTGTTTATGTTGATTCTTGTTGAATTTAGAATTTGTTTCTGGTTTCTTCTCTGATTTTTAATAGACAATCTTCTTTCTGTGTTTGTTGTATGTGTGTGTGTGTGTGTGGTTAATGTGATTTTAATTCTCAATCTTCATCTTCATCAAAACATTTGTGTTTCTTTTTTTTATATTTCTTTGTTGTTATTGCTGTTTGTGTGTGGATCGTGTATGTTCATTATAATTCTAATAACAACAACAACAACAGAATAAGATTTTATGCTGACTCTCAATGAATTGGTTTCGTTTGGTTTTTTTACTCTATTTCTCTATTATAGTTTCGTTTCATTTCATTTGCTATGATGATGATGATCATCATCATCATTGGATCATTGTGTCTGTATTGTTTGTATATGGATAAAATCGATGATGATACCGTGAGAAGAATCAGAAATGATCACAATGACTATGATCGAAATCTTATCGATAAAGAATCAGTAAATTCAGCAAATGGTTGTTGGAATATAATTCAATAAATAGAATAGTATAGAAGACTGTATTATGATAAAATGGAATGAAAATAATAAACAAATAAAATTTCCAAAATCATCATCAAACAGACATCTGATTTCTGGATCCAAAATTTTTCAAACGATATTGATGAGCTTCCATTTTTGTTTTGTTTTGTTTTGTTTAAATTCACTCAGATTGATTATTGGATCAATCATGATTTATGAAAATAAAGATTTTTGGAAGATACAAAGTAACAACCATCATTTCAAGTCAATCATTTTGTTTTGCCAAATGATCCATAATGTCCCGTTGTGAATGATTTTTTTAGCTAGTTTTTTCTTCAAATGGATTTTTCTTTTGTGCGTGTGTCTTATTGACAGTAATTCAGATGGAACCATTTTTTTTTATTTCCACATGTGTTTTAGGTCCATGACTTTTGATGATAATGATGATTGCTATAGTGAAAAATTTTTTTTTTATCCATAGAAAAAAATGAAACTTTTTCATCATCATCATCTGCAGATTCTTGTCCAGTTTTTTATTTTCTTGATCAATTTGGATTTTTTTTTTTCAAATCTGATGATGATGATTGAATCCATGGGGAGTGGATTCATCGATTTTACAAAATATATCATAACGAAAATTTCCGGAAATTAATTACAATTTATTATTTATTGACTTTATCATTTCTAGAAATTTTCTTCTGAATGTGGTTATAATAGCAATTTATATATCATTCAAGTGGTACATTCAACTTGTACCTATATGAAGGTATCATGGAAATTTATCATTAAACACTTGAGAAATCATCCACTATTGCTGTCATCATCATCATCATCATTCGTTGTTTCAATTACAGAACAAACAAAATTCTCCATTGTCAATTTTATTTGAACACTTGAAAAAAAAGTGGAAAATCTTTTTCGATTATCATTCATAGTTCATTCACAAACACACAAAATCAACTTGACGTTGACTTTAAATGGATCGATTATTTTATTGAACAACGATATTTCTGAACAAAAAAGACTTTTTTTCAATGAAAAACAAACAAACCAAAAACAAAAACTTCTCGGTAAAAAGCTTGTGTTGTCCACGGAAATTCTCATTTTTTTTTTTTTTTTTCATTCGCGCCCATATTCTTTTAACTTTTATTCTCTTAACAAGCAGACCATACACCGTATGACACTTTCGTGTATCGAAAAAAAAAAATAAATAAAATGTCAAGTAAAGTAAGTAAAAGATCACAAGTGAGTTGAATATAGGAATGATTATTTATTTATCTATATTATAGACTAAGATTGATTGTAAATGATGACCGTTTTTCTTTTTTTTTTGGTTTTTCTTTTCTTGGGTTATAACAGAATTTCTATGAATAAATAAGACAAGAATGATCATACTCTGTTACAACAACAACCAAGAATTCCACCAAAATGCTTCTTTTTCAACATTTTGCAATTGTTCCAGACTAATAACCATATTGTTTTGAAGAATTCATTTTATGATGATGATGATGATGATGATGGAACTTTGTTGTTATTATCATCATTGTCATTTATCGTGTTTCAAAAATAGCTAGATATCGTAAATGAACAATCATTATGATTATTATTAGTATTAGTATCATATGGTATTTGTTATTATCGAAATTGGTCATTTGGATCATCATCATCATCACAAACAAAAAAATTCTTGTCACAACAACACGATTATCGTTATTATTATTGGAATAATATCCGATCTCAATCACCAAATCATCATCATCATCATCATCATCACTTGAGCTAGATTGTATTATCGTATCGTATGAACACAAATGATAGTGTCTTTTTCTTGTCCATGTCTTTGATGATCAAAGATATAAATAATTGACACATAATAATAATAATAATAAAGGATATTTGGACTTTAGACTTTTTTTATCCAAATAATAATAATGATTGAGATAATTCTAATCATTGGCCATCATCATCATCATCGTTTGTTATTTGATGATAATATCATCCTATGGATATTGAGAGAATGAAATTTTGGGATTCTCTCCATATTGAACTGTGGAACTAAGAAATGGGACTGGCATTTTTTTGATATGGTGAATGTTTTTTTTGTTTGGAACTTTCGGTTGTTTTTTACATTTTTTTTCACATTTTCAATTATATACAGATCCAAAAAAAAATGAATAAATGAAAAAAATTTTAAAATTGAAAAGTTTACATCCACGTTCTCTCTCTGTGTGTGTGTGTGTGTGTGTGTGTGTGTGTGTATGGTTAAATTACCTGTAAGCCATTTGTTTTTATTTTCAACTTTTTTTTCTCTGCTGTTATGAATTATCTAATGTTTGAAAATGACAAAGTTTTCAACGTAGGAATTTGTTGCCAGGCCATTTGTTGTGATCAGCAAAATCAAAAATTGAGAGAGCGAGAGAGAGTTTATGAATTTTATGACAAACAAACAAAAAAAAAGACCGATGAGAAAATTTCCTTCAACAACGAACCATATATAATGGTCATATATTCAATACAAAAAAAAAACAATGAAAAAAGAAAACCAAAACAGAAAAAAAAGTTTATTCTTTCTCTTTCTCATCGATTTCTTTCTCATTGTATTCTCTGTTAATTAATTAATTGTTTTTCTCTCCCATATTCATTCATTCAACAACAACAACAACAAAAAAGAATCCAAATTCTATAAAAAAAAAATTTTTTTCTTCTTCATTCAAAAAGACAATTGTTCAAATAGAAGAATAAAAAAAACAACAGCAACAAAAAAAGACTTGACTCAAGAACCAGAATTTTAATAAACGACCAATGATGAAACAAGTAACAGGAGCAGCAAATAAAAATTAAAAAAAAACAAAAATTGGTATTCCGGAAGCTTTACTTTCTCTCTCTCTCTCTCTCGAATACAAAAGAAATATTTTCAATTCGAACAACAGAATGATGAATTACATGAATTTAATGTGGTATGCCGTGTTCATCCGTGTCTCTTGTCATTGTCATACCAAGTCATTCTCTTTCTCTTTCACTATCTCTCTCTCCGATTATATAATGGATGCTTTGCGTTTTTGGGAAAATTTTTCTTCAAATAAAAATTCATAAATCTTCTTTTTGGTTACACAATTATTCATTAACAATTTTTTTTTTCATTCATTTCATTGCATGTTCATTGTTGAGATTTAATGTGTTCCAACAGCAACAACAACAACAACAACAACAACCTGTCTCAGGATGAAATCTGCTATAATAAAACGAAATGATTTGAGAAATGATTGAAATTGGTTATCTATAGATATATAGCTCCAAAACAATTAATTGAGAAATTTAACGTTTTCATAAATATTGGTGAAATTAGCTCAATTAGCATTGTCACCTGTCGAATTAACCTGATGAATGAAGTTTCCCATCAATTTAAGTTTCTATTGTATAAAGAGTTGTTGATCGGATAAAATATTATTTGGGAAAGGTTTGATCGGTTTGAATATCGAATTATTTCTATTATCAAAAATTTTAAATTGATTTGTCAATTTAACGCTAAAGTAGAATTTTTATCAAAGAATTATTCCAAACAAACTAAGGTTGCTAGCTCCATTGAATGAATTGTTAAAGTAAGATCGAGATTTTAATTGGACAGCGGATGTTGAAATAACATTTAATAAATAATTAAAATCTTAACATCTGATCTGGTGTTACATATCTTTGATCCTGATAAAGCAGTAATTACTATTACTTTTAAATCCAATGTTAGTATTGGGGCTGTCCTTAAACAAAAGATACTGAATTGGATGATGACAGAGATATGTTAACGGTTGGGTATTTCTTTAGAAGATTATAACAGTATAAGATAAATTATTCTGCTTTCGAAAATGAATGCTTAGCTATAGTTGAATTATCAACATACGGGCATCATTAAATGTATTGAAAAGAATTAATAATTCGAACTAATCATAAGTATTTGAAGTTTTCAACTCAATTTTACATCCTCAACCATAGAATTTTGAATTGAGTTTTGGGGCTAAAGTCAATACAATTTTGAAGTTGTATCTAGAATGTCTAAAGCAAAGCAGTTCTAAAGAAAATAAGGTTACTTCATCATCTCGGCTCGGCAGCAGAGCTATCTAAGATAAATTCATATTGATTTTATTGGAAATTTTAGAGAGTTTTCTCTTAATTAAGGTATTTTCATGTGACAATAGACACATTTTCTTGATACGTTTGGGGAGTAATATCTAAAACCCAAAACGTAAGTGATTTTCAACGGTCAAATAATAAAATAAAAAAAAAAACTTAGTTCTAAGGCTAGAAGGTCCATTAGGAAATTTTAATTTGATTTGTCCCCACCCACTGATGTAGTGAAAACCGTTTGTGAATCATGAAGATATTGTTTACATAGAAAATATTGATCTGGTAAATTCAAATGAGTTAGTTCCTGAAGAATCCGATGAAGAAGAGGAAGACATACAGTAAGAACAATCAGAGTTAGAAGACAATTTGATCAAAAGAAATTTTGAATTAGTTCAAACACCTGTATCTCCACTTCCCTCAACGACATCAACTTCAATTTCTAACCAAATTTAAACACGTCACAACCAACTAGATTGGCGTTAATGAATCATCTGTTTACCATCATAAATCTCCAATTATATGAATCTATCATGTCCCAAGATAATAATAATCGAATAAACAACAACATAAAACAATCAAAACAAATGTTAAATTTTCATCAAGATTTTGTTTCTTCCATCAGTAGTGAATTCAGTAGTTGTCAATGTATATTAATCAAAAATATTTTGCTGTATCGTACAGTCAGCATTATATTTCCTCTTTCCTTTCCTATTCACACAAATTCGCCAGTATTTTTGTTGATTTTGAAAAAAAAGAAACATCGACTTGTTTACAGCTTACGTCTATGCACAGATCAACATTCATCTTAAATCATTATAAATGGTAATCAAAGGACACTCGTGTGAAGTTTTACAAGATGGCTAAAGAAACGAAGAATAACCGTTTGGTCTTTTGACATCTTTAATGAAATATGTTATGATGCAGTGTTAAATGTGTTTGATGTAGTGATTTTATCATTAATAGTTGTATCATCGATGATATTTGGTGCTTTCATCAAAAACCGAATACAAATCTCTGATCAATCAATAACAGAGATAGAAAATAGAAGATTTGTCAAAAGATTCATGAAGATATTCATGGATTGATTTAACATCTAACAACGAACTAAACAAAATAGAATGTGTCTACGTAACCAGATTCTTTTCATCTATATTCAGTGCCAGTATTCTACAAGCAGAATGAAGTATCATTGAAGTATTTGAGTGAAAATCTCCGAAGTTGTTTGCAATTAAAACCACGAATGAAGATAATTGTTGCTCTATGAATACACTGGTCTGAATTTCTATTCCCTTTTAAAAGCGTCAGACATTTTCTTCGATTTAATTAATGATTATCAATCGACATTTGTGTTCCATTCAATTAGTAAGAAGAATATTTGTCTAGAAGATATATGGAATCTTTTTCACTGTTTGGGTCAACGTTTCCTTATAAGAGTCAAGTTTATGGAATTCAACATGGACGAAACATCATTGAAATGGTTGGTTGATAACATAAAAAAAAAAAAAAAAAAATATCATCATGACAGAATCTTCATAATCAAACCTCATTGGTCTTCAACGAAAAACTAGCTGTGAATTAAGTGTGATTGAAAAAAAATTTTTTTTTTTTTTTTGCAGTCTAAATTATTTATAATTATAATCATTGGTTAACATATTTGGCACAGAAACTATTCTTTTTTGTATTGTAAAGAAACAATTTAAATTTATTGTATCGAAACAGTTGAATGTGTTTTAAATGTTTTACCTTGATTGACAAATTATATTTGTAATGAATTTTCATTATTTGAAAAGCGAATGAGGAATCAATGAACGGTCAGTCTGGTTTTATACTAAACTTTGTTAGGGAATTATTTTAGATCACTTTTCTTTTCTTTTCATTTCTTTTCTTTTCTTTTCTTTTGCTTACTTTCATGTGATCTAAATCTTTTCTCAACCCCTACCCCTTTTCTTTTGCTTCTCATGTGTGATATGCTTTTCATTTTTATCAATGTTTACTCATCGAACAAAGAAGATTTTCCAACAAACTTACATCGATTTCACTCTCTCTCTTCTAAAGTTACTTGAAACAAACTATGATGTTTTGAATTGAATATTGTTTTCAACAATCTTTCAATTTAATGGAATATGTCCATTTCAAATTTCTTTAGTATTGTTTATGGAATCTGTTCCTGATAATGGAAAATATAACGATTCATCACAATTCACTATACGTTATATTTTGAAATTAATAATATTGTTGTCATTGGTGACTACCGATTTTTGGTCAGTCTATGATGATAAAATATAAATTGTTGGATACCATTGAAGAAATTCTGAAATCATTGAACATTCTCAGAAAAAAAAAAAATTGTTGAGTGTTCATCTTTGTTTTGAACTAATCGTGAATGATTCATCATTAATTTCATCAATTTACTTTTCAAGATTATTGATCTATCGTAATGATAGATATTAAATCTTGGATTAATAATGATTGAAATCGTTACTTCAATCCAGAATATGAATTATATTCATCAAATATTGAATTGTTGAAATTGTTCATCATCATCATTTGATTTAATATCATCACCATCAAAAATTTAAAATTATAGTTTTGTTCAGTGATATTGAATAAGATTTTTTCAAACGATCTTGGAATTTATCCACAATGTTAAAGCAGAAATTTTGGAAAAGAATGATTAATCATGTTGGTCATGATTTAAAATCATTTGAAAATCATTTTTCGAAATTTAATTGATCAATCGATTCAAATTATCAAAGTCAAACTTTGGACATATGAAGAATTTATGAACAATATTTTCAAAACTGATAAAAGTCGTGATAATTTTATAAAATGCTATTTCAATCATAATTGTGAATTGTTTTACAGAATATCAAAATAAGTGGATTATTTACCATCACTATCATCATTACCATTAGTTTTGTTAACTTCATAATCCATAAAAAAAAGTGATTCCTGAATATGTTTCCAAATCAAAAACAATATCAACACCCTCACAAAAGTTCACAACGACAACTTTATTGTCATCAATTATTGTTTCGTCAATAATAACGACGATTATGAATGATAATGGAATAATCAATGTTTGTGAGAAGGATACTTCAATTTAAAAAAAAAAAAAAAAAAAAAACGTTTAATTCAACGAACTGAATGACTGAAGTGTTTCATTTAAAAAAGTATATATATCAGCCATATCCAAACTGTGGTCCGTGGAAAAATTTTACTGCCAACATGCTGTTGGGAAGTTTGGAAAGCGCTGATTCTTCGGGATGTGTGCGCTATTTTGCTACATTTTTTTCTGCTTTTTGTTCTTGTTATTGTTATCAGATGATGATGATGATGATGAGGCTAGATTATCAACGTTCATAATGATCATTCATCATTTTCTAATTTTTTTTCCATTCATTCATTCATTTGCTTGGTTTGATTATTTTTTTTGTTGTTGTTGTTAGCAAAAGAAAATAAAAAAATTGAGATAATTTTTCATTTTTTAAAACGGCAGCATTGTTTTGTTTTTCGCTTTTTTTTTTTGCTTTTTTGATTATTGACCTGATTACTAATATATACCTATTATATGCACATCATCATCATCTGTGATTTTGACTTGTTTGGCTCGAAATTTTTTTTTTGTTTTTTGTTTTTAATTGAAGAAAAATTCCTGTGTTTTGTTTTCCAACTAAAAAAAAAAAAAATGGAAAATTTAGACAATTTTTTTCAACAAAAAACTTTTGAAAATTTATTCCATTGTTTATTATCAATGGTTATTCACCATAATAATAACAATGGCCATAATCATGATGATGATGATGATGATGATTCATATAAATCATTTTTAATCGAAATTCTTCCATTCACCATATGGAATCCGATTGCCATAAAATTAACCGAAAAATATCATCCAAATAGTATTGAAAAATATTTTTCATTGATCAAGAAACAAATCGATAATGAAAACAATGGTGGTGTTGGTGGTGATGGTGGTGGTTATATTGATCTTATTCGGCAATTTAATCATTCACTTTATCCAAGTATAATTGGTTCAAATGATGATCGTTTCAATCTAATCAGATTTGATGATAAAATCAATCAAATTCATCAAGATTATTATCGTCATTTATTGAGAAAACAATCGATTGAACATTTGAAACGAATTAAAATGCAGGTAATTATCAATATTTACATTATGTTTTTTTTTCATTTATTGAATTTTTTTTCAAAAATTTATTTTCATGTAGAAACTTCAAACAATCATTGATTTAACGAATAAATGTTTGAATAATCAATCCATACAATCGAATGTAATGGCAATACTTGATGAAAAACAATGCCAATATGAAGTGGCTAAACAAAAACTTGACAAACAAAAAGAATTGGAAAATGTTCGTCAATTATTGATGAAATCAAACGATGATCAGAATCAGAATCATGATATTCATCAACAATATCGTACAATAACAGTCGAAAATCAATTATTATTGAGAAAAATTAACAAGTTCACAGAGATAAAACAGCAATTACAACGAATGGATTGTAAAAAGATTGATCGAATCAGACATTTGACGCGTAATATTTATTTTATGGAAAAATTGTCATCTACATCGATACCATCACCAATCATTAGTAATCAACAGCAGCAGCAGCAGCAGCCACAACAACAACAACAACAACAACAAATGGCCATGAATTCAATAAGTCCATTTTTTTGTGATCATCATGTAATATCACCAGCCCTTATGTTCAATAATGATGATGATAATGATTACTGTGATGATGGAGATGTCTCTGATATAAGTCTTAGTTTTAATGCACAATTAAAATTTTAACAACATTCCATACACACACTTGGAGCCAGTAATTATAATTGCAATTCTTTAAACCCATTGTGTATTATGATTATCCGAATTTTTGTCATTCGAATTCCATTAATGATGGACGAAACTATCGAATCGAATGATAATAATAATAATAATAAATAATTATCGTTTGATATCAATTTTGTTGAAAATTGATATTATATCAATATGAAAGAAAGGGTGTTTCCCATTACTATTGGAAAAAAAACGATGAGAAAAAAAATCCAATGATACAAAATTATACACCGGGTGTAGCCGGGTATCACTTTTTTTTTCTTTTACTTCCCCATCATCATCATCATCATCATCATCTTATCGATGATAATTGATGTCAATGTTCTAAGATATTATTATAACAGGAAAAAAATCTTTCTCTTATCATTGTTTTCGATACAATTCGTTTTTTTTTCTCATTTCATTCGTTTGGTTATCATTTTTTCTATGGCCATTTCATTTCTGATTTCAGTTTTCTTCTTCATCATCATCATCATCATCATCATATAATTACAGAACAAACGTAATTTCAAACATTTTTTTTCTCGTTTTTGTTTCTATAGAACAAATTCGATACAAATATAATAATAAAATATATATACGGGTATCGGATCCTTATTCGATTGAGAAATGAAATTCGAAACGAATCGAATTGTTCAAAATGTTCTACTGTTTGACAATTCAATGATTATTGATATGGAATCCGGCTCCGTTATACATTGTTTCCATTAGATTCTGGTTTCATTCGTGATTATGATGGTGGCCAGTGATAGTTGTGTTGTCATCCAATGTGTATGGTTTGGTTGGAAAAAAAATGAAATTGTCTTTTCACTGTTCCATAAATTAAAATAAAAAATATCGACAATTAAATTATAATGTTAGAATTTCGATTTATTGGAGTTACGAACTTTCAAAATTAACATCAAAGTTTAAATTGGCGCCTTTCATTTTCACTGAATCAAAAGTTGACAGCCCGATTTCATTCGTTTATTTTATTTTATTTTTATTTATTTTTTTTTTGATGCTGATTATTTGTGATCTGTGTGTTGTGAATGTTTTGAATTTGATTTTTTTTTCAAGCTACAAAAGTAGCAGAATATTTGTATTTCCTGATATGAGAATAGAGAAAAATTTCTCTAGAAATAAAAAATGAATGAATCCCATGATACATTATTGGACACGTGCATGAATCGAATACTATTCACCAAAAAAAAAAAAAAAAAAACATACCAGCCAGTCCAATACAGTCAAATATAATAATGATCTGAACATTTTTTCAAAAAAAAAAAACAGAATTCTCTAACACCCGGTCCTACTTGATCACCATCATCATCAGAAATTGTGATTGTCAGAATTGATCCAATTGACATATTGAGTCACATAAATAATAACAACATGGATCACACATTTATGATGATAACCATATTGTGTTTAGTGGTGAATGATAGTTGGTGGATGTGGATCGATTCTCAATTCTATCTATAACAATATGAACATGAATCTATGCATGGATAAATTTCAAAGTGGAATTATTATTTTCTCATAACTAGACAATCGTTTATCGGCCCACATACTGAGTGTAAGCACATTTGGCCATATTCTGTATGGGTCCCCTATATCAAAGTTGAATTTTGGGGTGAACGGCTGGGCTAAATATATTTCATGTTGTCATTTTTTTGTTTTGTTTTGTTTTGTTTCGGTTACTCTTCATACATAAAATATATTTTTTCAATGTGATTACATGCACACACACACACACACACACACACACACACATTTCATTTTCAATTTAATTTGACATCATCCGAGTGATTCTCTCTTTCTCTCTAACACACATACACACACAATGATTCATCTGAAACATTCTAGAAAACACACACCCCACAACAACAAAAACAACAACTAAAATATAGAATGTCAGATCGTACATCATCATCATCATCGTTCATGTTGTTGATGTACATGATGATCAAAATTATGTCATGATTCGTGTCATAGGCAATTTGTATTAATTATCGTTAGTTTGTTCATAATAAATCTGCTGTTTTCAAGACTTTAGTTAGTATATACAGATGATGATAATAATATGGATAAGTCGCGTGCATTTTTTCATGTTTTTTTTCATCACTATCTTTGGGAGTATCTTGTTTTTTTTCTCATGAAAGTAAGACCTCCAACCGTGCGTAGCAAAATATAGAAATATTCAAAATGAATTATATGATGGCCTTTGACATTTTGGATCGGATGTACACAGTCGCGATTGATAAGATTTGCAGCAAAAAATAAATAAACCTACAAAAAATGAAAAAAAATTCAGTTTAGAATTGGTATATTTCAAAAATTATTTCCATTTATTTTTTATTTCAATATCACATCGCTTATCGGCATTTATCAAGGTTATTAATACCCTAAAATTGCGATTATAAGACGCAGATATTTTTTTTCCATAAAGTAACCATTATTATGTATAAGACTATTTTTTTTTGTTTATGATGCGTCTTATAGTCGCGATTTTAGGGTAATTGAATTTGTGTGTGTGTGTGTGTTGTATGTTTACAATCTTGAAAATAAATTAACAAACAAATAAAGATATACAGCGAAAAATTTGTAAAAAAAATTAAGCATCGATTACAGATAGATAAATTTGTTGCGTATCAATTGATTGATGATTTTTTGTTTTGTTTACATATGGTCGTTCTTCATATAATCAACAACAAAAAAAAATAACCAAAATAGATAGTGGGTGTTTATGTTGTCGTTTTTTTTTCGATAAAAAGCTCGTATTTTTCACTTGATTATTGCATGAATAAATGAATGCAAAAATTGTTGTCCGCTGTCTAATAAATTCCTATGATGATAATGAAAACATCTACAAACATTCATATAAAACAACAAGAACAAAATTGAAAAAAAAACACACCAAAAAAAACAAACAAACAAATGCAATATGACTATGACTGTCATGTATTACCCATTACACACATATAATATGAACAAAATGAATTCAAAATTCATGATTCAAAACACACACCACAACACCATGATATAGAAGAATAAAAAATGATGGGATTTGTTTCACTTTGTTTTTCTTGTATGATGAATGATGGTAACGGTGATGATGATGATGATGATTATCGTTACCGAATTGAATTTTTTTTTTTTTGCTGCTGTCGCATAATAAATAAATCTCACTATAATGAAGGAAATGAATGTATAGATGGATGGTGTGTATGTTTGTGTGTTCACCATCATATATTCATTTAGTTTTGAGGTTTCCGGTTCGTTTGGTTTAGTCATCATCATCATGATCATCGTGATGATCATTATAAACCTGGATGGTTGGTTGGTTGGATGAAATTTTTCATTTTTGTTTTTTCTTGTTTCTCGCCATTGCATAATGGGGTATGAATTTTTGTTTTAACGAAGAAAAAAAAATTAATTGCATCATTGATGCGAATGATAGAAACACACTAGGGTGAAAACGGAAATTCATTGTCCAAATATAAAAAATAGGTAAAACCGGGAGCCAGGAAAAAAATACAGGGTAGGTCTATTAATTAGAAACCTGATTTTTTTTGTTGTCGGCAAAGTTATAATGATGATAATCAACGAAATGATGAAAAAGAGGAGAAAAAAACTTTTAGTAACTCTTGTCATTTGCAATCTTCTTCATTGACGATTTGTACTGAACTTTTTTTTTCTTTCACATGAAACATGATGATGAGAGGAAAAGATTTATCTAGTTGTAGTAGACGTTGTTGTTGTCGTCGTTGTACGATTAGGTTTATATTGTTCCAATTCTTTATAAAGCATTTGTATTTCTTTTTCAAAATGTTTACTGATGGCATTCCGCTGATGTAATTCATTCATTCATTCATTATTATATATATAAAACAAATGCCAATGGATAACCACGATTTCGATCCATTAAAAAACAAAAAAAAACGAAACAAAAGAAAGGGAGAAAGAGAGAACAAACGATACATTAATTTGGGTTAATTAATTAATTAAATACCACCAACATGTCGGTGAACACAACATGAAAAACAAATGGCTTGTATATATATTGGCCAAATGATTATTATTTTGTTGGTATTATAAATCAACCAAGTATATATGATCATTCAGGAAATATGATCTAGCTAACAAATATTTGTTATTCTAAATGAATCACTTACCTTAGATTTTAATGTTGGTGTCAATAGTCCTTCTTCGATTGTGAACGGTGACTTTTTCACATAGATATTTTTAGGTAATTCAAACGATTTTAGATCGGCTGTTTGTCCAACACGTTTTAGATCATTGATAATTAATTCTTTTAATTGATTTTTTGGTAATGGTTGGCTATTCAATTGATCTTCTGTCCATTCTATTAATGGCAGTTCAATATGAAATCGATGATCTAATGATTGAATAAAATCTAAATCCGGTACGACGATAGCAATCAACATTGATTTAAATCCATCACCGTAAATAAATATCTGCTGCACATATTGACTATTGATCAGGATGTTTTCAATCTTTTCCGGTGCAATATATTCGCCTTGTGATAGTTTAAAAATGTTCTTTTTACGATCAATTAAACGAAGTGTACCTTCCGCGCTCCAATAACCAATATCACCGGTATGTAGCCAACCATCATTATCTAATATTTCCGCTGTTTGTTCGGGCATTTTATAATAACCTTGAAATACGACCGGTCCTTTGACTAGAATTTCACCACGTCCATCACAACTATTATATCCCATATCTGGTACATCAGCTAATTTAACAATAGAACCAACTAATGGTGGTCCAACATGTCCAGTAGTTTCATCACCCATCAATGTTGCTGTACATGGTCCAACGCATTCCGTTTGGCCATAACCTTCGGATATCTTTTTCAAACGAAAAAAAAACAAAACAAAAAACACCATTACGAGATCATAAAATCCATTAAGATTATATTTGAATGTTTCGAAAAAAAAGTCTGAATAAAATAATAAAAAATGAAATAAAATGTTTCAACTTACCACACAACCAATGGCTACACGAAGAAAATCAAGAACATCAGCACTAAGCGGTGCTGAACCTACACATATCAAACGTAAACGAGAACCCATATTCTGTCGGACACGATCAAATACTATACGATCCCAGATGGTATTGTTACGGATCACGTGTCTAGCCAAATCTTTACGTTTCTGTCTATATGCCCAATGTAATAGGCAACGTTTTAGAATATTGTTACGAACTTTAGCATAGATTGCATCATAGATACGATTCAATAAACGTGGTACAGCTGCAAAGAAACAGAACAACCAGAAAAATAGAAAAAATAACATTATCATCAATATCATCATCATTAGACAATCACACAAAGAAATTTAGAAAGAGAACATATAAAATCGATCGATTTCTATATACACTGAGAATTTAATGGAAATTCACTTCAATCTCATAACTCATCAACATCATAGCTAAAAAACAAAATCTCGGGATTCTATCATCATGGAAATTAGGTTTTTTCTCATATGTCTCTTTCTCGTGTTCAGAGGTAATTTTTTTGCGGTCAAAAAAATTTCAAATTATCGTCAACGAACACACACTTACCCAACATGATTGTTGGTCGTATGATTAGAATTTCCGCTGCAAGCTGTCGTATGTCACCCGAATAATAGACAACTTTACCACCTTCTATAAAAACGGCAGCCTAATGGAATTATGATCATGGGAGCAAAAAAAATTTGCGTAAAAATAAGATGATTATTCAAAATGGACAAAATGACACAAAGGAGAAAGGAGAGAGATGAATTTAAACATATAATATATATACCTCACCGATACGTTGAAACATATGTGCTAATGGTAATATGGAAATCATTGTATCATCAACGGTTGCATGTTGATCCATTAGATGTATACAAATGGCCGCAATACTTGCAATAACATTCTCATGTGTTAATATTACCCCTTTCGGTGTACTAGTTGTTCCGCTTGTATAACAAATTACAGCTAAATCACTGATTTTTGGTTTCTAATAATAATAATAATTCAATAAATTAATTTTCAATGTAAATCAAACAGACACAGAAACTTGATTAACTTACATGATCATCAGCGATAGGATTGCTTGAGCCAATCTTTTCAATATCAGCCAATATATGTAATTGAAAACCTTTATCCATCACTTGAAAATGGAAGAAAAAACAAATAATATTGTGCATGTTTAAACATTCCATTTGCATAAATGTAGCACACGTACCTTTTTTTCGCATTTCCATCGTAATTTTCTTATCACTTTTCATCCAAATCAAATGTTTTAGATGATGAAATTGTTTGGATTGTTCAAGTATACGATCCAAACGTTCAATATTATCACAAGCAATGATTGTTAATTCAGTCTGATTAGCAATAAATGATGCTATATTTGGACCTAATGTATCATATATCGGTACAATCACTAATGAATGTCGATAACATGCATATTCAATCAATGTATATTCCATACAATTGATCGAATAAATCCCTATGAATGATTGTCGTGGTTGTAGACCAAATTGTACTAGTAAACCATCGGATATATGTTGCGTACGTCTTACTACATCACCATAATTAATCCAATCGACAGTATTTGTAGCCGTATTCATTTGACCAAGACATTTTCCATTTTCTATACAAAAAAAAATTTCATATTTTCAACAACAATGAAAATAAGGTGTAGATTAGACTAACTAGATTGTCGATGGCCACGATCAAATATATCGTTCAAGGTTTTAACCTGTTCATATTGATATGTATACAAAGTACGTTTATGTTCCAATTGTTTGGATATACGCTCTACTGGATTATCCTGAGATTTGAAAAATGAAAATAAAAATAAATGACCAATCAATGAAAGGAAATCCGCATTTCAGCAATACAATCCGTTCAAGATTAAAATCATTCATGCATTTCAGAAAATTTTTTCATTTACCTTGTATGGTATTGACTGATTCTGGTAATCTAATCCTTTACCCAAATAACGTATCGATGTTTTATTCATCATTGATGATGATGATGATGATGATGTTGATGGAGAGGAACCGGATGATGATGATGATTGTGATGAATCATTAATGGTGGCCAATGGTGAAATTTGGCCATTTTTTTCAGATGATTTTCTCATCATCATAATAATTCCACAATAAAGTATTAATGTTATTATGGTCACTATTAGAATGGTGAAGAAAATTAATTGATAAGAATAATTGAATGGATGATCAACAATTTCATTCGATGGTGATTGGTTTGAATGATGAGTGGATGAAAGTTGTGAAAAAACAAAATTTATATTGATCCATATGATAAGTATCAATGATGATGAGATCATTCGTAATGATGATTGATAATAATAATAATAATAATAAGGGTTTGAAAACATTCGAATCGAAAATCGTTGTATTCACTCAAGCATCGTGTGCCCAGAGCTGGGAATTTTTTGTTTTTGGCAATAAAGTTTGTTTAGGTCGAAATTTGAAAATCGAATTTTTCGTTTATATTTTTTTTTCTTCTAATTTTATTGGAAGCTCGACGGATTTTTTTTCAAAAGAAAAATTTTCTTGTATGTTTGAAGGAAATGTTTGGCATATTAATACATTTTGCATATACAGGTTATATTTGTCGACAGAAAAAAAAATGATGATGTTGCTAAATGGATCGAAATCGAAATCAATCAATAATATATAAGAAACACACAAGAATGATTGTCATATATTATATGTGCACACAAAGTTGAAAAATTGAAAAATGAAAAAGTCACAATTTTTTCTCTTTTTTCAAAAAAAAAAATCTCACACCTTGACGATAAATTTTTCATTTTTCATTTCATGTGGCCTCAATTAATATTATTCAATGTTTTTCAATGTCAGCCACAAAGGTTGTTGTTGTAATTGTTGTCTCTGTTATGGAACAAAAATTTTTCAAAATTGAAATTATATTTGATTTGATTGAATTGTGTGCGTGTGATGAGGATATTGAATAATTGGCAGGTGACCCAATTATTATTGAGTCACACACACCCACCCATTAGAAAAAATATGATAATAACAATAATAATAATCGAAAAAAAAACATAGGCTCAAAAACCCGAAAAATTGTATATATATTGATGGTGGTTGTAGTTGTTGTTGTTGTTGTTGTTGCAGTTACTGTTGGAACGTATAAAAAAAATCGGACGCATAGAATACCAAATGTCATTCATTCTTATTACGCCATTCACAAAAAAACACACACATACGATTGGCAGTGGTATAGCTAGATGATTTCGGTAGTGGATATTTTTTTTTCATCGTTAAAATTAGAATTGCATACCGATGGAATGTTCTCTGAGGTAGTGGTATGTAAACGGGGTTTATATTATCACGGCGGGTTTGTGGAAAAATTATCCGGTATAAATTTATGGGTGTTTTGAGAGAGATCAGGCTGATTGATTTCGAATATTCTAGTTGGATTTTCAAAATGAAAAAAAACATGTTTTGTTTTGTGTCCGCCCGGTTTTTTCGGTGATAATGATGAAATTTGAGAATTTCCACTATTTCAACATTTTTTTTCTTCTATGTTTGTCGTACAATTGTTGACAATTGTTAATAACGATCGTCAAATCAATCACGGAATGAATAAATGAAAATGGCTGAATTAGTGATCAATTGAATAATAATATAATTCTCATCTTGGTAATATAATCGAATTCGGAATTGTTAATTTAATAATTTTTTGTTCAGGTTTGATCATGTACGTGTGTTGGTGGTGGTGGTGGTAATTTCTTTTTTTTTTTTGAATGTAGAATATTCTCATCATGCTCATCACCACCATCATCATCGATGATGATGATAATAATTTCCAATTTTTTTTTTGTTCATATGAAAACCCGCCTCGAATTCGAATAACCAGAGAAAAAGAGAGTGAAAAAAAAGAAAAACCGATTACCCAGTGTGTTGTTTTGTCTCTCTCTCTCTCTTTATGAAAACCAAAAAATTCTACCATTTTGTCCGATAATAATGAAACAAATATAAAAAAAACGGTAAAGAAAAAAAAAGCGAAAATGAATATTGGTGATGATGTCCGTATTTTTTTTTTTTTTTTTTTTTTTGTTTCTCTTTATCAAATGATGATGCTTTTGGATCGAATGGAAAATTGAAATGAACGAAAAAAAAAATACGAACATTCGAATGATTTCGTGATTTGCATGTTTGATTGAAAACGTTATTCGTTCATGTGTTGTGTGTGTGTGTATGGGCGAGTTGAAGGAATGGCCATCATTTTTTTTCTGTTTGTTCGTTTAGTTGATGTGTTCGATGATTTAGATACGATTCTCTTTTCAGGGTTCCAAAAAAAAAGTCTTTGTGGTCTCTCTTATGGCCAGATTCTCAGAGGTGTATTTTTTTTTTTACAAAGTCCGATCACATACAAAATACATGAATTTTTTTTTCATTTTATAGCCAAAACGTTATCATTATTGCAGCATTGTCCGATATTGTAAAAATAACAACAACAACAAAAATGGTTCTGGATCTTTGTCTGTATTGTGACTAAACTGAGAACTGTTAAAATTATTATTATTATTATTATTACTATAATCGATTTTGGAAAGAAAAAAAATGTTTGTTGTGTAGATCTTAGATACAGTGCAGATTCTGTGCAAGTTTGTGGGTGTGTGTGTTCGAAATTCTATAGAATGAAAAAAAAACCAATCGAATTTTCTTAGGTTTCGATCACAACGATATTTGATGTTTGATTATCTGACCTTTTTCTGTACATGTGTAAGTGTATTCAAAGATGAATATTTGAGAAAAGTGATTTATCACTTTATATGCTACTTTATGTATGTATTGACAACAACAACAAAAACAATGAAAACTAAAAATTCACAAATCAAAAATAAACAAACAATTCAAATATTCATTCGACACTCATACACACACACACACACACAGGTGATATCGATCAGATCAAAAATCCGGATCGATTGATCGATTATTTTTCAATTGTTTTTTTTTCACTTTCTCATAACGAAAAAAAAAACATTTCTTGAAGACATAATAATAATGGAATTATAAATTGTCCCTGTGTGTGTGTATGAGTGTGTGAGTGAATGAAACGATCCATCTTCCAGTTTGACATAATGATTTTTTTTCTTTACTTTTGATTCTGATGTATCGATTTTTTTTTTTTATTATTTCGGTATTCTTGGAATTCTTGGTCGATTCATTCATTCATTCATTTTTTTTTTGTAAAAAGATTCACTTTTTTTTTGATTTTTGTCGTCGTTGTCGTTGTTGTCATTGTTGTTGTTGTTGTTGTTGTTGTTGTCAAACATTTACATCCATATTTATGGAATGGGGGAAAAAATGAAATATACATTCGTTGAGTAAATAATCACCATTCATCACCTTTTTTATCAATTTTTTCACTTTTTTTTCATGTGTTTTGTTTCGGAATGTTTTTTTTTTTTTGAATTCACAGCCAAAACAAAAAATCAAGTTTTAAAATTCAAAAAGAAAATTTCTTTTCAATTCAATTCAATTTTTTTTTCATTTGATAAAAAAAATTTTGAAATTGAAAAAAATGATAATATTTACCTTAGGTTTGACAGGTTGACAAAAACACACACACACACACACACACACGCAAGAATGAGTCAAAATAGTCATTCGAATCAAATCTAATATCGTATATGACCACCATTGAAAAGGTCGTATTCTGTATTCGAAATGAAAAGAATTTTCCAGGTGGTTTCAAAACAGTGATAATATAATGATAATATATGGTAGAGAAATGATGTTGATGTGATGATGAATTAAATTATTCATAATACAAAGTAAATGAATTGAATCATGAAAATAAGGGAATGAATGAATGAATGAATGAATGAATGGATAGGAACAGAATTTGATTCTCCCCCCCCCAAAAAAAAAAGAAGAAAAAAATCTAGAATTTCTGGACTTGGTTATGAGTGTGTGTGTGTGGTGGGCCACATTGTAATTGAATGAATACAGCCAATGGAAAAAAAGTTCTGATGTTTTTGTTTTTGACAACATAAATTCTCACAATGCAACCCGGATAAATTCCCGGCATTTTATCCGCTTTCACTTTCTCTGGTTGTTATTTTCGTTATTATTGTTGTTGTTGTTGTTGTTGATTATATCTCATCAATATACTCATTCTGTTGTGTTTCTATTATGTTGGTTGGTATTTTAATTAATAATAAATGTATAACCAGAATTTTGATATGGATTCACTAACCGAAAACAGAAAATTCGAATGGGATTCCTCATCATCAAGGGAAAAAACAGTGTGTGTGTGTGTGATCCATTCATATACAATGTATTATTTTTTTCTAATATTCGAATATTCATCAATGATTAGAACATACAAATAAACCAACCGATGAAAACGCCCACAAACTACTTCACTGTCCCATCCATTCAATTATCCATTCTCGAGAGAGAGAGAGAGAGAGAGAGAATGTGATGAAAGTTTTTTTTTTGGAATGTTAATGAATAATAATAATAACTTGTATATATGTGGCTATTCCGGGTTACATAGTGTTATTCGCGATTCTCATCTTCATCATCATTCTGATCATTCTGATGATGATGAAGATGATGAAGATGATGATGAAATGAATTATGGATGAATGATCAATTCATAGCTATATGAAAATAAATAGCATCACTATTTTTTTTTCTTGGACGATCCGATTAACAGCAGTAAAGTTCAGTACATAGATTAGATTCTTGTAAAAAAAAGTAATGATAATAATTATCATATATATAATAATAATGAAAAAGATGATTATTACATCATATATGAACGAATCATTCCATTTCCAATTTGTTCAGGACATTTAAATCCTCAGAGAAGAAGATTGACAATTTTTTCCAAATTCGAATACAAACAGCAAAAAAAGAGAAACAACAACAACCAAATCAATAACGAATGAAAAACCGAATTTGATTGTCAAAAGTTTCGTTTCGTTTCGTTTCATTTCATTTCGGGTTCATCTTTATTAGTTAGTTTTATCATCATCGTCATTATTAACATGAACTAAAATGTTCGATTTGACTTTAGCCAACTTTAAGCCAAATATTGAGATAGATAGATTGGGGCAATCAACATGATGAGCCAATCATTGTAATGTAGAATTTTGTGTCAAAATCTTGTATACCAGCATGTTATATATATATGTGTGTGTGTGTGTATGTTTGTATTGTTCCTGGATCGAAATCCCAATAATAATAATAATGATGATGATGATGGGAATCTGAATCCCAGAAATTGAAGCCACACACAAGCAGGAAATAAAGGCAAGTGTTTTAACCCCTCTCCTAATTCTCTCCCATCAGTTCCGAATGTTTCCAAATTATTCGGGATTTAGATTTTCCACAATTCCATCCAGCCAATCAGATTCGGATTCAAGAAAAATCCCAATTATGAATGGATACAATTTGTTGTTATGGTTGTCGTGCTGTCAACATCATCATCATCATCATCATCATCTTGTCTGCTTTGTTTTTGGTTATTTGCAAAGAAACATTGTTGACAACCTAATAACCAACAACCAACCAACCAACCAACCAACATCCGTTATTGACAGTTTACAATCACCATCCTGATGATGATGATGATGTTCGTTAATGATAATGACGATGGGTGTGAACGCATGTTTTTTTCTATTCAAATCAAATCGACAAAAACAATTTTCTCTGATTGATTTCTCGAAAACAAAAAATTTACCACTGAATGAATGAAAATGAATGAAAAAAGAATGAGAAAAAATCTTTCCCGAAAATTTATCCATCAACCATATTGTTACTTTTTTTAGCGATGAACAAAAACAGCAACAAAAAAAAACTTATTTTGAAAATCAATTTTCTGTTCTCTCGTTTCGCTGTTTTCACACATTTTCAATGCGATGACATTGAATTATTTCTTATTTTTTTGAACTTTTTTTCCCCCCCCAAAAAAAGAAAATTGATTTTTGTTGTTGTCACTCGCATTCGCACACCCACACACACATACACACATTGTAATTTCAACACTTTATTATTACACACTTCCAGTACACTGGAACGGTCCAGGAAAACGAAAATGAAAAAAAATATAAACCAAGTCATTTTGTTTGACATGACATGTTCATGTTAATGATGGTTACTGTAGTTTATGTTGTCGTTGTTGTTGTTGTTGTTGTTGTTGCTGCTGCTGCTGCTGGATCAGTGTCCATTTCATCTTATATGTTTAGATGACAATTTTCTCATATTTTTTTTTTCACTGGATTGACCATCTGGCATTGGGATTGGTTGTTGTCGTTGTTGTTGTTGTTTTTGGTGTTTTTTTTTTTTTTTTTTTTTTTTTTTGCTAATGCCAAGTAAGGAACTTTAGACTTTTGACGTCTGTATGTGTTTGTAAATTTATACATTTTTTTTGATTCCTTATGATAATAATAATAAAATAATGGTGATGATAATTTGTTTGAAAGTTTTTTTTTATTCTTTTCGCTTCTATTTTTTTTTTTTTTTTTTTTTGAAACACTCAGTTTGATGATGATGGTTGTTAGATCGGATTCTATGTCAGAGCGAAATTTCTCTCAATTTTCTGGTGCTATAATGATTAATGGCTATAATTTGCTTCTTGTTGTTGTTATTATTTTCCGGATTCTATTTTTTTTTGTTTCATATTCCGTTCGGTCGGTTTTTTTTTGTTGTTGAAAACACCAACCATTTGTCGCCAAGATATAAATCCAAGATTCAATAAAATTATAGTTATCAACAACAACGACGACGACAATTATAATAAACACGGCTGTTGTCCTGGTTGTTGTTGTTGTTGATTTTATTTTTTATGATTATTACATTTCTGATCTAATAAAAACCAAATTTTTCACTTTTTCAGCATTTTTTTTTATTTTTAGTAAATCAAAAATAAACATATATAAAACAATGATAAGAAAATTATTACAGAAAAAAAATCAATCAATCCATCAATCAATCAATATGATGATGATGATAGACTTAATAAATTATGGTGATTCTCCGATGTTGTTGATGTTGATGATGATGGACCATGAATTATATCCGGTGGTTCAGTTGCCATCATATACCATTGATGATCATTCGATTGATTACCATTATCGGCTATTGATTTTTGTAAATTTGATGAATGATAAGTGTTAATCATTGATGAGCTTGTTATTGTTCGTTGTTGATGTCTTTGCCATTGACATTGTAATTGTTTATTGAATTCTTTATCATCATCGCCATTGTTGTTGTTGTTATGTTTCAAACGGAAACGACGTAGTTTACGAATATTATCATCAATCAATGCCAGATTCGATGAATGTTGATCCAATTGTCGTGCACGTGCATAATGAAACATTGCATTATCGAATTGACCACCAAAATGATATATCACAGCTAAATGTAAATGTGCACGTGGCTGACATTCATCCAATTTGATTGCCATTTCATAGCTATATATTGCCAATGACCATAGATGTAGATCTTTTTGTATATCACCTTTTAATGTCCAAATTTGTGAACATCGTTTCATGATTGTTGTTGTTTTCGGATAACCAATAGAACCGCTATGAATTGGACAGTGATCCAATGCTTTCATTATTGATTCAAGAGCCTTTATTAAAATAAAAAATTAAATGTGATTTTTGGAAAAAAATGTCCAAAGATACACCCACGAAAAAACACCTACCTTTTCACTACGATTAGTCATTGTAAATAATAAGGCTAATTGATGATGAAGATCCAAACGAAACAATTGATCATTATGATCATTATCATTATTAACATTTGAGATGAAATTAAATTCAGCAATCGATTCTGTAGGATTCTGTAAATGTTTTTGTTGTCGTCGTTGTTGTTGTTGTTGTTGTTGTTGAGATTTGTTGTTCATTGTCATTGTTGATGCCATTGTTATTAATGTTTCAAGTATCACTTGAGCTTGATCAAATTGTTCTTCAAGTATAAGTAACTGTGCCTATAAATGATGATGATGATGATGATGAAAAAGAAAGAATGAAGAAAAATACATGCAGAGATTATTATTATTATTTCAATCAATCGGTTGAATTGTGATAAGCAACAACAACAACAACAACCATACAGCCTAATCGTGAATTCAATGTTTTCAATTCTGATATGACAGATAAAGAACAGTTTGAATGGCGTGTTTCATTCATTCATTCATTCATTCATTGCAATTGTATTTCACGCCACAATGATGATTGGTGTTTGTTTGTTTGTTTGCTGCTTCTTTGTTCGCTTCAATGATTCATTTTTTTTTTTTTTTGGTTTTTCTTTCTCTCTCTGTCTGTCTCGAGATGGTTGATTAAGAAAAATAAGGATGAAAATTTGTCATTTCTCTTTTTTGCCAACAAATAAAGATGAACAGAAAATTATTTAATAACTCACAATAACAAAAACAACAACAACAACAACAACAAATGACAAGTAAATCCAATGTTATATATGACCATGACAATCAAAATTTCTGTCATTCTTTCACATATATACGTTCATTGTTTTGGTGTGTATCTTTTTTTTGGGTGTTTCAGTGTTGTGTGATAAAAAAAAGAATAACTAAACTAGGAAACTGATTAAGGAATTTGGTCAATTCCTAAAAGAAACTGTCCAAATATCTATCCAAAATGCCTGAAGGACTTTGTTTATCAAATATGATCATCATCATCATCATCGTCATCATAACAATAATCATTGATTGCTTTTGCAATAAAGTTTCAATCGATGTCAAATTCTCGTTATATACACAGAGAGAAAAAGAGAATATTCTTATTTAGGTCGCATATAGAATCGAATTGAATTGAATGTAAATATTTGTGACATATATGGAATTTGGACCATTTGACACAATAATTTTCATATGGTTACTGGTAATTTTATTGGCAAATATTATATGACGATCCGTTCATTTGCAATGTCATCAATTGAATGAATATAATTCTCATATATACTCACATAATGAATACTGGCCATATTTGATTGCATCTGTGGTCGTGAATTATGATTGATTATGGTCAATTGTTCTGGAATTGTTGTTGTATGATGATGATGATGATGAATTTCAACTGAATGATTATCATTATTCAATTGGGATGATAATAACGACAACGATGATGATGATTTATATAAAAGCTGATGATAAACACGACGTGCTAATTGTAATTTTGAACGTCGTAAATATAATGTACCCAATGAATCTAATGTGGTAGCATCTTGTCGTAATTTCATTGCTCTAAAATCAATCATTAGTATTTGGCATTTTTTTCGTTTCGTTTCGTTTTGAATTTGGAACACCATTTCGATACAATGTAAATGGGAAAGAGAGAGAGAAAAAAAATGGCAAGAATTAATGGGTGATAATTGAATGATGACAATCTGCTGACTATGTGAATTTCTGCATTCATGAATTGTGCAAAGTGTGTGTGTGTGTGTGTGTGAAAGGAAAGAATGATTTTTTTATATTATTCCAACAACAAAACAAATTGCCTAATTTGCATTGGTGATTTTTTTGTTTGTTTTTCGCCATCGATTCTCAAAAAAAAATACAAACCTTTTATAAAAATATTCAGCACGATCAAATCGTTTCAATAATGTCAACAGATTGGCCATATTAATTATTGCTATTTGATGTTCAGGTTTCAATTTGATTGCATGGCCATAATTTCTTTCAGCACTGGCCAATCGTCCGGTACGTTGTAAAAATGCACCATAATTATTATAAAAATCTGCATTTCTACGCCGTAAACGTATTGCACGCCAATAAAAACGTTCGGCTATTAATTCATGACCTTTATGTGCATATAATGCAGCTAATGCTTCATAAGATTCAGCAAATTTTCTATCCAAACAAATGGAACGTTCCATCAATGCGATTGCTTCATTGGTTTGGCCACGTTTACTACATATATAAAACAAACAAATGAAAACAAAACAGAAAAAAAATTACAGAAACATAAAATGACAAGGCCATAATATCATTATCGACATTTGACCTTTCTCTCTCTCTCTCTCTACTGCATGTTTGTGATGTAGATGATGAAGATAATTCCAAAACAAGAGAATCATTTTGGGATAATAAAAATCAAAACAAGATAACAAAAACCATTAGAAAGTTCATTGATCTAAGATAGTTGGCTAACTAATACTTTCAATCGATGATGAACGAAAGAAAAAAAAAAACAGTAAAGTCCATTCAATTCAATTCAATTCATTTAGCCAGTAAGTCAGTCAGTCGGTCGAATCGAATAGAATCAAATCGAATAGAATAGAATCGAAAAATAAAAATATTCCAACAACAACGGTAAACATCCTATATATAAATATCCTTCATAGATTGATTGAGCTAAAGAAAAAAAAATTGATGATTCCATTTTAGAAACAACAAACAAAATCTTCAAAAGAGGAAATAATAATCTTTCACAATGAACAATAATAATAATAATAAAAAAGAGAATCCAGCCGTTACAATATTTACGACCATCGATGATGACACAAAAGAATTCTGATTTACATTTATATGATTCAGGATGATGATGTTGATATTGACGATTCTAGATTCCTTTCGGTTCGTTCATTTCGTTCAGTTCAGTTCAGTTCAGTCATTTTTTTTTTTTTTTTTTTTTTGCTCAGTGAATTAATGATGATGAGAGTGAATGCACTGACTTTTTTTTTCTTTATTTTCAATTTGAAATTTCATTCTTTTTTTTCCATTTTATCTTCAATTTAAAGTTTTTTTTATTTCAGAAAAAAAATCAAATAAATAAATTTCAAAGATTTTATGCTGAATAATAATGATGACGATGATGATGATGATAATTAAGACCGATCAGAATCATGTATTACAAACTTGAATGAACAAAAACTTTCATGATCGATATGATAATTATCAATTGATCTTTGATCAATGATTACATTCATTAGTGAAACAAAAAAAAAAACTAAAACAACAACAACAACAACAACAACAACATGATAATAAAAAAATGCATCCTCATCTTTCATCTTGTGCTTTCAAAGATCAATATCTATATTTTTTTTTTATTCTAAATATCCGGTCATTATTATCATTATTATAATCCATCATTGCCTATCTAAGCAATAATAAAAACTATCATCATCATCATCATCATCATCATCATCATCATCATCATTATAGCCATAATGATCAAACAAACGAATATGAAAATGGATGAATGGATAGATGTATCCATAGATTGTTTTTTTTTATTAGTTAGTTCAATATATGCTGACTTGGCAACCAAAAACTAGCGCTTTTTATTCTCTCAAGAATATTCCTTGTTGTTGGGCTACAAGTAACCAAGAAGAATGGATAGAGAAAAAATTATCTTCTTTTTTATTATTATGTGGAATGTCTGTCTGTCTGTGTTTGTGTTTGTTTGTTTGTTTTTGTTGCTATTGCTGTTGTTGTTTGTTTTATGTAATGCATCATATTAGAATTGATGAGGATGAGTATGGGTATGATGATGATGATGGAAAAGTGGGGAAATTTTTTTTTATGGAAAACTTTTTTTTTGACAATTCAAATCATCTCTAGTTATGAATCCATAACCAGTAATCAATTCGGAAATCAAAAAAAAAAGTTATCGAAACTTTTACATCAAGTTAAATCCCCCATGTCTTGTGATTTTTTTTTACGAAATAAGAATTTTTATTCGATAAAGGAATTCAAAGAATAAAAATCAATTCCTGGAAAAAATGCTTCTCAACAGCAAAAAAAAAAATTCCATTGGGGAAAAAAAGTAGATTCTTGTTTTCTTTGTGTTTTTTTAAAAAAAAAAATCGATTACTAATTGTTCACGACTGTGAGCGACGAATTCTGTACCAATCTATCAAAATTTCTTTTTTGCGTGAAATATTTTCAGAAATGAAAGTTGAACAAGTGAACAATGCTAGATTTTTTTTTATTCGAAAAGAAAATTGCCGGAAAAATAGTCAAAATGTTCCACACATCTTTTTTTTTTTTTTTTGCTTACCTAAAAACTTTTGCCAAATTAAAGTGAGCTTTTGCGTGATATGGATTAATATTCAATGCTTGTTGGAAATGTTGTTCAGCTTTATCCGGTGATGATATTTTCCAATATAATGCACCCAAATTATTATGCGCACTTGCATGATCGGGCCATAGTCTTTTGATGTGACCGATGGAAATAAAATTAAAAAAAAACGTTGAAAAATTGAAACAATTATTTTTATTGTGGATCAATTTTCAATATATGAATCATTCATTTAGCCTTTCAGATCCATAATGTCCAATAGATATGCTCCAGAAAGGCTGAATAGGTTTCCAGATGGTGAATGGAAACAAAAACCAGGAAAACAAAACAAAAAGACAAATTGTCAAAACACAATTACCTGATGGCCGTCTGATAATGGTAAATGGCATCATTCCAATTTCCTAAATCTTGTTGTAAATTGCCATAATTATAGTGGGCTTTAGCATTCTCGGGTACATTTACAATGCCAGATCTGTGTGTGTGTGTGTGTGTGTGTGTATGGAATCAAACGAAAAAAAAAGAAAAAGTAGAAAAAAAATGAAGCAAAAGAAAAAAAAGAAAAGAATCATCATTATCAAATATATAATGATTGCGTGAATCCAATTTTATCCATATGGGCGTATGTGTATATGTTTGCAGTGTGTAATATGTGGAATATATTTCCAAGCAAATAAAAAAAGAAGAAGTATAGAATTGGCCGAACTGAGTGAGCGAAGATTCTGTATGTAATTGACTCCAATCGTGATGGAAAATAAATTCGAAAAGTAAATTTTGTTTTTTTTTTCATTTTCATTGAAAATTTTTCGCTGTAAATGTTTACCAAATTTCGTTTCTTTTTTTCTACTACTTTTTTGGGTTTTTTTTATGTTTACTTTTTTCATTTTAACCCGGGAATTATATTTGCAGATCGGGCGTATGTGTGTGTAAATAGTGGTCGAAGAATAATAATGATTTAAACTTACTTATACAGTGTTTCTCTTGATGTCCAAACATGATTTTGTTGTAAAGTTTTTACAGTAAAAATGGCCATCAATATGATTGTTATTGAATAAATGATATGACCATAGTGGTTATATTGTCGTCGTAATTGTCGTATGCCATAACAAATTACGAAAATGAAACCGATGCTAAAATTGGTTAGAATTTTTTTTTTTTGTTATTATTGATTATTACAATTGTCACGATCGAAAGAGAATAATAATAATAATAATAATAAAAAACACCTACCTTGGTACATAAAGCAATCTTTCGGCAATGACAAAACCAACCGTAATGAATAGATTGCTTGCAGGCAAATATGGTATAATTGTCATTATGATTGAAATGAATAATGTTCTACCATCATCATCATCATTATCATCAATGTTGTTACGAATATTTCGAGAAATTTTTCCATTTCCGGTGACAATTTCACCCAATTGATCATTAGTAGATTTATTCCGTAGTAATAATAATAATAATAATAATTTATTTATAGAACGATATAATAACAATGTAAACATGGCCATTATGGCCAATGTCCAAATATTACGTTGATCATCAAATGATTGTATCAAACGTATTGTACTTGTTTGCCAATCATATGATTGATGTGTTGGACTCAATAATAAACGAATATTATAGGCAGATATATAGCAATAAGTTAATATTCTATTAAATCAGAATAGGAAATTGAAAATTATTTGAAAAACGAAATCGGAAATAACAAATATAGTAAAAAAAAACACAACAACAACAACAACAACAACAAACCTTGTAAGCATAGAACGTGAATGTGATGCAGGATTATCTTGTTCAGTGAATAAAGGCCAACTATTACCCAACATACGCAAACGAATGGTCATTAATGTTAAAAACTAAATTTTCAAACAAACAAACAGACAAAAATTATTAATTATATTAATTAATTTGCTGATTTTTAATATTATGATTGATTTTATTATAATTACGCTCATTATAATGGTGATGATTGGTGCCATTAATCGTTGATTATAAATAATATTCATCAAAGGCAAACAATCATTTTGAATGATAATAAATGTATAACATAACCAATACAAGGCACAAACACCAAGAATAGTGATACCAATCTCTTTTGATAATAAGGCCATTGTGGTCAATAGGACAAATGGTAATAGCCATAATGATGATGATTGATGATGTTGATGTTGATGGTAATGACGAAGATGATGATGATGATGATGAATTAATGGCAATGGTGGTAATGATCTTTGAAAAAAAAAAATTGAAATTAAAATTTTTGCAAATTTTTTTCACACACACACAGACACACGTTTTATACTTACAAATGAAATGATACAAATGCCAATAGATAGAATAATGCACAAAGTAAATCAGCACGGCCAACAATACTTGCAATTGCTTCACAATGAATTGGATGTATGGCAAACAATAGACCGGCAATGGCTGTTAAATGTATATCAAAATCCATAATCAATTGGCCAACCATACAGACCAATAAGCTGACCATTGTATGTAGAAATAAATTGACCATATGGAAACCAAATGGATGTGTCGATATCATCATGTTTAGTCTGAATAATAAAAAAAAAAAAAAATGAAAACGAAAACGAAAAACAAACATGAGAATCAAATCAAATTCATACCAGAAACAAAAAGAATCGATCTAAAAATAAATAAAGAATGACCAAAAAAAAAAATGATCCACTATTCGGTACACATTATTATTATTAATATTTCAAATACAATACATGAACAAAAAAAAAAATGAAATGAAATGAAATTGGCAAAGAAAAAATTTTTTTTTTCTGTGATTCTGTGTGGAAAAAATATTAAAATATAAAATGTCCAACCAGACAACGATATGGGCACCAATTTTGTTTTTCACCCAAAAAAAATCGACAATCAAAAAGTCTCTCTCTGTGTGTGTCTGTGAAAATTTTTCACTTCAACAATTTTTTGCCTCTTGAAAAAAAAAAAGTTTCATTTCATAGAGGTCGGTAAATGCGTGTGTGTGTGTGTGTGTGGGTGAACATTTTTGTTTCAGAAAAAAAAATTCAGCGAAAAAAAATGGACGAAAAATGTGTTGATTTTTTTCTTTATTATTATTAATATTTCAAATACAATACATGAACAAAAAAAAAATGAAATGAAATGAAATTGGGTGTGATTCTGTGTGGAAAAAATATTAAAATATAAAATGTCCAACCAGACAACGATATGGGCACCAATTTTGTTTTTCACCCAAAAAAAATCGACAATCAAAAAGTCTCTCTCTGTGTGTGTCTGTGTTTTCCGGTTCCGTCAGTTATTTATGAAAAAAAGGAGACAGAGAAAAAAATTACTTGTTCCAAATGGAACAATTTCTTTTGTTTTGTTTTGTTATGTTTTTTCTCACTGTTGATGATTGGCAGTTGTTGTTGTTTGATACTTAAAGTTTATTTTTATTATTACTACTTTACTTTTCAACATAATCATCATCAGCTGTCGATATTTCTATGGAAAATTTTGGAATTTTCTCACACACACACACACACATTTTCTGGCCCAAACAAAAAAAAAAAAAAAATTCTACACACTCAATAAACCAATTGCCATCATAATAATAATAACTGGACTTGAATTTTTATTTCTGTCAAATTTTTTGGAAAAAAACTATTATATTGTTTGTTTCTGAAGCAATTTTTTGTCTTTCAAAATAGAAATTCAAGTTGTTTTTTTGGTTGAAAAAAATCTCCCCAAAACGATAACAACAACAACAATACAATTAGTCATATGGCAGTAATAATTGTTGTTGTTGGAATTGATTTTTGTTTGTTTGAAAATGAATCATTTTTGCAAGAATAAAAAAAACAGAATTTTATTCACCCAGTCAGTGATTATTATTTTTGTTTTTTCTCCAAGCTAAATATGAAAAAAAGCTAAAAAAAAAGTTTTTTCCATTTCATTTCATTTTCGTGTTGTTTTAGGATTTAAAAAAAACTGAATATGAAACAATTCGATGACTAAAAAAAACACCCACATGTAAATGTAAACACCCATATAATAAAAGTAGTTTTTTTTCTCATTTTATTGGTTCGTTTTGGTTTCCAATTTCATCATCATCATCATCATCAACCACGGATTTATAATGATGATGATTCCTTTGGCATCCACATTTCAACAATGTGTGTGTGTGTGATCTATTTGGATCTGTCGTACTATATGTACGATATGATACGATACGATAAACCCACTGGATACATTTTCAATTTCCATCTTTTTCCATTTCAAATTTTTTTTTTTTTGAAGAAAATCCTTCCACATACATAATAAAAACCATACCATTTGGTCTCTATTTTTTTTTCTATCTACTTCTCACAACAATTCGATAGGATTTTCCAAGGCTTTATAATAATATTCAAATCTTTTTTTTCTGCCAAAATAACGAAAAAAAATGTCATCATCATTTTCATTTTATTAGTTCGTTTCATGATGACAATGATGATGTTGTTGTTGTTATTGTTGTTGTTGTTGAGCTACAATGTCATTCGAGAAAGAGAGAAAAAGAATCCACAACCTATTATTACGAAATGTATATTTTATGTAACCAAATAATATCATCCGCATCATCATCATCATCATAATCATAATCATCATCGTCATAAATAAGCCTGAATTTTCAATGAAGATGCATGAATGTGGGAACTGAGTTGTCATCGAAATTCCAAAAATCAAAATCAAAATCAAAAAAAAACCCTTTTTTTCATTTTCGATCCGTAAAAGATTTACGAAAATAATCATACAGTTTAGTTTAGTTATATATCTCGGGCATAACAATCGGGTTTTGGAAAATACCCGTTTGTAATTATAGCCCCATTGCTTTGGTAAATATTTTTTTTTCATCATTTTTATATTTGAAAACTGAAATTGAAAAAGCCAATTTTCTCTCTCTATTTTTGACTCAATTTTTTGATTATTTGCAATTTATAATCAGAAAAAAACCAAAAGAAAAAAAACAGGAAATTCTCACAATTGAATTTGTCAATTTGATTCCATTTTTTTTCGTTTGCGTGTGTGTGTGTGTGTTTAGGTGACAATTGAAACAACCTCTGATGGTCTTTGTGATGGTCATGAAAAAAAAAGGCCAACTTCAATGATGAAGTCTTGTGCGTGTGTGTGTGTGTGGAATTAATTTTAGATTTTCATTCATTCAGCGTGTGTGTGTGTGTGTATGAGAGAATTCTTAATCACAAATACAAACATTACTAACACCCAAGAAAAAAAAACATTGAATTAGTGCAGATATGACGATGACGATGATGATGATGATGAAGACGGGTAGATTGTCTTTGATTGAGGGAAATAATCATTACCAACACAAAAACAATGAATTCGGGTTCGCCAATCTGGTTTTTATTTCTGGTTATTTTTTTTTTGAATGTTGTAGAACTTTTACTTTTCTATAGCGGAAACGATATTCTTTCACCATCATCATTTACGTTCTGATCACGTTTTTATCATCATTTTCTCTCTGTCTTTCTATATATATATATATGTATTGCCTTATAGTGCACTCTGGGGGGTGTTTATGTGGGTGGCTGGAAAATAATAATTTCAACAAACACACATACGCACTCACACACACAGTACTGGGTGTTTGATCACCGAGTTTTTCAATTCGTAATTTTGACAGGATTTTTTTTTTGGTACACGCATTGGAAAATGAATTAAAATTAACTTGATTTTTGCTTTACGAAACAAACAAACAAAGCAGCAGAAAAAAAAATCAAAAGAGATTATCCGAGTGAAAAAAATGGGACTCAAAGGGTTTCAGTGAGAGAGAGAGAAAACAAAGATTTTCATCGTGCGTGTGGTGGTGGATGCATCATTGAAATTTGTTTTTTTTTTGTTCTCTCGTTTCTGGATCATTTCATCGTTTCATACGAAAACAAACACACAAAATGAATACCAGAAGTTCAATGATCGCAGAATTTAGAATAATGTTAATGATGAGTATTTATTTTTTTTTTGGTAAATTTGTAACTATTACATTTCAAATGTTTAAATCATTCTGATAAATTTAATAGATATTGATTGATTTTTTTTTTTTTTTTGGTTGTTCAATACAGTCTTACATACATTACAAATGATTTATCCGGAAATTTTTATCTGCAACAAAGTAGATAGATAAATAGATATCAAAAGAAAGATAAATTACCAATATTGAAAGATTAACCGAATTGAATTTTCAAACATGATGTGTATTCGTATTCGAAAGAAAATCCCAAGAATTTTTTTTTGTCTTTTATTATCCGGGGAATATGTTTTTTTTCTCTGTTGAGTATTAGATTCATCCATTGGGATATGGAGATAGAATCTTTGAATCGGCTATTTTTACTCGAACCGGCAATCTTGAAAAAAAAATAATAGCAAAAACACACGACAATCATATCTATATATATACTGTGAATCAATCAATAGTAACCAACAACAATAACTATAAAAACAACAAAAAAAAACATAAACATCAACTAAAATGTTGTGCAGTAAAGAATATAAATAAATTGCGACCAAATTGCGTGCCAAATGAAAAAAAAACACAACCAAAATTCTGGCTCATGTTTCATCAGAAATGATAACAAAAAAAACAATTGTGCACCCAAAAAAACATTTTAACAAAAACAAAAAACAACTATGACAGTGAAAGCAGTCAGAACAGCGAGAGAGAGAGAAGGGGAAAGCAAAAAAAAAAAAAAATCCATTTTTAATACCGGTTTTTTTTCTCGTATTCGTTAGCAGGATTCTTCAACAACAAGAGAATCAGAATGGTTTTAATTTTACTAAGTTGCGTGTTTCATGTGTGTGTGTGTGTGTGTGTGTGTACGTTATGATTCAAAATAATAATCCCCTCATATTAAGAAGATTTGGATTTCCGTTTTAGGCTGTTTTTTTTGTTGTTGTCTTTTCTGTTAGTCGGTAATAATAATTATAATAATTATTATGATGATGATTGTAATAAATATCTCGATTCTAAACATTAATAATAAATAATAAATGGTAAGCCACAATATGGCAAAAAAAAATAATAATAATAATCAGATGGCTATTTCCACCCTATCCTGTATGTGTGTGATAATTTTCAATCGATGTTGTCACTTTTGTTGTAGCTGCTGTTGACTCACTTATTGGATCAATAATTTTTTTTTATTAATTCAATTCAATTTCGAAGAAATTGAACAAATTTCAACTTCTTCTTTATTGCTGGTTTTCTTATTTATTTATTTATTGTTCATTCATTTGGATCATTTGATCGTGTGTGTGTGTGTGGGTGTATCATTAATGTTGTTAATGTTTGTTTGGTTGGTGTACGTTACCACATTAATGATTGCGTGCAATTTGAACATAATAAATCATCGACCTATTTGCCATTCGCCATATATGAATATAGATTAGTGAAATTCACTTGAATTGAATGAATTGAATGAATAAATGACGTAGAGATAAATCCGTCAGTAGAAACGGTATCATCAGGAACCATAAGGACAAATCTTTTTTTTCTCTCTTGTTGATTTCAGTTTATTCATTTGCATGG